GTAGCGCACGTGGCACCCCCCGCGCTTCCTTGCCTCCCATCCACCGGACCCCGTCCTGCGCTTCACTTTGTTTCGGGAGGGGCTGCTCACTGCTCATTGCTCATTGCTCATCGCACACTGCTCAACGCTCATTGCCCTATATCCCACCCAGCCGCAGGACTCTACTGCCGCCCGCGCCCCGCCCCATCTGGCCGCTTGCGCGCCCCATCCCCCCTCGATGGGGCCCGCCCACACCGGGGCCTCCCCCCTCCCGCCCACTGCTTTCTCAACGGCCCCGAGCCGGGGCTGCCCTCATTGCATACATAGTGCGCCTTTCCCTGCTTTTCTAGTGACCTAGCGTTCCGCACTGCCGTTTGGCCAGCCCATGCTCCCGTACCGTTGCGTTTCTCCCCAATGCGCCATGCCACTTTGCCAGTCATACACACGTTTCGATGCGTGCCCTGTCAGCTGCTTGCGTTGCATGTCGCCTTGCTCCACCCCTGTTTTATTGCTTTCTCTGCTTTCGCCCGGTTCCCGTCCCGTTTCGGCGGGGAGTCTATGTTGCAAGCTAGTTCTTGCTTTACCAGACTTTAAGCCCACACAAGCAAGCAAGCAATGGATGCTATCAGCAGACGCTTCTGCCTTTTCAGCGCTGCTGTTATGCCTGCTGCCGACGAGGCGCAGCATGCAGTTGATTTTCCTTCAGCGCACCACTTCAGCGGACCGCCTTGGTCGTTCCCTTTCTGTTTGTCTCTTGCATTGCGAACTGTTGACGTCAGCCTGTCCTATCATTGTTCTGGGGAAGCCGCTGTAACAGACAGCTGGGTTTGCATAGCAACAGCTGGGTTTGCATACATGTTCATTTGGGGAAACAGAGCACCAAAGAGCATTTAAATACATCAGCCGGGCGCAGCCTTGGCTGCTTACAAGCTTTGCTTAGAGCTCATGTATCCGCCGCGCCTCCAGCAGCACAGCCTGCACCTTTTCCAACGGCTCCTCCCGCAGCAGCACAGGGTCAAACTTGTCGGCTGGGCCCTCCCCCAGCACCCCTGCAGGGCACACCACGTGCTGTAAGGTTGAGCTGGACTGCATGAACATTGCTGCGCAGGTGCCCCAGCGGCTGCTGCTGTTGGCCTGCTGCCACTGCTGGCCCTGCTGCTGGCTCGGCTACCGCACTGGTGCTGGTTCCAGCTGCTGGGCTGGCTCACCCAGGAATGTGTTGGCCACGCTCTCCCCCAGTGCTTTGAGATCGTATCCGCCCTCCAGCAGCATCACCAGCCGCCCGCCGCTGAGCTCATCCGCCAGCGCCTTGGCCCGCGCCCCCAGCTCGTGAAAGGTGGCAGACCTGAATTGCAGGCCTGAGCTGGAGGGAGGCGTGCACAGGGCAGTGGAGCTTGTTCTCACTGTGGCTTGCGCCAGTACCATTCGGCGCCGGCGTGCACCAGGAAAGCGAGGCGCGCGGGAGGCAGCGGAGCCACAGCCTGGGCCAGGCCGCCCACCTGCCAGCGGGTCGCGCCAGTGGGCGTCGTATCCGGCAGACACAAGGATGATGTCTGGCCGGAATCTGCGAGCTGCCGGGGCCACCACCTCGTCGAACGCCGCCAGCATGGCCTCATGCCCCGAGTCCCCAGGCAGCGGCAGGTTGATGGTAGCTCCTTCTCCCTCCCCCGTCCCCACCTCGCCAAGCTTTCCCGTGGATGGGTAGATGCCTGCAGGGGGCGGCTGGCTTCAGCTTCTCCTTTGGGGCATAGCAGAGCAGGAGGGACGGCAAGGCCACCCACATGCCAATGCCAACGACCGAATCTTCTGGTGCAGAGCAACAGAACCTTGCCCAGCCAGAGCACCAGCTCCTGTGCCAGTTGCGCCTCACCTCCCTGGTGGCTGCTGATGAACAGCACGTCTGGGTCGCTCTCGAAAAAGGCCTGTGTGCCATTCCCATGGTGAACATCCCAATTAAAAATTTAGCACCTGCAGCTCCTTAGCAGTGCATGCGCGACACGGCAGTTCAGTAGCGGCTGGGCAGTCCAAGGCCAGTTTGCGTGCACCCCTGGCCGCGATACGTACACGGCAGGGCAGTTGGGAGGCGGTTAGGGCATGTGCAAGCCAGCGGGCGCTCTGAGGCAGGGCGACGGCATGCATCCGGCAGACAGAGATCGACCGGGCAGAGCCACGCCTCAGGCGGCCAACGCCCCATGACACATCAGCAGCAACAGCAAGTTTGCAGCAGTTTGGTTGCATCGCTGGCTGCCTCCCCGCCCACCATACAGCCCCACCCGCATGCCCCCCGGCGCACCCGCTGCAGGCCGTGTTGCTTCTGGGCGTGGCGTGCTGCGACGGCCACATTGCCAAAGATGCAAAACCCCATGGCCTCGCGGGGTAGACAGTGGTGGCCGGGCGGACGGCAGACAGCAAAACCCGCCGGCACCGCCCCAGGGTCGTGCTGCTGCTGGCTGGCCGCCACCACGTGATCTACCAGCGCTATCGCGGCACCCGCTGCCTGCACGGCACGGGCGCAGGAAAGAGGAGCACTTTGCAAGCAGTAGACAGGCAGGGCCCAGGCATCAAACTGGGGAGCACCAGCAGCACGAGCAGGGCTGCTGCTGTCCCGCCCCAGCGCCCGCACCAGGCACGCATCGCTGCTGGTGGTGCCCGTGACGTAGGTGGGCGCCCACTCCACCTCCACAGTCGTGCCGCTGTCGGCGCATTTGTCCGACACACGCTGCAGCCCCGCCACATACCCCTCCCCATGCACCAACTGCAGCGCCGCGCGCTCCGCGCCGCCAAACCCCGTCAGTTGGACCACCTGCAGGTTCCAATGGGCATCATCGTCATACTCATCATCATCAGTAGCAACATCAGGAAATGGAAGCAGAATGAGGATGGCTGACCCTCCAAATCAGCAGGCTGAGCCAGGTCTGCACCACACCTGGTCTGTGCGGGCCGTGAGGCCGTGTGTATCTAGCGCCTCTAGTATGGCTGGCACTCGCGCCGCGCACTCTGGGTGGCCGGGGTAGTCGTGGCCTGGCGCCCCGGCAGTGGCATAAAGCAGCCGGGCGCTGCTCAGGGTGCTAGGCGGCAGCAGCAGGGCGCTGGCCACGACCCGCGCCGCCGGCCCTGCCCCTCCCACCACATGCCTGCCTCGCGCCGCTTGCACCGAGGCTGTGTGTGGGATCATCTGTGGTGGCCAGCAAGCTCGAAGCCAGCAAGCTCCAAGCCGTTCTACTGCAGCTGGTTGTGCTCAGCGGGATGGGGGCCGTGGCACACCGTTGATAGTGTGTGGCAGGCCCCAATTGCGATTTTTATTAATTGTACGCAGTTCTGTGCCTCGTGCTGCGATCGTGCTGCGGTGGAGGCCGAGCCTTTGATTTGCCGCTTTCAGTCCCTTTGAGCAGCACAGATCATCGGGGAAGTCTGCACACAATCGGCATGATCGACGACACCCTGGTGGACCATGAGCTCTTTGGCGGGGCTGTGGGCTGTTCGTTCCCGCAGCGCTTCATAGATATCTCCCAGTTCAGGCCCGTGCCAGACCACCAAGAGGTGAGAGGCCGCTGGAGACACCGCAGCCGTCGGCGGCTGCGGCGCTGCCGCCACTGCCGTGCTGGCAGTTGCCAAACCCAATTGGTTGGCAATTGCTGCAGGTGTTCTCCGATGCCAGCCTGGACCAATCACTGGTCATCGAAATTGTGGTGAGTAGCCGCGCCAGCCGCTGCAATCATGCATGGCGCCGTCCTTGTCTCGCGGTACCTCTGTGCAGACATCAGCTCGATCCTGGGGGAGCATCAGGGTGGGAACAAGGTTGAGAACAAGGCAAGGGAAGAGGAAGGAGCGGTTGAGTGTGATGCCACCCCCTCTGCCGCCATTGCAACTGCTGCCGCCCCAACCTCCCGCCTCCACCGTTTCTTACAACAGGAGCACCAGCCAGTGGCAAACAACGATGCCGCAGCTTTTTTCTTTCAAGACCAGGCACAGCACAACGACGCTCAACACGCGCAGGTCGACGAGCAGCGTGTGCTGACACCCCAGGACATGCCCCGCCTGCCACCAGACTGCTTCAAGGCGCTGGTCGTGGGCCAGCAGGCGGTGGCCAAGGGACAGCAGGGCAGCAGCGCGCTGAACAAAGTGCAGGTGGTTGAAGGGGTGCCTTGCATCGGCTGGGGGCGCTCCAGGGGTGGCCGCAGCGGTACGCTGCATCACAGAGCAGCACTAGGCGGTGCTCTGCACTGCCTCGCTCGATCCTGCCTGGGCGCTGCGGCATCTGCCGCTGCCTCCGCCATCCCTTTGCTGCAGATCATCCTGTGCTGCGTCCGGCTACCGCAGCACGGCAGCGACCTGCTGATCACCCTCAACTCTCCGATCTTCATCAGCGAAAAGAGCGCAGCAGCGCAGCATGCAGGTATGTGGACGCCGCTCGTGCAGATGCCTTGCCCCCCTGCTCACTGTACCCGCCCATCGGCGGAGCTGCCTTGCGTGATGCAGGTGCGGGCTTCAAGGGCGCGCACCTCCTGGCGCCGCTGCTCTTCAAGCAGATCATCGCCTCGTTTCGAATCAACAACTGGGGGCTGTTTGGCGGCCGACCAGCACCGCAGTAGGCGCGGTCCGGCGACACGGCATACCGCCGGTCGAAGCCCGCTTCGGTCCTGGGTGGACTGTTTTGCTGCTGTGCTGCTGAAGGTTGGCTTCCCATGAACAAAATCGTTGTTTTTACTGTTTTCTTTTGGCTGGATGTAATGGCCGGCAAACCACAGCACTAGGCAGCGTCATGAAAAAGGGTTGCCTCCGCCGCATGCACATCTGGGCAGCCGAGCGTGTTGCGGAAGTGCAGTGCTCGGAGCGGCGACAGGCCCAGCAGCAGGGCCGAACAGCGCTGGCAGATGGCCAGCGTCAGGCGCCACCAGGCAACCGCGCAGCAGGCACCCAGGGCCAAGCCAGCCACCACTTGGCCAACCGTGTGATAGCCCAAATAGACGCGACCAGACGCCACCGCTGTCGTCAGCGCCACTAGCCCCTGCACCTCAAGCAGCTGCACTGCCCGTGCCAGGCTGTCCGCCATGCTCCCGCCGCCGCCAGCGCGTTTTCGGGCCGCTGACGCCGTCACTTTAGCTGCTGAGGGGGCGCCGGTCTTGGAGCCCCTCTGGCGCTGGCGGTGCAGGAAGAGCAGGAGGCAGGTGGTGGCTGCAAAGGCCATCACTGTAGAGTGGCTGCTGGGCATGCCATGCTTGTGGCAGTTTCCTAGTAGGAGGCACGTCTCCGCCGGACGTGACTGCTTCACCGCCTTCTTGATGGCCGAGCTCAGCGCTGCGGGCAGGGGAGACGTGGGGAGCAATCAGCAGCAGGGAGTTTGTTTTTGCGGCAGCGGGGACGGCAGCGGGCAATAGAGCTTAGCAGAAGTCTGTGCAGCAACTTGCTGATACATGGACTGTAAACCTCCACAACAAGAAGCAGGCAGCAGCAGCGGTGCGCAGGCTGCTGCAGGCTTGAGCCGCCGCCGCTGACCGGAGACCAGTAGCAACCCCAGCAAGACCAGCGTCATGTGGAGCTCTCGCCGTGCATGCACCAGCACGGCGACATGATAGATGACGAAGTATGGGCTCGTGGCGAGAACGGCGAGTCCCTGACCAAGCGTGTCCCCCGACGCAAAGCGAGCGCAGGCGATGCAAAAGCTCTTGAGCGGAGCCTCCATTGCATGCACCGATCCAACGCACCGTCTGATCGCCTGATTGCCCCTGCTGTTTCTCTGCTGCGCCGCCCGCCGCCAGCGAGGCTCCTCGTTGCACCGCGCTTTGCTGCCTTATCATCCCCTGCTCTGGTAGCACATTAGTGTCATTCTATTGCCTGTCACTCATGGGCAAGAGTGGCAGGCGATGCGCGGCAGGTTTCTTCAAACTCTGGGCACTTGGGCGGTGCCACATGGTCATGGCGCTGCCGGTTGTTGACACAGCGGGCAGTTTTGATTGTAGCTGTTTAACACTGCGAGGAGTAATACTGCAAGGAGCGAGTGAGCATGGTAAGGCAGTTCAAGGAAAGTAGATCGAAATGGGTAAGAGGAGCCGAGGCGCAACACGAGCTGCCGCCTCTGCTGTGCAGGAGGAAGTTTTCAGAGCAGGAGGGAGGGAACACAAAATGGGGTGGAAGCACTCATGCGTGCATGCATTGGTGCATTAGGAAAGCATTGCAGTAAAGCGTAACTTGTTCGTAAGCTGTTGATTGTACATGGGTGTCCAAGCTTGCTAAGAAGGATGCCTGCCCGAGCAAGCTGGGTGCCTCCCTGCGGAGCGTCCCCGCGCCACGCTCAGCTGTTGTTGGGCGGGCTGCCATCTGCATTCAGGTCTGCGGCATGCACCATGATGTCCAGTGCCCCCACGCGCTTCAGCTCGCTGCCGCAGCGCTGCAGTTGCTGTACATCGGTCGCCCGGCTGGTGGGAGCTTCTGCAGCTACACCCTTTGCCCTGGCGCCGCGCGGCTGCTGGCGCCCGCTAGACTGCGCCGGCTGCGCGCCGCCGCCCTCCCTGCGCACGCTGCTACTGCACAGCGAGGTCGACAGCGACTGCAGCGCCTGCGCCGCTGTCTTTTCCTCCTCCTCCGTCGGTGCTGCCGCCACGCCGTGCTCGCCACCCTCCGGGCGTGGCACTCCAGGGTTGAATGTTTCCCATGTGTTTGCTGCGCACATGTCTTGCATCCACCGCCTGACATCCGCCACAGGAAACCTGCAGCCAGAAGGGCAGCAGCCATGAACCTTTGGCGGCCAGCCACTTCTCTGCAGCCCCTCCTCCCTTTTCTCTCTGCAATTCCACCCTCCCACCCCCCACCACCAAACGCCGAATCCTGCCGCCAGCCGCCAGCCTCACCAGTACTTGGAGCCGTCGTCCCGGAACTGCACCTCCACCGCCGGCACCTTGCGCCCCTGCTCCAGCTTGTTCACCCACCCCACAAACAGCTGGTCGGGGTCATCCACGCTGCAACAGAGGGTGGCAGGAGCAAAGGTTAGTGAGGGGACGGTCCCAGGGAGCCGCAGGGTCAGGCAGGGAGGGCTGATAGTGAACCCCAAAATGCAGGGTTGGGGGCAACGGTTGGTTGCAAGGCAAAAGCAGCAGTCAGCGTGAGTACGGTGAGGGCAGTGCTGCACTCACTAGAAAATGGCTCCTGGCACCACCACTGCCCTGTGCAGCACATCGGCATACTTGGAAGGTCTGTGGTGGAGCGGGGACTTGGATGCCCGGCCATCTGCAGCAGCAGCCGACTTGCGGCGCTTGGCAGCAGGCGCGGCTGCTGCTGCGGCATTGCCTGCGCCAGCGGAGCTGGCGTGTCGCTTGCTGCGTCCTGCCGATGCTGTTGGCGTGTCCGCCGGGCCCAGGCGCGAGCGGCGCACCCATGCACCGTGCGAGCCACTGTGCGCCGCCTCTGGCTGTGCCTGGGAGGTGGAAGGAGGGCCGCTCAGGGTGGCTGCCGACTTGCGCTTGCGGCTGCCTGCTGCCTGCTTTCCGGGCCGTGGGGCGGCGGCAGTCTGCTGGTCGCGCTGCGCCTGCTGCTCTTGCTTCACATGAGATGCAGCCTGCTCCGCTGCCGCAACAGCGGGTGCCACAGTGGGTTGCGGCGGCAGGGACTGCGCCTCGGTGCTGGCGCCATGATCCTGCTGCTGCTGCAGCTGGGGGTGCACCAGGCCCCTGACATTGCTCTGGTCGCTGCAGGCGGGCTGCGGCGCCGGCGGGTGGCCCGTGGGCGTGTCTACGTGATCGTCGGCTGATCTGGCAGCGATATCATTCCCGATGGCTGCTGGCAGCTGGTAGCCCGTGCCCGCTCCTTCGCCACCAGGATCCATGCCCGCCCTGTGCTGCTGCTCCAGCTCCACAAGCAGGCTGTTGCTCTGCACTCGAGCCAGCTGGCAGCCGCCGGCGCGGGAGCGGCGGCGCGGAACCGGCCGGGGCGGCAGGGAGGCGCCGCCCAGCCCAAGCACCATCTCCAGCAGTAACGCACCCTGCAGCACAGTTGTGGCAGGGCTGGTGATTTCTGGCAGGGGTAGAGAGAAGAACAAGGCGGGGGAACACTCCGCCGCGGTCACACCGCCCGCTGCTGGCCTGTGGTCGACAACGCAGCTGCCTTCGCCGGAGCTGGCTGAAATCTTGGCCCACAAAGCGTAAGAGAGTGCCACCGGCGGGGAGGGAGCTCGCAGAAGGGGCAGTGAACCCGCTTACCAGAGGTTGCTACGGTTAAGGGGGAGCTCCAGCGTGTCTTGGAGATTGTGCTGCCTAGGTGAGAGTTGGCGGAAAGTGGAGGGGTTGAAGGTTCAGTACCGACCAGAGAAGAAGCAAGAGGCAAAACTTCTCCCAAGGGAACTGTACCTCCCTTGCTGACTGCCTGATGGGCCACGGGGTTCAGAATGCGGCGGCGGGGGCGGGCCGCGTGGACATGATGACGCGCCCCGTTGTTTCTGTACCTGCAAGAGGTACAAGGAACGCAGCAGAACCACAGCGCTTGTCGCCAGCGAGCCCGCCAAACACAGATCAGAGACAGCCCGGATCCGGGACAGGAGCCTGTTGCGTTTCTGGGCACACTCGCCCCCTTCCAGCCCCTGGTGTCCCCGCTGAGCGCGACACATGACGCCAGGAAGACTGCTGCTGCAGCTAGGGTGCTGCCTGGTGCTGGCCGTCGCTAGCCTGGCCACCCGCAGCCACGGCCGCCCCGCCTCCGCCCCTGAGGGCGCGGTCGTCACCTTGACAGGTAAGCAACGCAGAACTGGCTGGCAACACCAGCTATTCTGAGATAAGCCACTGACAAAAGCAGCGTCCAAGCCACTTGCTGGCCCAGATGCCGCCTCTCTTTCTCACGCTCGGCTGCGGCACCTAGCGTTCGACTCCGAGTGCATTTGACCCGACCACCACCTGCCTTGTTCTGTACTTGCTCTCGCCCTGCAGACCTCAACTTCGACGAGATGATGGCCAACGGCAAGCCCTGGATGATAAACATCTTTGCCCACTACGTGAGGCCCCTGCCAGCCTGCCAGTAGCCTGCTGCACTTCATTGCGGCTGCCTCCCTGCGGTGAAAGTGTTTCCCACCTGCCTGCCGTCGCTGCCGCTGTTGCTGCTCCTGTTGCTGCAGTGCCAGCTCACACACGAGATGGAGGAATTGTTTGAGAAGATCGTTCACCACCTGCACCCGCACATCAGCATCGGCAGGGTGTGTTTTCGTTGTGCTGTGCACATCTTTGTGAACTAGTGCCGCTGCCGCCGCTGTTTGCTACTGCTCATGTGCGGCCATTGTCGCCTTGCGTGTCCACTGCTGTGCTGCCCTGCCGCCAGGCCGCCTGCGCACCCACTCATACAGCGTGCCGCGCCGCGGGCCGCGCAGATTGACGGCACAGCAGAGCGCGGCCTCATGAGCCGGTTCCAGCTGCGTGGCTACCACGCCGTGTTCCACATCAACAGCACAGAGACGCGGCAGTACTGCGAGGGCCACGCCTGCGAGGGCCCGCTCCTCTCACACAAGCAGGCAAGGCGGGCCGCAAATGCGACGGCGTGATGAGGTGCCACCAGGGAGGAAAAAGCTGACAGGGCAATTAATGTGCGAGCGGAGCCTCCCTTGCCACCAGTCGCTTCCGGCACAGCAGCAGCAGCAGGGTGTGGCGTGACCCTTGTGCTTTTGACCCCGCTCCTGCTCGCAGCTGATCAAGTTTGCCCGGGAAGGGTGGAAGGCGGTGCAGCCGCGCACCGGCTGCACCTCACCCGTCAGCAAGTGCGGCCGCACGGTAGGGCAGATCACAAAGTGAGCATGGGATGCAAATGCAAATGCCGCTGCCGTGGGATGCGATGCTGTTGGAAATGCCGCTGTTGCCTGTTCCAGGTGCCTGTGACCAGGCAGCAGGGCAAGGCGAGGTGCGTGCAATGCATGCGCCGAAGCAGCCATGTCTGCCGCCACACACACCACCGCCTACTCCCTGCGGCCTGCCGCCGGTCCTGCTACGCAGGCTGCCTGCCAGGATGAAGGACACGTACTCATACCTGCACAACGAGCGGCACTACTCTGACCTGACCCTGTTTGCTGGCATGCTGGCAGTGCCGGTCGCCATCGGCCTGAGCTTCATCTGCATGCTAGACGCCTACTACTCGCGCCGCCCGCTGGCCCTGCCGCCGCACGTGCACATGCACCACGAATGACGCGGCGGGGTGCTGGGCAGCCCCGTGCATTCCTGTTTCCATGCCTGCTGCTCCGTGTTGCTGCTTAATTGCTCGCTGCTTTGCTGCCTTGCGCTGTCGTTTGCTGATGCCTCCGTCCAGCGCCACTCGGTGTCCCGCCACCCCGATGCTGGGCATGCTCTGTTTCTTCGCCTCCCTCCCCGCACTCACCTGCGTTCTTCTTTCATTTCTCGACCCGACCGTGTTGTACCACCAGCTTCCTTTGTGTGCCGCCTCGCCCCATTGGCGTTGTAGTATGTTGAGCGTGCTTTAACAGGGAAGGCTCGTGCTGGTGGGCAGGTGTGGTGGTAGCGGGAGTTTAGCGGCTGCACAGCCATTCAGTCGTCGCCAGAGGCGGCCAGGTGGCGGCGCCGTCAACATTCCCATCATGCACAGATCAGCCCCAACGGCGGTACATTTCCTTCAATTGCATTCCCGGCTTCAACTCGGGTGGCTGGCAGCACAGGGGATGGCCGCAACAGGCTGCTGCTTGCGAGCCGTAGCCCGGCTGCACACCAGGTGTGCACAGATGTTTTCAAAGTACATCACGCATGCAGGCATATGCTAGCAGGGCACGCGTGCAGGCACGCCGCCCACCATCTGCCGGCCTAGTGTTGTTTCAGGGTGTCGAGGAGCGCCACTGCCAGCAGGCAACTATTCAGGTGCACCGGCAGCATGGCGATCTCGCCGGAGGCACCCAAGCCGCAGCAGCAGGAGAAGCCGGTGAGCCTGCCGCCGCCGCCGTGCTTGCTACGCCGTCTCGTTCACCAGAGACAGTGCTGGCAGGGAGAGGTCCCTATGTCGAAGCAGCGCATCTTGCTGTCTACCTGCAGGCGCGCAAGCGCCGAAAAATGGACCCCATGCAGCCGCCGCCGCCCGCGTCGGAGTTCCCGCCTTGGGAGCCGCGCCCATTTTTCCGCTTCGAGCTGTTGCACACGTGGGTTTGGGGGCTTCCCTTGCTAACTTGTGCTGGTGTTCATGATGTGACGAGCCCACCACCGCACAATAATGCGACGCTGCGGCACCCTAACCGGCACTGGCTGCCTCTGCTCATCTTCTCTTCCGTGCACTCAGTCGACGCGGCTGCACCCTTCTGGGTTGCTCCACAGGTCGGCAAAGTCTGGGGCGCGGGTGGGACGCATCCACACGCCCCACGGCATCATCGACACCCCTGGATTTGTGGCGGTGGGTGCAGTGCCAGCACTTGCCGCAGCCCCGGCGCGTTGTTCCTCCCTGCGCCGCTGGCGTCGCCTGCTACGGTGGCTCCACTTCGATCTATCCGCCCATGCGGTTCCGCCTTTGTGCAGGTGGGCACCAACGCGGCGCTCAAAGCGGTGGATGGACCCTGGGCAGATGCAGGCACGCACCGGGGTGGTAGGGACGGCGATGCTGAGGAGGGCGCCGCTGGCGGCTGGGGGGGTTCGGATTGAGACGTGCCCGGTATCCCTGCCATGCTGCCAACCCTGCCTGGCTGCGCCATGCTGCGCCGCAGAGGGCCAGCAGCTCATGTTCTGCAACACCTACCATTTACTTCTGCACCCGGGGGCCGACGTGGTGGAGGCGGCCGGCGGCCTGCACGCCTTCATGAACCGCCAGCTGCCGCTCATCACCGACAGCGGCGGCTTCCAGGCAAGCCGCGCCTGCCAGCCTGTGGGCCAGCCGGCAAGCCTTGCAGGCCAGCCAGCTGCGCAACGACAGCGTGCCCGAGCACACCTGCCATCCTGCCAGCCTGTCAGCCGTACCCCCGTCCTAGCACACCTGCCATCCTGGGCCTGCTGCCATCGCTGGCGCCCGCTTGGCGCCCTGCCTTGCCTGCCTCGCCCGGTCCGACGCGGCCTGACTGCCTCCCGCCTCGCAGGTCTTCTCGCTGGCTTATGGCACGGTGCACGAGGAGGTGAACAGCCTGAAGCGGGGCAGCGGCAAGAGCCGGCACAAGCAGGAGCACAACCTGGTGGCCCGTGTGTCGGAGGAGGGGGTCACCTTTCGAAGCTATCGGTGGGCCCGTGCGGCAGTGGGGTGGGGTAGTGGTGGTGGCGGTGATGGGTGATGGTGTGTTTGTGTGCGCCCTCCCTGGTGCCCTGCCCACCTCGCCCGCGCTCCTCGTCCACCTTTCCCCGCCACCTGCTGCTGTGCCCTCGCAGCGACGGCGCCAGGATGCTGCTGACCCCTGAGAGCAGCGTGCTGGCCCAGAAGCAGCTGGGAGCTGACATCATCGTGCCGCTGGATGAGCTGCCGCCATACCACACAGAGCCGCAGGTGCTGGCTGCCAGCCTGGCGAGGTCGCACCGCTGGATGGCACGCAGGTGGGGCTAGAGGCAGGGCAGGGGCCAGGGGGCGCAGGGGGCTTGGTCGGTGGACAGAGACAACAGTGTGTTGGTTTCAGGAGCCGTCGTGCTGCTCTACTCCGCACTTGGCCTCCCTGCTTCCCTGCCCCTGGCTCCTGTCTGGCACCCTGACCGGCCCAGCCATCGAAACTGCCGCTCCTTCTCCCCTGGGCGCAGCTTGAAAACGCACCTGGCCGACGTGCGGCAGCAGGCAATGTATGCAGTGGTGCATGGCGGCCTGTCGCTGGAGCTGCGCCAGCAGAGCATAGACTACCTCACCTCCCTTCCCTTTGACGGGTTTGCAGTGGGGGGCAGCCTGGGGAAGGACAGGTGGGCTGGTGGGCGCCCGCCTGGCGCGCCGTGCCCACCCGCGCTCTCGCCGGCGCCGCCCCTGCTGGCCGGCTTTCCTGTCCACGCCACTGCCGGCGCCGCTGTGCATCGCCCCTGGCCCGGCCACCAAGGCTGCTGCGGGCGTGGCTGTCGCTACCATGCTGCTGCCGCCATGCAGGGGCGACCTGTTTTGGCTGCTGGAGCGGATCATGCCTCGCCTGCACGAGCGCGGCACCGGCACCAAACCCGTGCACATCCTGGGCATCGCAGACCCGGCCAGCATCCCGCAGGTGTGTGTGGGCAGCCTGTCGGGGAAAGCGCGGTGCTGGGCTGGAAGGAAGCAGGGCAGGCTGGCCTTAGGTGGTGCAGGCAGGTCGGCACAGCGCGCTGTGTGTCCCCCCCTGTGTTGCCTTGTGTTTGGGCTGTGTTGCATTTCGGCCACACCTCTGCCAATGCCAATGCCCCCGCAGCTGGTGACGTATGGTTGCGATACGTTTGATAGTTGTTACCCAACTCGGGTGGGGCGCCACGGCACAATGCTCACCAAGGACGGCCCGCTGCGGGTGGTGAGCTAGGGAGGTGACGGCACGGCAGTGTGCACAGCCCTGCTGCTGCTGCTGAGCTCCTCGCCGCTGCTCGTGCTCCAGGCCGTTGCTGGCCAGGAGGGCAGTCCTTGTGACAGAGCCTTGCCTGTTCCCGCAACGTCCGCGTGTCCTCTGTTCCCTTGCCTGGTGCAGATCAGCGGCCTGTACAAGACCGCCTTCCGGCCGCCGGTCGAGGGCTGCACCTGCCACACGTGCCGCACGCACAGGTGCGGCCGCCCTGCCCCCGGTGCTCTCCCTGCCTGTGCACTGCGCTGTGCTCAGCCACCCTCACACCAGCATCAACACGATCACCATGGGTGATTGTATCGGCACACACGCCCACAACTAACCACTAACCGTCCCTGTGACGACCACCCCCCGCCCGCTGCTGCAGCCTGGCATATCTGCACCACTTGGTCAAGGCCAAGGAGCCGCTTGCTGCCAGCTTGCTGACCATCCACAACGTGCACCACATGAATGCCATGATGGCCGGGCTGCGGCGGCAGATCTTGGCTGACGAAATCTGAGCAGCTGACGACATCCGATCCGCGGGGCGCTTCCTCAGTCGGCTCACTGTCGTGCCACTACCCAATTCACATTTCATTCGCTCCCATCCCCCCATTGACACTGTTTCCTGGCGTCTGGCGGCGCTTACAATGAAATACGTATGCATGACAGGCAGGCGTGGTGGTACAGCAGGACACGTTGTAATAGACAACACAGCTGCTCTGGGGGTGCAGGTGTGGGGTACAGAAGTGTAGAAGGCGTCGGCGCCTGGTTATCATGGAAAGCACGGCCAGTACACAGGGAGGCAAAGGGCAATCCGTCAGAAACGTTGCATTTGCAGCAGGGGTAGGCCGCAAGATGCCCACATAGCTTGGCACGCATTCAACAGCACGGCGCTTTGCAAGGCATCGCCAGTAGGGGTAAGAAATGCAAGCAGGCTTGGCAGGCAGGCCATACGCATCGGGCGTGGCATTCTCATCAGCTTCAAGCACAGTGTGGGTTCATGTAAAGGAAAGAAGAAAGGGTCGGCACGGAGTCAGCTGGGGTGCGGTTCAGAGGGCAGCAACACACATCTACGCTAGCTAAGTGTGAATTGAATAACTTAGGGCAGGAGATTCAGCACAAGGGAGAATGCCAGCCAGCACTAGAGAACAGGCCGAGGACTAACAAGGCGTGAGCAATGGACCAAGGCAGCTGGGGCCAACGCAGCGCTGAGTAGAAAGGGGAAAGTAAGTATCGGCGGCCCCGAGGACCGCTGGGGACCGCCATGGCGGCCCCGTGGCATTCGTGCGCACACGGGCGCTGGAGCGGTCTTGATCTCACTTCTTCCCAGTGAAGAAGTTCATCCAGCCAGAGAAAAAGTTGGTGGGCTCAGGCTCTGCCGCCTCCTCCTCCTCCGGGCTGTCCTCGAGAATAGCCAGCGCTGGCGACACGACACCCTTGGGGCGCGGCGGCAGCTCCTCCACCTCCTCCTCCTCCTCCTGCAGGCCAGCCACACAGGCGGAGCCGGCCAGGCCAGTCAGGCAGGCCACAGGGCAGAGCAAGCGCTGGCAAACACTGCCTGCCACACAGGCAGCAGCGCCAACAAGCGGGGCGCCCCGCAGCCACGCAGGTGCCTGGCGGCAGCACAACCCGCGGCAACAAGTGGGAGCCAAGCGGGCACAGAGCAGCGCAGGGCGCCACCTCAGCGCTGAAACCACCAAGGCTGCGCACCTCCTCCAAGGCTGCCTCAGTGAGCACCGCCACGGCCTCCTCCTCCTCCTCAGCGTGCAGCGCGCCGTTGGCCACCAGCTCCGTCAGCGCCGCCACCGGCAGCGCGCCATTGCCGTTCTTCATCAGCTCAGTGATCACCGTGGCCTGGACCGCAGCTGCCTCCATGGCAGCATCAGGCGCTGCCTCCTCCTCAACCACCTCAGCCGCCACAGCCAGCTCGACCTCAGGCTCCTCCTCTGGCACTGCCACAGCCTCCTCCTCGGCAACTGCTGCCTCGGCGGCCACAGGCTCAGCCTCCTCCTCTGCCACCGCAATCTCCTCCGCGCTGACAGCCTCGACAGCTGCAGACTCGGGCTCGGCCACCTCCTCTGCTGCCTCCTCCTCAGCAGCCGCCAGCAGCTCCTCTGCGGCGGCCGCCGCCGCCTCTGCGCCGCCAAGCAGCTCCACCGCAGCAGCCAGGTCCTCCAGGGACGGCTCATCTGCCACCAGGGCTGCCTCCGCGCCCGCCAGAAGCTCCTTGGCGGTGGCCACGGCATCCTCGGCCTCTGGCACGTCTGCAGGCACTGCCACCTCCAGCTGTGCCACCACCTCTGCCACCTCCTCCTCCAGCTCAGCCGACTGCGCCTCTGCCAGCGCCACGTAGGCCGACTCCACACACTCGGCAGGCTCCTCTGCTGGCTCCTCGGCAGGCAGTGCCTCCTTGACCACCTCCTCGACCTCCTCCTGCAGGAGCGGTGACAGCAAAAGCCAGACGGCCAGGCAGTGAGGCAGACGCAGGGGAAGGTAAGGCTTGCGCAGCAAACAGGTACGTACGGCATGCGATGATGGGCTGCCAGCAGCAGGGTAAGCAGCGCCCCGGTAGCTACACAGAATGCCAGCGCATACCTCCACAGCCGCAGCTGCAGCCACGGGCTCCTCAGCAGCCAGCACCTCGTCCTCGTCCTCGCCCTCCTCCTCCTCGGCAGCAACTGCCAGCTGCTCCGCAGTCTCTGCCACCAGGGCCGCCTCAACCTCAGCAGCAACAGGCTCAGGCACTGGCTCAGGCACTGGCTCAGGTTCGGGCTCGGGCTCAGGTGTGACAACTACCTCCTCAGCCACTGTCATCACCTCCTCAACCTCCGCCACCACCTCCTCCACCACCTCCACGGCGGCTACTGCAGGACAGCATGAGAGCAGGCGGTACAAATTGTGAGACCAGCGTTGGGAGCCGTGCAGGTACGGCAGGGCACTACTCAATCCAAGCACACCGCCAGGGCAAGCCCGGGGCCTCACCTGCTTCCGGGGCTGGCACCGCCTCCTCCTCCACAGCGGCCGGCTCTTCGCCCAGCACAGCCTCCTCTTCAGCCAGCGGCTTCACCTCATGCTTCTGGCCCAGCCAGTCATCCAGCACCAGCACGGTCTGCAGAAGCGGTGGCCCAGCAGGCACAGCGTAGCAGGCATAGCTTTCAATACAGGCCAGCCGGCGGGAGGCGAGCGCATCAATCCCAGACCAAGGTGCTGCAGACGGCTGTCATGGGTGGCCCAAGCAAGGGGGGGACAGGCACCTGGTTGCCCTCGCTCAGGGTCAGCACCAGGTTGCCGCCGGGCTGCCAGGTCACGGCATCGCCGTTGGAGATGATGTACTTGTACTCCAGAGGCTCGCTGCAGTACAGGTGGCAGTACAGGCACATTCAGGGATGAGCAGCAGAGGGTAGGCGTGCCAGTGATGATGCCTAGCAGTGGTAGGGTGCGGCGCCAGCAGCGCCGGCCGAGTCAATGTTCACCCCACGGGAAGCTCCACCTCTCCCTGCCACACGCTGCCCTCGCTCCACTCCAGCTGCAGCGGGGTGGCTGGGTCCCAGCCCGTGAAGGAGCCGACGACAGCCACCCGCTCGCCAAAGCGCGTCTGCAGGCAGGGCGCGGAGCAGGTAGGGTTGTCAGCGGAGAAGGGGCGCGGCTGGTTCTTGAAGCGGGGTGGCTGCCAGTCAGGGGTCGGTCAGTCAGTATGATGGAAGATCAGGCCCAAGAGTGCCCTGCACAGCTGCTTGGATGAACTGTGCTGCAAATGGAGACGATGGAATTGGGGTGGCTGACGCGGCCTCCAACGGCGGCTGTGCCGGCAGCGGGCGGAGGCGGCGGGTGGCCATTCCTCTGGGCCCGCCGCCCCCGGCACAGTGCAGCGTTCACAAATCAGAGCCCCTAGGCCCGCGGAGCACCACCAGGCGGCCTGTTCTGAGCGATCAGACAAATTGAACAGAGTTGCAGCAGCACTTGCCGGGTGCTCAAATGCGAACTTTGCCTTCACGGTGGGCCCGGTGCCGCTGTCATCCTTGAATCCTTGCACCAGCAGCACCCGCGGGGCCCGCCGGAGGCCTGGGCGGCGTGCAGGGAGCCTGCCGCCTGGCGCTCCCACGCAGAAGGGCTTTGAGGCCGCCTGCATGGCTGTGGGATCCAGAAACACAGATAGAACTGCTTACTGGCGCGGCGGGATGAGCGTGGGGTTTTTGAGTGGGCACTGCCGGGGCAATGCGGTGGAGCGTGGCAGGCGCCCCAAGGTGCACAGTGTCGCTGCTCACCAAGCTGAGCAGTAGTCTTGCAGTCCATCACTCTGCAGTTCTACTTCTAAGCAGGTGCTGATCTGCCCATGACGCAGCCACCCTTTGGCAATGCAGCAGGTGGTGGAGCACCATCAACCGGTGTCCATCACATTTACAGGTGTAAAGGCCCTTGGGTTAATGGCACAAATACCAGAATATAACACCGTCCTGCCGAGGAGAAGTAAAGCTCATCAATCAGATACAATCAGGCAGATACACACACGCGGCGCGTGCTCTGTATGATACATAGCGCACGGGGAAGGGCATGCAAGGGCTGGCTCCGAGGCCATATTCACCCACGCAGTAGGCGCTGCAGGCGCTGGGTCTCTGCCTCCGCCTCAGACAACAACTGGAGCCAGGCTGGACGGAGGCCGAAGCCCGCTTGCAGCCGCCGCAGCTCCACTAGCGGCGAGGCAGCGCCCTCACTCAAAGCTGCTGGCTGCAGCAGGCGGGCAAAGGCTGCGTCGGAGAGCGTGCATACATCCAGCAGCCGCATGGCTGCTGAGCTGGCGCCTTGCCTGTGCCTTGCCTGTCCTCCACCTCCTCATGGCCTGCCACCAGCTGCGCCACAGCAGCAGCCCCCTGCTGCTGCTCCAGAAAGAGCAGCCGGCACACCAGCTTCTCTGCTTCGCAGGTGGTCATGCTGCCAGGCAGCCGGTCATAGACGGCGGCCGCCGAGAGCCTCAGACAAGCCTGCAGCACCAGCCGTGCCGCCAAGTGGGTGGGCGCGGCGAGGTCGTGGCACAGCAGGTGCGGCCTCTGCTGCGCCAACGCCCGTGGATCCGCCACCCAGCACAGCCGCAGCACATCCAGCGATCGCTGCCAGTCCCGAGGCTCGGCCAGCAGCAGCTGCGGAACCGCATGCACCATGCCCCTCGCCCGCAGCCTGGCCAAACTCCTGCATTGGGGAGATGGGAGGGCTTTGGAGCAGGGTCATTTGTGACATCCATGTCAAACGATTTAGCAGCACTGGCCTCCCGCCACCGCTTCCCATGCCACAGCAGCTTGCCCCGCCGCCAGCCGACAACCCTGCCAGGCCCCCTCACACGCTGCCCTCAGCTGGTCATCCCGACACCTTGTCAGTGCGCACTCACGCTGGCCAGCTTCCAGGCACGCTGCTCCAGTTCATAGACGCAGCAGTCGACGGCGAGCGAGGGAGTGCGGCACAACACGGCGGCAAGCAGGTCACCGCCCCCGCCCAGCTCCTGCTGCAGCACCTCTGCCAGCTCTGCCAGCTCCTGGGTTTCTGTTGTAAGTAGCAGCGGGTCGGTGTGTAGGGCCGCAGCCAGCTGCTCCGGCGCCAGGCCCAGCTCTCCAAGCCCGACAGCACGCCGCTGCAGCGTGCGGGGGCTCAGCGCCAGCAGGGCCCCCGCCCCGGGCTGCTGCCGGAGAAGATCCGCAGCCAGCTGGTGCGAGGGCGGGGCGCCAGGGCCGCTGCCGGCGGCGAGCAGCCCTGCCAGCGCCGTGAGGCTGGCCGCCCAGCTACTGCTGCCGACGGAGGAGGGGCTGCTTTCCATGCATCGCACCGCCTCACGGGCCGTCAGCCCAATCGCCATCAGCTGCTCAACCAGCGGCCCAGCGCGCTGCTCCGGCGGCCAGCTGAACAGCAGCAGGCAGCGGCGCACGAGGCGTGCCAGCTGGGGCCGCTCGCAGCCCAGGCCCAGCAGGCAGGCCGCGACGGCCGCACCGTGAGCCAACACCCCTTGCCGCAGGTGCGAGGGCAGGCAGGCCACAGCCCTGGTGAGCGCTGTGGAATCAGCGCCACATGCGGCAGACAGGGGCTCCAGCGACTCAGCGAGGCCTGGGGCAGCGGGCCTGAGCTTGCCGTGCGGCCATGCCACGGCAGCTGAGGTCGTGCGGCCGGTGCTGCCGTCGCGCCCATGCACGCTGTCACCCCTGCCGCTGCTGCTGCTGATTACAGACCACCACCAGCGTGGGTTAGAAGTGCTGCTGACGGCAGGGGGATCCTCCCCCTGCAATGATGGTTGAAGCCGGTGCGTCTCAAAGGGTGCCGGCGCTGCCCCGCTCGAGCGCTGGAAGGCGGCCGGCGTTGGCGGGGCGGCTGTGCGCCCTCTGCTCATACCGCTACCCTGCGAGCACCACAAATTCGGGGGATGCCTTGATTGAGACGCAGCCAGCCCCGCGGGGACGACATGCGTGGGAGGCACGCAGCCTCACGTGCTGGTTTCGGGGCGAGCCCCGAGCCGGGAAAACGTGAATTGCAGAACCTTTAAGGGTCCGCATGGTCTCGGGCGTAACGCCTCCAGCAGCTGGACGCGCGCCGAGGTCGTCACCACGTAAGACGCCACAAGCTCACATCATGTGAGTCTGGAGTGGCTGAAAACGCGTTAAGATCAAGCAAGCCCCGTGCCATGAGGCCAAGGAGAAGCATGCCTTGAGATCTTGCACATTGGCGCCAGCCTGGCGACCCGCTGCAGCTGGCCACCACGGGCACCCCCAAGAGGGGCACATCTAGATAGATACTTGCATGCATTGGCAGTGAGGGGTCAACGGCAATGAAAGGGACAGGCTACCTGAAGGAGTGAAACGTAATTAGTATACAAAACAGACAAGGGGAGCAATTTGCCCATTCGAGCAAAGTCGCAAGGCTGAATATATCTATGCATGCATCAGAAGAGTAGGCTATCACGATACAAACAAGAACATGGTCGCTACCAGTAGGAGGACACGTCAAATTGCAGACGGGTTCATTTCACATCCGTTGGCAATGCTGCATCAGGCGTCCGCCGGCGGCGGCCACGCACTGCACAGGCGGCGCTGCAGCAGGCTGCCGCCGCTTCCCGGAGGTGCCACCAGCAGGCTCAGCGGCGCCTGCTGGCCAGCGTGGCCAGCGAGTCAGCAACAAAGTGCAGCACCGTGGCGGCGCGCTGGCGCAGGATGGCGAGGCCGCCAGCCACCAGCGGCCCCACGGCGTCCAGGGCAGCAGCCACCAGCGCCACACACACCACCAACGCGACCACGGGCATCGCGGCCGAGGGAGCCTTGTCCCGCGCACGCAGGGCCGTGGCCTGCACAAAGGCAGAGGCGGTGACTGTGAGTGAGTTTGAGCTGGAGGGTGACGCGGCACCTCAGGATCAGGTGGACGAGACTCCAAGCTGAGGAAACAGAGCAAACAGGATGCGACTGGGCCCCCTGCCGGCCAGCCCCTTGCTTGCCTTGAGCTGGGCGGTGGTTGCTTGCAGGGAGGACACGGCCGCCGCTGCCACAGCCGGCATGCTGACCGACGCCGCCTTTGGAGCTGCTGCCGCAGGCTTCGTCAGCGTCTCGTTGGCAAGCAGTGGCGCGGTCCCATCCTCGGTAGCTGTCATAGCTGCCGCCTCTGGCCCCTCCTCCTCTTGTTGCTTCTCATCAGTGGGCGTCGCCTCGGCTGCCTGAAATGCCTGCTCCTGCTCTGCTGGCACCGGCAGCTGCGTCTCCAGCACAGCCGCCACGCCATTGGCCGCTATGCTGTTGACAGCCGCGACCAGCTCCACTACAGCCGCCTCTGCGCCCTGGGCCGCAACCTCTGCCTCCTCCTTGGCAGTTGATGACTTCACCTCGTGCTTCTTGCCCAGCCAGTCGTCCAGCACCAGCACAGCCTTCAAGAAGGGACGCGAGCGGTGGGCGGGTGGGCAGGGAGGTGGCGAGACAGCCATCGAGGGGATCGGCAGCAACACGCCCAGTGAGCCTCGAGGCAGTGTGGGAGCTTGCAGGCCCCACAGCAGGCAGCAGGCAGCCCGAGCGGGACTCAGGTGTCAGGGCAGCCCAATGCGAATGCCAATGTGAGATGATGGCAGGCGATAAGCAGCTGGCAAGAAGCATATCGCACCTGGGCGCCCTCGCTCAGGGTCAGCACCAGGTTGCGGCCGGGCTGCCAGGTCACGGCATCGCCTTTGGAGATGATGTACTTGTACTCCAGAGGCTCGCTGCGCAGCACAAACTGGGCAGGTGCGAAATATGAGGAATTTAAAAAAGCAGCTGAATGTGACCAGCAGCAAGAAGAAAGACGAGGTTGAGAGCAGCAGGGAGCGGCCTGTGCTCCCCTGCCTTACAAGCGCCAGGCGCTGGCGGCGCCCGCCACTCACCCCGCGGGCACCTCAACCTCGCCGTGCCAAAGGTTGCCCTCGCTCCACTCCAGCTTCAGCGGTGTGGCGGGGTCCCAGCCCGTGAAGGAGCCCACGACGGCCACCCGCTCGCCAAAGGCGGTCTATGGGAGGAGGGGCAGGGTAGCAGCAGGTTGGTGTGGGCGACGGCGCGGGCGCCAACCGCCTGCTGCCGGACACAGCCCTGCTCCCATCACCACTGTCGTTTCCAATCACAAACAAACGTCGCTCTGAGGGACACAGCACCTGGAGCGGAATTTCGAACGCGATTCGTGTGTTGGCACCAGCAGCCGAGCTGGCTCCCTCCTGAAAGCACACCACGCGGCTGGCGGTGCGGTTGCGCAGGCTAGGCACCGCCAAGGGCCGCCGCTGGGCCACGGGCCCCAGGCAGTGCCTGGTAGACAGCATGCCTTGCGCTCTGCGAAGTCTCAAAGGAAGAGGCAGATGCTATGACACAAGGGAACGAAAACTGGCAGCCCAGGAATGCCGAGCAAGAGTGGTGGAAAGGAGGCACGGCGGCAGTGCGAGAACAGCTGCCGCCAGCTGGGCCAGTTTGCACGCTGCCACCATCTTTTCATGTTTACACGCGCCAGCATCATGAAGCACACATACAAACATGCAAACTCGAAAAATAAAGTAAAGGGAGTTCAGGGCTTCTGAAAGCCACCGTTGTGGAGAGCAGTGCCAAGCGAGCACGTTGTTTGCCGCCGCGAGTGGCGGGGCGGCGATAGACACAAGGAATTGGGGGCGGTGGAGAGGAATGCGCGTACAGAACTGCCATGCGCTAGATGCAGGTTGCCAGCAGGCGGGCCACACAAGCAGTCCATGCGTGGCGGCCCATTCCACTGCCGTGCCTGAGCTGCTCCCGAGCCGCCCGGTCACAATAAACCCCTCTCGAGGAAGAAGTCCAGGATCCAGCGATTCGCTTCCTCCATTTTGCGCCTAGAAGGCAGGTGGCGTGCGTCAGGGATCACTGCCGTCTGGCAGTCTGGCAGGGCTGCTGCGGCGGCGGCGGCAGCCGCTTTGCCCGGCCAGAATACGTCACGCTCGGCACAGATGACAAAGGTGGGAGCTGCCAGGCGGGCCAGATCGTCGGGAGGGAAGCCGCCGTGGCCGCCGGGGAGCTCTGGCCGGCGGACAACATGCCTGCAGGCTCAGGGGTGGGCGGCCACGCAGCAAAGTGAGTGAGACAGGCTTTTACATGCATCCATGGCTGGCCGCGGCGTTGGCGGAGAGTGGCAGGCCGCCTGCCAAACAGCCAGCCAAGCAGCCCCGCCACCAGGCCGGCACAGGACCCTGCACTCACTTCCATGTCAGAGGAATCAGCTCCCAGTCCGCCGGCACCGGCTCATCACACATCCCCGACAGCGCCAGGCGGGCGGTGAAGGAGCAGGGCAGCAGGAGGTAGAGCAGCGAGGGCAGCACGATGCGCAGCAGGAACGAGGTCAGAGAGACTGCACGGCGCGGAGCGGAGCAGCCCAATGAATAGCAGAACAGCACGCTGTGCGGCGCGGCCCCAGCCTCTGCACGCCGCTGCCAAGCAAGGAGGAATGGGCCACCAGCGCTGGACCCTGTGCCCACTCGCTTCCCCTGCAAGGCACCACCCCCTCACCTGGGATCAGCCCTCCAGGCACCAGCAGTACCGCCCCGCGTATCGCCTCTGGCGCCACCGCCGCCAGGTCAATAATCACAGCCGCCCCCAACGACACGCCCCCCTGCAGCGGAGGGGTTGGGGCTGCGGCAGCAGAACCGGCTTGTGGTGGTGCCAGCAGCCGCCGGCCCCCGCAGAACTTCCAGGCCCCATTGCCCATGGCGTGAAGTGGTAGGGTCCAGCAGAGCGTCTTCCGTCCTGCTGCCAGCCTGTAAGAAGGCAGGCAGGCAGGACGATGTGGAGAAGAGTGTGGATGGCGGCAAGGCAAACGTGCCTTGTAATTTGGTTAGTGATGAACAGATGAATGGTTCAGCTGCCTCATGCAGACCAACCTGGTAGGGCAGGTCTGGTACATAGATGCGGAAGCGTTGCGATAGGACCAGCGGCTCCAGCATGCGAAGGATGAAAGGGGCCGGCGCCCCCATTCCGTGCCAAACGACCAGCGGCTGTGCCGCCGCCGCGGCTGGCCCGCACACTAGCACATGTGCTGAGCCATAGCTGGTCTCGACAAACCGCTCCTCATGCTCGTATGGCAGTACAGCCAGGACTTTGTCATACAGAGACCTGATGGCTTGCTCGCCGGCAGCGCTGCGGTAAATGGTTGGGGGGCACTGCCTGGCGGGCGGCGCTGGCGGCGGGTCGGCCATCCCCGTGCACCGATCGACAGCGACCTACACTGCTCGTTCCAAGCAGGCTTTCGCAATTTGAAGCGCTCCAGGAGCCTCCAGGCGCAGCTGGGGCGCACGGCTTCCACTTGCTGTCTGGCTCGGCTTGTTCAGGGAGGGAGGGCACCCGGCGCTGGTGGCGATTACCTACTACGTGCCGGACGGTGAACGGGCAGTATGCTGCCCTAGGGTTTTCTTATGTCGGCATGGCTTGCCGGCGAGGTACGCACGGCGGTGCAGGCGTAGGGCCCCCGCACCGAGGGCTCCCCAATGGCTCCTGCCCCTCTTCTCTCACATCATCTGTGGGGGTCTTTAATCATAACAGTGTACAAAAATGGTGAAGGGGATAGGATAACAGTTTTGGGGAGCCGGCGAATAGGACGACGAAAGGCGGGAGCGGAGCAGGAGACGGCGGGAGCGGAAAGAGACAGATTTGGCAAAGGCAGGCAGGGCATGAGGGAAACATAATGTATTGACTCGAGAGAACACTTCAGCTGGAGCTTTCTGCCGCGGCCGCAGCAGACATCTCCAGCGGAAGAAGCTAATGCCGCTGCTCGGCGGGCCACAGCTGCAGCATGTGCACCGACTTGGTGAGCATGAGGTTGCGGTGGGACAGCAGGCGCCGGATGCGGGTCATCACCGCATGCGTGTCTATGTCGCGCCGGTCGCTGCTGGTGCTGACCAGCAGCAGGCCCGCCACGATGCCTATCGCGCCCAGGTCCCACGCCGTGGGCTGCTCAGCCAGCACCAGGAAGGCCAGCAGCGTGCCGACGAAGGGCTGCAAGCACTGGAAGGCGGCCACCTGCGAGGAGGAGATGCGACGCGCCGGGTCAGAGTGTGTGTGCAGCCGCAGCTTCGACAACCGTCGTGGCTGTTGGGCCCAGCGGCTCCACACCACTACTGCACACAGACATCACCAACGCGGGAAACGCGATTCCTGCGCCTCGACAGGCACAAGCTCCACCCCGCCACCGACACCAACAAGCCCGCCCGCGCACCTGTGAGGCGGGCAGGTGGCGCATGGCCCAGGTGACGGCATAGTAGCCAGCCACCGAGCAGACCAGGATCCAGTAGATCAGCGGCAGCACCATGGACCGCGGGAAGTGCCAGTCGGCGGCCTCGGTGAAGATCGCCGCCGCCAGCGCCATGCAGGTCGCCGCTGCGGGGCGGAAAGCATGGGCGCAGGCGGGGGTGGTGCAGGCGGGCGATACGAAGGTACGGGCATGCCGGCGACGGGCGGCAACCAAGGATGGCATGGCGTAGCATTGCTAGCCAGGCGCCGGCCACCGGCCTGGCCTCTGCAACCGCTCCTCTTCACCCATACAGCCCCTCTGCAGCCCCGGCTGGGAGGCGTGCTAGGCACGCACCTACAAGGTAGGCCCAGGCGGCCACGCAGATGGCGGGGTAGCGCTGCACCATCTGCTTGGACACAATGTAATAGACGGCCATGGCCAGGGTGTTTATGAGCAGGCACACATCCCCCAGCAGCATGTTGCTGGCCTCCTGCTGGGTCACGCCGTGGCCGTGGGTGGCCGAGGCGGCGCCGCCGGCCACCATGCAAATCGCGCCCGCCACCGACAGCCCGATGCCAGCCAGCTTGCGCGGGTTGCCCTGCTCCATGTGTAGCGCGATGCCCAGCAGCACGGTGAACACCTGTGGGCATGGAAGCGGAGGCAGCAAGGTCGACGGGCAGGGCGGTGGGCACACAGGGAGGCAAGCAGGCAGGTAGGCAGGCAGGCAGGCAGGTAGGCAGGCAGGCAGGCAGGCAGGGTGGTCGGCCTGAGTGATGCCGCTCACCGGGATGGCGGGCTGCATGCAAGTGGCCACCGTGACGCCCGACAACTCTATGCCCAGGATGTAAAGCAGCTGCGACAGGAACATGGCGCCGCCCATGACCCCCACCCGCCACAGATCGCTCTGCTTGGGGTGGGTCCTGCCTGCAGCCGGTGGGGCAGGGCGACACAACAAGGAGCAGCGGGTGTCGAGGGCCGGGAGAGCAGCAGCAGCATGCGGGGCCAGCAACAAGGGTGCATGTTTTTCTGGCTATCCGCACAGCAGCAGCAAGCGGGCGCCGGACGTGCAAGCGGCACCTAGCCCACCTGCCATGGCCCGGGACAGCAGCAGCAGGATGGGCCCGGCGCATGCCTCGCGAAACAGCGCATACACGATGGGCGAGAAGGCCTCCCCTTTCTCTTCATCCACATACTTCAGACTGCTCTTCAGGATGACCGAACCCACTACAAATGACGCCTGCGTCACCGCCAGGGCTGTCTGGCACTTCCACACCGCCACGGCACCCGGCAGGGGGCCTGCACAGCGCGGGGCAAAGCGGGGGCAGCCCATGCTGGGTGGATATGCATGGTGCTTGGCGGGCAACCCCAGCAACAGCTTTTCAACGCAGGAGCCGCTGCACAAAGGCCCATTGCACGCTGACAGTTGATTGTAGCTGGCACCGGTATGGCACTCCTGCCGGCGGGCGAGCGGCAGCAATCCGCCTGCCCGCCCCGCAAGCCGCTGCGCCCTCCCCTCACCTTCCCGCCGTGGCGTCTCGGCTGGGCTAGTTTGTCCCGCCTCGAGCAGGTCCACATCGGCCTCTGCAAGCCTGACATGGCCCGGTTTAATGACGAGCCCGGGCTTCCTCTCCACTTGCAAGGCCGCCATGGCCGCGCGTCACTGCCCGTGCTGTTGCTGCTGCATGCCGAAGCTGCTGAGCGGAACTTTGGCCCTGTGCACAGTGTGACAAAGACCTGATCGGGCGGTCGCGCCCCAGGCGGGTCAGGGGTGCACTTGCAGCGCAGAGGGAAGTTCGGCACTTGTGAACAAGCAAGAACATTGCTCCACAAGCTGAGCCGCTCCGGGCTCTGGCCCCCGTGGCGTTTGGGTCCATGCATGGGCAGCAGGAAGCCTTGATCGTCCAATAGCCTATTCCGCTGATCACTTTCAATCCAATTGCTGGCATCAGCCAACCCAGCAGAGCCAGCCCCCGACATTCGCCAGTCTGCTCTCTGCTCAGTCGCTTCCGGAGCGCCGGCTGGCATCCTTGATCAGCGCAGCGCACAGCACGATGGGTGAGAAGGCCGACGCCGCCTGACTTGCGACCTGCAGGAGTGTTCCAGCAGAGCCGCCGCTGGTGCCTGCCGCCCGCCTCGCCGTCGCTGTGTCGCTTCCCCAGCTGTGTACCCTTGTTCTGTGTAGCTGTGGCCCCAGCCTCCCAGATGTTCCAGCTGCAGCCATACACGCCGCCGGCCTGGGCCACCAACCTAGCCCTGGTAAGTGAGATGGGCCCGCTGGCTGTGGCGGCGCACCAGAACAGGCTTGGTGTCGGGTGCCAGTGTTGGTAACCTGTCGCCGCTGCTCCTGCTCTGATGCTGCAGCTACCCAAGCAGCGATGCCACCTGGCGCAGCTGCCCACGCCCATCCACCCCTGGCCTGTGCCAGGCGTGCCGCCCGGCTGCGAGCTGCACATCAAGCGAGATGACCTGACCGGCATGCAGCTGAGCGGCAACAAGGTGGGTCCATGCTGGGTCTTCCTGCTGCTGCCTGGCTGGTGCCAGAGCTCGCCCACCTCGTACTCCCCCTGCAGCTCTGTCATGCCGCATCGAGCGCCGGGCTCGGTCTTGGTGCTGGGCTCGTGCCGCCGCCACTCAACTCCCCGCCTCCTCCCGCTGGTCGTACGCCATTTGGTTCTTGCTGCCCTGCAGGTACGAAAGCTGGAGTTCCTCATGGCTGAGGCGGTGCAGCGGGGCCACGACAGCATAATCACCATTGGCGGCATCCAGTCCAACCACGCCCGCGCCACTGCGGTGGCCGCCCGCTACCTGGGGCTCCCCTGCCACCTCATCCTGCGCAACAGCAAGCACCTTGCCGACTCGGGTGAGGGACCAGCGGGCGCTGCTGCGCTGGGCGGGCCGCGGGTCCTATAAAGCGCAGTGCAGGTGTGTGTGTGTGGTGTGCTTGCTGTCGACAGGTGGCGGGCATGGCCGCTGCCAGCTGTGCCACACACGCCTAGAAGGGTGGGGGCAAAACAACTGGGCACTCCTCGCCACTGCCGCAGACCCCGGATTGGTGGGCAACTTGCTCGTGGAGCGGCTCATTGGAGCCCACATCTGGCAGGTGGGGGAGCAGCCTGGGCGCCGCATGCAGGCGGCTCGCTGGTGTCTTTGATCGGCTCTGGATCCCGCGTGGCTGCTCCCCTGCGCCCCTACCCTGGATCATGCTGCTGCTGCTGCTGCTGCTACTGGCACAGGTGACAAAGGAGGAGTATGGGCGGTATGGCGGCCCCGCACTGGGCGAGCGCCTGGCGGCGCAGCTGCGGCAGGCGCCCTGGGGCCTCAACCCCTTTGTCATCCCCGTGGGAGGCAGCAGCTCCATGGGGGTCTGGGGGTGAGCTGTGGGATGCATGGCTGCCTGTATGTTGCCCATCTGTGGGCTGCACATGCCGCTGGGGTTTCTACCTCAGTTGTTGTGCAGGCATGCCGAATGGAAAGCCAAAGCCTTCAAAGGTGGTGGGCTGGCGGGCTTCTCTGAGGCCTTGCTGCTGCCGCCGCCGCTGGCCTGGCGCAGGTACCTTGAGATGATGCGGGAGGTCGAGCAGCAGATTGTGGGGCAGGGATTCACCGACATCGCCATGGTGCGCCCTGGCGCTGTGCCCTGCCTGCTCGTGTGCATGTGGCTGTTTGTCGCAACATGAGTTGGCGCGCGGCCCTCCAGCAGCAGCACCAAACGCTTCGCTTTGCCAGCCGCACATTCTTAGTGAGGGCAGTACCTGGGCCGCTCCCGTGAGACGGAGGCCGCCGCTCGCGGTGTCCCTCTCGCAGGCCTGTGGCAGTGGTGGCACCACTGCGGGCATCGCCCTGGGCAACCACCTTGGCGGGCTGGGACTGCGAGTGCATGCCTATGGCGTATGTGACGATCCCGACTATTTCCACACATTCTGCGACGGGCTGCTGGAGGGGCTGGGCGCCACGCGGGATGTGGTGGGGGCCGACTCGGCGGGCATGTTCAGGTGGGGGCTCGGGCCGGGTGGCGTTGATGGTCGGCATGTCATGCACTGCCTGCCGGACTGGAGCGCCAGCTTTTGCCGAGCCCCTCGGGATGTGCTTCGGCTGTCTGCAGGGCGGTGCAGGCCAGGGGCGCCGGCTACGCCATCAGCCGCGAGGATGAGCTGCAGGCGGTGGCGGATGTGGCCGCCGCCACGGGGATCGTGCTCGACCCCGTGTACACGGGCAAGGCGCTGCACGGGCTGCTGACGGAGATGAGGGAGCGGCCCGAGGAGTGGCGGGGCCGCAAGGTGCTGTTTGTGCACACGGGCGGCCTGCTGGGAATGTACGAGAAGGTGGCGCAGCTGCAGCCGCTGGTCGAGGCGCGCGGGGCGGCGCACCGACTGCAGCTGGACGACTGAGGCAGCGGCCGACGTGACAGCTCAGCTGCTCCCAGGATCGCCCCCCCCCATGTTTCCCCTCTTATGTTTGCCTTCAAATGAGCGTCGGCATGTCGCACGTTGACATCCACCACAACTTGACCTGCAGTGAATGCGAAGCCTCTTCACCATTATGCTGTTGGATGCACGCGATATGCATGCGGATCGCCCGACTGACAGTGGCCGAAGGAGGCAGCCGGTCGTGATGGTACAGATGTACAACATCGGAAGAAATCTTTGGCCTGCCGGCCTTGAGGCGACGCCCGGAGCCATCGGTTGAGACCTGCAGCCGCCCTAGGACCTCCCCTCCGTCTTTCGTAGTCCCAACGTGAAGATGCAGGCTTCCGTGCTCTCCAGCAAGGCCTGCGTGGCCGCCCGCCCCGTGCAGGCCCGCACCGCTCGCCGCACCGCTGCCACGTGAGTCAGGCAGCAGCGATCCGTCGCAATGGGCCAGTGAAGGAGCAGAGGGGAATGGGTGGGGTTGGCAGCGGGGTGAGGAGGCGGCAAGGCTGCGCAGGCCTTTGCGGCCGCCATGGGGCATGAGCAGCTTCGCCAACCCCAAACAGCGCGCGGCGGGCCGCTTTGTGGTTCTCGGCGCACGGCGGCACCCACCCTCCTACGGCCGGCATCACGCTGCACCCGTGCCTGCTGGAACAGCTGCTGGGATTGGGCGCTGTCGGGCAGCGGAATGGCAGCAATTGATGCAGCTACAGCCGATAGGGATGCAACGAATGACGGCTCCAGGCTCACCATTCTCGTTCCCGCCTGGTGCCGCGCTGTTGTGTGCAGGCGCGCCGCCCCGGTGCAGGCCAAGTACGGCGAGGAGAGCCGGTTCTTCGACCTGCAGGTGCGGGGAGACATCTCTGGCAATTTCAGCAACGTCAACGAGGCTTGGGACCGCTGCTGTGCATTGCCAGTTGCGCTGTCGCCAACTTCTGACTGGCTGTGCTCTTTTGTCTGTTTCTCTCAGGACCTGGAGAACACCATTGGCAGCTGGGACATGTATGGCCAGGAGGACAAGAACCGCTACAACAGCCTGCAGGTCAGCACATGGAGGGATGCTCAAATGCAGCAGCCTGGCGGTGGGGCCTGCAATGGGCAGGCATGGTGGCCCGTGTGCGTGTACTGTTGGATGCTCGCGCCGCAGAATTCTGACGACCATCGTTACAAGCATCACTATTCGCCAGCATCAAGCGTTGTGTGACCCTTTCCACCTTCCTGTCTGTGCAGAGCGAGTTCTTTGAGCGCGCAGCCGGTGGCCTGACCCGCCGCGAGTACGTGCTCGGCCTGGTCGCCATCGGTGAGCCGCCGCCCCCCGGGTGGCTACCGCTATGCTGCTGCACTGCGTTGCCACACGTGTAGTTCTTGCCTGCTGCTGGTTTGCTGCTGGTGTGGCCTGTGACGGCTGCTGCCGCCTGGGCCCATCAGCGCTGGGCGTAACAGTGCTGGCGGAGCGGCTTGTCGTCGGCCAAAGTTTCCAATCGCGCTTTGCTGCTGCACCAGCCCTGACGCGCCCATGCTTTCCTCTGCAGGTGCCGCCGGCATCCTGGCGTGGGGCGCCAAGGGCAGCGCGGACGTGAAGCTGCCCATCACTGTCGGCCCCCAGCAGACCCCCGCTGTGGGCCCCCGCGGCCGCCTGTGAGCACCCGCTCGCAGCAGCAGCAGCAGCCTTGGCACCATGCTGCGTGCATCAGCGGCGGCGGATGCTCGACGCGCAGGCAGCATGAGGGCGGGTGCTGGGAGGTTGGGGCGTGGCCCATCCGCTCCCTCCCCAAAGCGCCGCCACTCCGAGAAGAGCTTTTGAGACCACACTCACATTCCTACCGTCCCCTTCGCGCTGTGTATCATCAGACTGTAACAGGTCACCACCCGTCTGGCAGCTATGTGGTGCGTTCTCTGTGGGCCACAATCCATGTGGTGGTTACAACGTGTGGCGCCCAACAGCCGCTGTCGAGCAGTAGCACAGCACTGGCGCAGCCTGCGGTGCGCGAACCAGCTGGTTGGTTCCCTGCCGCTCTGGCGAGTCGTCGGGTTCCGCCGCTTTGCGCTTGCCAGTGCGGCAGAGGCTTCTACTGCTGTTTCCAGGCTGCGGTTGCCACGTCGTTGCAGCTGCAGCTGACTGGCGTTCGTGCTGCTGCTGCTGTGCTGCTGGCCAATGACCTCCAGGAGGCGCCCCAACCTGCTGCTGCTGCTGCTGCTGCTTCTGATGCACAGATTGCTGCTGCTGGGCAAGATCTGCCGGGTTTAGTGCCGCTCGCTGGGCATCACGCGCCTGAGCTTCGTGCGGCATGCAACTTCCAACCTGCGGCAATAGATCATGGGGGGAGCCCGGCACATAGCAAAATGCACACCCGGGCTGGGGCTGGGCTACAGCTAGGAATACACGGCCTCCCCCCCCATCCAATATGATGTAAAGCAGCCTACGGGCGAGGCGCACCGCTGCCGCTCCCGTTGGGGCAGCGCCTGAGCTAGAGCCAGCTGCATGAGCTCATCTGCATGCCGGCAAAGGTACACACAGTGCATTCATTCATCGGTTTGCTGGTGTGCACACCAGCACGCCCCATCACATGGCCCCCATCACAAGGCCTACTCGCCTGGTGTGACTGTCATTTTGCTTGCAACAGTGTATGGAATGCAGGATGAAACAAGGGAGCCTCCACAGCTCAACATTTTCGTCGTTTCAGCGCGGCCACTTTCTATGGATCCAAAACTTGCTAACCAGGCGCCCATCGACTGTCTCACGCCATCACACCACCATCGACATCGAGATTGCCATTCCTGGACGCTAGAGCTGCACGATGGTGCTAGCCTGCGCCACCCAACCCAGCAGCCACCTCCCGCCACCACACAAGCGGGCTGGCCGCAGCAAGGCGCACCCGAGGCAGACATCAACGATTTCTGCGGCTGCGCGAACGCATGGCCGGCCGGCTGCAGCGCCGTGGGGCGGCGGCTGCGGCGGCGGCACGCCTCTCGCAGCGGTGCTGCTGTCGGCTGTGCAAGTGCTGGCGGCGCTCCAGCTGGTGCTGCCGCTGCCGGCGGCGGCCGACGGCGGCGACTTCACTCTGAGGAGCGAACCGGCTGCCGGAGATGTGGAGGATGAATATTTTGAGACGGTGCCTCAGGGCCTCAACTCGGCAGACAGCAGCACCGCGCCGCGCCTGGGAGCGCTTTTAGAGGGACCCAAGGGCAAGCAGATAACGCAGTGCGTGCGCAAGTGCGTGCCAACGTGCCTGCGTGGCGGGCAGGGCTCGCCAGGGCTAGGCCCCATGACACTCAGGTGAGCAGGGGTGCCTGGGAGCAAACCTGATGGGTTGTTGCCGAACCCATGCGAGCGAGTAGCGTGCGTCACATGGTGGGTATGCCTAACAATCTGGCTGACGGCAGCTTGCTGCTGTTGGCTGGCCTTGTGGCGCAGGAAGGAGATTGTGGTGTTCAAGGATGGCTACCGCAGCAGGGCGTACTGCCTGTCGGAGTGCACGCAGGTGTGTGCTCTGACCATCAACCCACCAGCCAAAGCCGAGGCCGGAAAATGAGTGGGCACACCCCGTGTGCGGCGTGCCGTGATTGGGCGCCTTCGCGCATGCATGGCCTTTCATTGCTACAGTGGTCTGCTACTTGATTTTATTGTTCGATTGATTGATTTGAGAGCACTTCTCACTGTAAATTGACCAGCAGAAGTGGATAGGGCACGCCTCAAACTCGTACCGATGAAGGGTCCTGGCATGACTGGAAATGGCGGAAGTGGGCTGAAGCCTGTCCTCTGTTAGTCGATGCGTGATGTACACAGCAGGCTTCAGGGCACCCGAGTCAAAGCTTGGCCTGCTGGCCCCTCCCCGACAGCTGCGGCAGCTGCAGCTCCTGGTGGGGCGGTAGCGGCTGGAAGAAAGACTCCACATCTTCGGCTCGCACCTGCATGGCAACATCCGAGGGTGGGTGGGCTCACGCATCAATGCCAGCATGTTGACAGGGGTTCTGCCTAAACAAGCACACAGTTAGGCAGCGCAATTGCCATGCCCACAATGTTACACCTGCTACCGACCCCACTAACCCTCCCAAGGCGGGAGTGGCAGAGCGGGGAGCAGCTGCACTCACGCCCTTGAGGCTGAAAGGCACCCAGATGGGGTTGCCGCTGCGAGTGATCAAGGCTGCCTGCACTCCTGTGTAAAAGTCGGACCCAATGTTGGCCACGCAGCGGTGCACCTGCGGCAGCACGACCAGCTGTCAATCCATTGAAAAACACAGAAGAAAGAACACCTGTAGCTGGCCACCACAAGCACCCCCCCCCCACCCACCCACACGCACCATCCTGTTTTCCATCTGCAGGCAGGCCGCCAGGTCCATGCCCGCGCCGCGCCGCAGCTGCTCAAAGCTGAGCTTCTGAGACATGGGCGAGCCTCTGCAGTGACGGCACCGGGCAAGGATCAGATCAGATCTGAGCTCAGATCTGAGCCTCAGGCAAGGGCCAGGCAAGAGAGAAGTGCGCTACCCTCGCTGGGCAGGCGCATGGCAGGTCGAAAGGCCAGCTGACGTGGGATGCTACGAGGATGAAAGATGCGGGCACTGTTGCTGGCTGCGTTGCTCACTTGGACATCTGGGCGATGGTGTCGATGCCCCACTGCCCGGCGCGTTCACAAGCCTCGTAAATCTCTTCTACGCTCGCCTTGCCGCCAAAGCACAGGTTGATGTCGGCGCTGCGGCACGGCCCGGTCAGCACGCCAACGGATCATTCCGAAGCCTGGGCGCGGAATCCGCCAGCTTTGAAGCTGGCTTGGAACACCCTCTGGCCCACACTGACAATTGGCTGGGGCCTGTCCCAAGCGGCAAAATGCGGCGGGCTTGCCTGATGGCGGCCAGCTGTCCCTCTGGCAGCGCCTCGCGTGCCTCAAAGGAGCTCAGCACCTCGCCCAGCGCAGCTGCAGCATGAAGATGCACAGCAGGCAAGCTGTGGGCTAAACCCTGCGGTCCATACAGAAAACCAAGCCGCAGAGCCAACTCCAACTGCCAAGATGACACCCACCTGCATCGCTGGCAGCGGGGCCGAGGCCCACAATGGATTGGTGCAGCTGCAGGGACGGCAAGGAACAGCCAGGACCTGTTCAGAGCAGCACGCAAGTGGCAACGCGAGCAGCAGGAGCCGCAACAGCGACGACAGCGGGCATAAGTGAGGCGGTGCAAACAGAACAGCGTGGCACCTCAGGCAGGAGCTGGGATGGGATGTAGTGGGTGGCAATGCCCGCATGTCGCACATCCACACCCTGCATAGGACGATGTGAAATGCAGCAGGCAGGTAAGCTGTGCATGATGACAACGGCAGGTAGCCGAGCGGGCATTGCCGTCAAACCCTCAGCTTGCGGCCAAAGGCCCACACCAACCAAGGGAGCGCTGTAGGCAACAGGAGTAGCAAGAGGCACAGCCTGCACCAGCAAAGTACAGCACCCCCACCTGGAGCCGGGCGCCGGTGAGGGCCAGGTACATTCCTAGCCCGCCGCGCAGGCGAGGTAGAAAGTAGGAGCCACCGACGTCCGGGTACAGCCCTATGGCGCACTCGGGCATGGAGAAGACAGTCCTGCACAGGAAGTGGTGGCGCGACTGGCTCCGTCGGGCTGGCTGGTTGCCTGCTTGCCACCAATTACGAGGTTGCAGCGGTTCCAACAACCGAACACGCGTGCCTCCTCTCCCTCACAATGCCTCGACTCTCCTCTCCCGCCCAGCAACCTGCCCCCCACCTCTCTGTGGCCACACGGAAGGTGCCATGCACTGACACGCCCACGCCGCCGCCCATGGTGATCCCATCAATCATCGCCACGTGCGGCTTGGTCAACTCGCTGATAAGGTAGTTCAGGCGGTACTCCGAGTGGAAGAACCTGCGGCACAGGTGGTACCGGTTGCAGGCAGCGGAGCTCGAGGATTGCGGGGCGCAGCGGCCAGCAGCGGGTGGAAAGCAAAATACAATTGAATGGTGAGGCGGCGGGGCGGCACGCCACCACGTCGCGTGTCGGCCCTGCAACGCGACAACACTTAAGCGGGCTCGCTGCGCGTGACCAACCTGAGGGCCTCATCCACCTGCCCCGCCAGCCCCTGCTGAACCACAGTCTTCACATCCCCGCCCGCACAGAACGCCTTGTCGCCAGCCCCCTGCACGGCACATGCCATGTGCACGGGGCTGAATACCGGGCAGCCAAGTGGAGGCACTGTGCCCATGCAAGATGCCCACCCCCGCCACAAAGCCGCGGGCGCATGCACCGCTTTGCACCCATGCCGACCCGGCGCCCTCGCCCTGCCCCATTAGCAAGCAGCAGCAGCGCTCAGCGCCGCGCCGCGCACCAGCCACATCCAGCAGCAGCTGGCTGCCTTGCCTTGAGGACAATGCATGCCACCTGGGGGTCGGCGTCCCATCGGGAGTAGATCTCAAACATGGCCTCCACCATTCGGGTGTTGAGGGCGTTAAGGGCCTTGGGCCGGTTCAGCACCCCCACGCCCACATGCTGCTGCAGCTCACTGAGCACCTGCGCTTCCAGGGGTGGCAGATGCGATTAGGTAATGGTCAGTCGGTGACCGCATGGTGGAAAGGCCCTGGGGTAGGTGCTGAGAGGGCCAAGCTCCTGTGGCCAGATGCAGCAGCAGCGCTGCAGGACAGGGATGCCAAGAATGTTCCCACCTCGCACTCCCCTGCCGTGCTCATGCCTGCCACGACGCGGAGAGACGCTGGTGACGCGGCCGCCACAGCAGGCGGTGTCCGCCCGGCAGGCTGGTGGGGTGTCGTGAGGGCCGCTGCTGCGAGGCGTGACGCTCCCAGCAGCGATGACGGGCCCCTGTACGCGATGCAGCCTGTCGTGGCACGCAGTAGCGCGAGCATAAGCGAGAACGCGAAAACCAGGAGTTGTGATCGGAGGGCGTCAGAAACCTCCACACAGCCAGCACCACGCCCATCAGCAGCAGGCAGGGAGGGAGGGTTCACGGCACCTTGTATGCTGACTGTGCTCGGCCAGCTGGCGGCGGCGGCAGCAGCCCTGCCCCGCTGCAAAGTTGTGACCTGGCGCTGCACCAACTGGGCTGCATTCCATGGCCTGAGCAGCATCTTCACCATGCATGCATTACATGGAGTGGTGACAGCGAGGCGCGAACCAGCTCTGCCGAGAGGCACCGGCTGCTGGGGCTACCATGGGCTCTGGCAGTGGGGGCATGTCGACTTGCCGCTGCTTTTGAACCACTTGTACAGGCAGCCGCCGTGGAAGCGCTTGCGGCAGGTCCGACAACTGCAGGCAGCACAGCACCGGACACAATGGCTTGGTTGAGTCGGTTGGGCGCCTCTGAAGACGGTCTGGTGGGCAGGAAGGCCGGCAGGCAGCGCCAGGCGAGCGGCCCTCACGGCTGACACCCGGGCCCACCTCAGGCGCGGCAGCTGGCCGCTGGTGTGCTGGACGATGCTGTAGCAGATGAGGCACTCCTCCTGGCCTGCAACCGGGGGCAAAGCGGCGGCGGTGTGCACGAGAGAACGCTGCACAGGTGCATCCCCCTGCCCTTGCCTGGGGCCGTCCACACCCCGTCACTCTGCCCTGCACAGAGGCGGCCCCGCCACCTACCCTCAAACTCCTTGTCTACGTTGCGCTTCCAGAGGCTGATGGCCTCAGCCACGCTGCCATTCTGTGGGCGGGTGAAAGCAGCAGTAGCAGGGTGTCAAGTGCCCTGGCATCCGGCCTGGTCCCGAGCCAGGTTGGACGCGGATGCAGGCAAGCTGTGTAGGTGCAGGCAAGCTGGCCAACAAAGACGGGCACCAAGCAGCGGCGAGGGCTGCCCTGCACCAGGCGGGCAGGTCAGGGCACTGACCTGCATGCGGAGGAAGGCGCTGATGCTGAGCAGCCACTTGCGCAGCCGCCCCTCGGACACGCCCACCTGAGCGCCAAGAAGGGCAACACTTGTGGTGGTTTGAGCAAGAGCAAGAGGAAAGCACTCTTCAAAATTGGCAGCCTGTCATTAAGCAGAAAGCCTCACGACGATCCCCCATGCAACAGCTCATGCCAGCGAGCGCTGCATGAAGCTCCAGGCCTGCAACGGCCAGCCGGCCTGGGACCCCCGGGCCAGCCAAGAGTGAAGCCCACCTTGCGGCGGCATTCCAGCTCGGGCAGGCGCAACGGCATGCTGGCAGGCAGCTTGACGGCCAGCTCCAGCAGGTGCCCATCCTCCACCTCCATCACTGCGCTCCGGCGGGAGGGTGGGTAGGGTGGTCAGGCAGCAGCAGGGGCAGGGAGGGCAGGCGGCCGAGCAGCAGAGGGCCTGGCTCGAGCGATGCCGCCCGTCGTGCGGGGATAGGCCGGATACCAGGCTGCATCCCCGCCTCAGGTGCTCTTGCGGTGCCGCCCTTCCACCCTGCTCACCGGCGATGACCTCCCGGCTGGTGGAGTTGGCCCGTACCGAGAACTTGTCAAACTTTCCAAAGGCGGAGGCGGCCTGCAGCAGGGAAGGTGGATGAAGCAACCTCATTACTTAATAGGCTAGCGTCCAGGCAAGCTACTGCTCATCACGCGGCGGAGAGCGACCGCCACCTCCTTGGCCTCGCGGGGCCGGCAGGCAGGCATCCAGGCAGGCAAACAGACGGCCAGGCAGGCACGGCAGAGGAACTGCCCAGGAGCCACACCTCCCCACCCAGAAGCCACAGTGCCTACATACCTGGGTGACAGCCGCAAACTCAGCAGACAGCAGCTCGCCGCTGACGGCGGCGGAGGTGTACCGCTCCACGGCGCCGGCCGTACCGCGGTCCCGCAGGTCGGCAAACCACAGGCGCGCCGACGCGGGCAGCGCCTGCAGCACCGCCGAGTACAGCAGCACCGCAAAGCGCTGCCGCCGCTGCTGCTGCTCGCCTGCTGCGCCAGAGGGCTCCGCATCCAGGCGGCCAGCGCCGTCGCTGCTGCCGGCACCGCCATCGACAGGGTAAGGGCCCACAGCCAGAAGCTGCGCCGCAAAGCCGCCGCCGCCGCCATCGCTGCCGCTGCTGCTGCTGGGCGTCGCAGTGCCGCTGGTCGTCGGTGCGGCGACAGCGCGGCGTGCCCCTGGCGTGCCACCGGAGCTCTCCCGCCTGCTGCTACTTGCCGCATCCAGCGGAAGCAGCGGCACGAGAGCGTCCAGCAGGGCAGGCACCAGCGCATGTGCATCCTTGACGGCTTGAACCAGCAGCCGCCGGCCGTGTGATTCCGCAGGCGCAGCCAGCACATGCGCCAGCAGCAGCGCCCAGCCAGTGAAGAAGCCGGCGCCCGCGCCGCCGCCGGCCACCGCCGCGGCCAGCTCCGGCCGAACGCCCACTTGCTCCAGCAAGGCTGCGGCGTCTGCGCCGTCGCCGCTCCCACCCGCAGCCGCCGCGCCCTGCTGCCGCTGCTCCTCCATAAGCTGATCCTCGTCCACCCCCTCAGCTGCTGTCAGCGATGCAGTCAGCTCGGTGTGTTGCAGGATGGCAGAGAAGGCGGCGGCTGCCATGCTGGGTGGCGGGATGCCCGACAGGCTGAGCGCCAGCAGAGACCCCAGCGCATCGACGCCTGCAGCAGGGCAGGGCAGGGCAGCCACAGCACGCAGCTGTTTGTGAGAGCAGGGAGGCCAGGTTTTCAGCTATACGGGAATCCTGTTCGGACGCAACTGCATCACAACGCCTGGAGTGTTTGCGTGCGTGCTCACCAGTCGAGTCCATGCCGCCGTTCGCCCGGTCAACAGCTGCCAGTAAGAAAGCACGGTCGGCGGCGCGCAGCGTACTCGCCACGTGCTGACTCAGCAGCTGCCAGGCGGCCGCCGACTGCGCCGCCGTCGCGGCGCCCTCCTCGCCCCGCCGCCCGCACATCCACCCGGCCAGCTCGTCTGCGGCTGCCGCGCCGCTGACGCCGGCCGCTGCAGCGATGGATCCAGCGGTGACAAACAGCTGCAGAGCATCGCTGCACACGGCGGCCTCCGCCGCCTGCCAGTCCCGCTCGGACAGGCTGCGGCAGGTGCCCGCCACAGCGGCCGCGCGCGTGTAGGCTTGCAGCGTGGGCATCAGCAGAGGGAGCAGCAGCTCATCTAGGGCAACCAGCTGGGCCTCCAGGCTGGCCGTCACGCGTGCAGCCTCTGCTTGGGCCTGCAGACAAAAGATGACACTGTTTAGAGAACAGGCGAGTGCACTGAGCTCCGGTCCGGCGCCGAAAAGCAGTTGACAGATGCAGCCAAGCTCCCATGACGGCTCTCTGGTCGGACCAGCATGGGCCGCTGCTCCGCCTCTTTCCCTCGCTTCTCCCCAGGACCCGCCCACCTTGGCTGAGCGCTCCAGCACACCCCTCAGCTTGAGCCGGCGGAAGAACTGCAGCGCCACCGCCGGGCTCTGCATGTCGGCGCCCACCGCAATCTCCGCTGCAGCAGCACACACCGTGGCCGCCACCTGGCCCGCCGCCGCCGACAGCGCGGCGGCACACTGCCCAAACGCCGCGCGCAGCTGCTCCAGCAGGAGCCCCCACTGCTGCTGGCTGAGCTGCTGGCTGGCATACGCCACTGCGGCGTGCAGCAGCGCAGCCACCGCGGCTGCCACTGCAGGCGGAGTTGGCTCGGCGCTAGCCCTGGCCGCCCCGGCAGCCGCCTCCAAGCGGGCAGCCGCAGCCGCACCCTTGGCACCCCTGGCTTGGTGCTGCAGCAGCTGCACCAGGGCTGCCTGCTCCTCGGCCGTGCAAGAGCCCGCAGGTGGCAGGGCCGAGGCCCCCGCTGCCTGCCTCTCCGCCGCTGCTGCTGCTGGCACCGCTGACGGTGGGGGCGCTGCGCCGGGCTGGCGAGGCCGCAACCGGCTGGCCTCTGTCTCGCGGTACGCCGCTCCATCGAACTTCACGCCGTAAGAAGGCGGCTGGACACTCGTGTCAACAGCAGTCACCTGCAGCACACGGCCGTGCCATGCACAGCAAGGGATCAAGCTAGCGCGACCACCACCAAACAAGCTGTGCAATGAACCGTTCCTGGCGTGGCACACGGTGTGCAAGGCAGCGCCATCAGGGCGCACCTCAGCTTCCAGCCAGCCGCCGTCCTGCTGGCGGTACCACACTTTGTCGCCCTTGGCATAGGATGAGGTGGTGCTGGTGCTGCTGGCGCTAGAAGTCTCCTGGCCAGCTGCTGTTGCGGCGCCTGGAGCTGGCAGCTGCGCCGCTGCCTCGGCGCCAGTCGTGCAGGGGAAGCATGCCACAGCAGAGAGCAGCAGGTCTACTGCAGCTGCCTGCTGCTCGCTACCGTCTTCCAACAATGCCACAGGATCTGCTGCGTTGCTCAGCCGGCACAGCTGCTGCGACAGTGTGGGCAGGGCAGACTGCTGCAGTAGCAGGGTGCTGCAACGGAAGACAGGTGCCACAACGGGCAGCAACTGGCGAAGCAGCGCCGGCGACATCGGCAGCTGTGCGCCTTCGCCTGCCGCACTGGCAAAGAATCTTGCCGCGGCTGCCAGGCTGGTGCTGCCGCCGCCCGTTGCTGCCCGCAGCAGGGCACACAGCACAGCCGCATGACCTGGGGAGCTGGCTGTCGCTGCTGCTACCTGCAGAGTCCGCTGCAGCAGCGTGCCTGCCACGGCTCCTGCCACGTAGTCTAGGAGTTGCTCCTGCTGCTGGCGTGCCGCCGCAGGGTCTGCCTGCAGTGCCGCCAAAATGCTAACAGCTGCGTGCGCTGCTGATCCTGGGTTGCTAGGCGGCAGCAGCGAATCAAAGCCTGCTGCTGCTCCTACAGCCGCTAAGAAGAGGGCTTCGGCCTCGCTGTACGCGTGCGCCTTGCTACTGCTGCTGCTGCTTGCGGCATCCTCTTGTTGCTGCGGTTGCCCCACCAAGGCTTGCAGCAACTGCTGCTGCAGCTCGCTGCTGCTGCCAAGCACCGCAAGCAGCGGCCCGGCCGCCTCTGCTGCTGCTAATGCTGCTGCCGGCGAGCCATGCCACAGGAGCACGCTCTCCACTGCATGCTGTACAGACGTAACAAAGGCGCCCCGCTGCTCTGCAGCTGCAGAGCCCAGCACGCCGGCAATGGCTTCCGGCTGCTGCCACAGCTGCTGGGCGGCCACCGCGGCGGCCCCAGGCTGCTGTGGAAGCTCTACTGACTCAGCATCGCTCTCATCCACAAAGCTGGCCGCGCCATACTGGCTGCCACCCTCTGCAGCCGCTGCCTCTGCCTCGGTTGCAGCATCGTGCAGCAGCAGGCGGAAGGCTGTTGCCAGAAGCTGCAGCCGCAGGCCGAGCACCTGGCTGCTGCATCTGGCATCCAGCGCCGGCGACAGCAGGGCTGCCTGCAACGCCTGCAGCACTGCCGCGGCTGCTGCTGCGGCGGCAACATCTGCTGCTTCCCCGCCTGCCTGCTCCAGCTCTGCCTGTGCTGTCTGTAGCACCTGCACCAAATGCTCAAGCAAGGCAGCCTGTGCCGCTTCCGACAGCAGGCTGCTGCGGCCGTCTCCCGCCAGCAGCAGCGCCAGCAGCCGCGGCACTGCCGCCTCCTGGATTGCTAAAGACGGGCCGCCGCTGCCTGCCAGCATCGCTGACACCCGGTCCAGCTCTGCTGAGCGGCAGGCTGCCACAGCCAGCTCGGGGTGCTGGCCTGACACAAGGTGCTCCAGAAGCAGCGCGGCGGTGGACGCCTGCTGCCGCTCCAGCAGCTGCAGCAGCACATCAGCCAGCTTGCGGAGCGGGTGGTGCACCTGCATAGGAGCAAAAGGGATGGGTAACGACGAAACCCAGAATCACACGATGCCATCGGACGCCATCCACATTATCACAAGCAAGAGGGGGAGCAGCAAGCAGGCTATGCCCCACCCCCCTTGGCCACCAAACCATGCTGCCAGCATACCTGGGGCAGGCACGAAAGCAGCAGGTCGCAGCTTGCGGCCGCGGCCTCGGGCTGCTGCTCGTCACACAGGCGCCTGCAGGGGCATAGCAGGGAAGGGTCGAGTCGGGGACCCAACATCGGCCAAGGTTGGCAAGGGAGGATGAGGTCACAACAAAGCAAGGCATCACGGCACAGTGTGCCGTCAGACAGAGGGAGGGGCGACAGGTGCTGCCCGCTCACCGCAGCACGCTCTCAATCGTGAAGCTGGCGCTCTGGTGCAGGCGCAGGGAGGCGACCTCGTCGCTCACGCCTGCCGCCGAGCTAGAGGGGGGCGGCTGGCCCTCGCCTGACTCTCCTGGCCCGCATGCAGCACCCTCGCTGGCCGGCGGTGTGCCGGCTGCCTCGGCAGCCGCATGCTGCGGGAACGACTTGAGAAGGGCGGCGAGCAGGGAGGACGCTGCCGGCGGGGCCGTGCCACTGCGCACCTCTGGCAGCAGGAGCGCCACAAGCGGCTGTGCCACTGCGGCGCCCACGACTGCGCCGGCAGACATGCCAGCTGCCTTCTCCAGGGCAGCCACCAGCGCTGCGCATCGATCGAATGGCTCGCTTCCGCCACCGCCGCTCAGCGAGTCTTGCAGCGCGCTCGCCAGGCTGGAGCCTACCAGCTGCAGCAGCGCCTCCAGCCGCTGCCCGCTGCTGGCGCTGGCGGCTGGCTGGCCCAGCCTGGCAACCGCGCCTGTCAGCACAGCCTCGGCCTCGGGCGCCACTGCCGCTGCACCCGCGCTGGCCGCGGTCACCGCCGGCATCAGCGCCTGGCTCAGCGCAGCCTGCAGTACCTCTGAACTGTACTGCTGCCCCGGCGAGGTGGAGCCCGCGGTACTGCCATCCCCACCGACTGCCGCAAGGGAGTCTGCCTTCAGCAGAGCATACAGCAGGCAGTCTTGGTAGGCGGCCGCCGCAGCCTGCCGCGCCAGCCTGCCGCCCAGGGCCCCCGCAGCCAGCGATGCCAGGCCCTGCCAGATGCTTTCCAGCAGGGAGACGAAGAATGTGGGGCGGGGTCCCAGCGCCTCCTGCAGCGGGCAGGCAGGCGGAAGGGAGGTGTGCTGGCCGCGCGTGGCATGGCTGTGGCATGTATGTGATCACTGAGCTTCTGCTGCCAAAAGGAACGAGTGTAAACAAACACAATGTCACTCCATTGTCTGAGCACTGCTGGGTGGTTCCACCACCCAGGCCTCAGACCTTCCTCACGCACCTGTGGCAGCAGAGAGACCAGCGGCAGCAGCGCGGGGTAGGAGCCGGTGGCTGAGCCGTAGCAGGAGTGGCGCAGGAAGGCCCAGAGGCGCGGCAGGAAGGACTTCTGCACACCGGCAGGGCGGGCAAGGCGCCATGGCTTGTGAGAAGGGGCACACTAGCGCACATCGTCTTGCGGTGGGAAGCACAGACACGTCCAGGGAAGCCAGGACTGGCCTAGGCAGACCAGGAGCAGGGGACGATAACTTGTTGAAGTCACGAGGAGCAGCAGTGCCGGCCTTGCCTGCATGCTGATGTGGCGCCAGCTGTCTGGCAGGGCGCGGGCGTAGGCCAGCAGCATGCCCCACATCGCCTCGTGGTTGCCTGCCTCCTTGTCTGCCAGCGCACCCAGCACAGCGGGCGCGGTGTGGGCCGCGCCGCCCGCCAGCAGCCGCGCCGGCGCCCGCTCCGCCGCGGCTGCGACCAGCCCATAGGCTGCCCGTCGCACAGGCGCCGCCTTGCTCTGCAGCGCCGTCTTGTAGAAAGCGGGCAGGTCCAGCTCCGCCCTGATGCCATCAAGCAGCTCTTGCTCCGCAGCCGCCGGCGCCGCCGCCTGCTCCGCCGCGCTGGCGGGGGGTGCTGCCAGGTCGAGCAGCGCAGCCAGGGCCGAGCAGGAGGCAGCCAGCACCCGCTCCTGCCGGTCCTGAAGCTCCTCCACGCTCTCCTTCTTGGCGTCCCCCAGCGACTGCGGCGTGCTGGCCAGGTTGTCGCCCAGAAGCTGCAGCACCTGCAGGCAGGGAAACGGCCCCCCCGTGCCAGCGGCGGGACGCAGGGCAAACGTGAAACGGGGCCCCCATGCCAGAGGTGGGAGGCAGGGTGTGACATGCACCACCAGCGCGCGGCTGCCTCTGCCTCTGATTGTTTTTGTGCGCTGCTGCTGCAGCGATGCACATGCAATGCAGGTCAGGCATGGATGGGAAGGGGCTCAGATCTCTGCTAGTTAGATTGGTTTTCATCAATGGTGCGGGGGCCGCCACGACCGCCGCCGCCGGCCACCAGCAGGTCGGCGGGGTCGCCGCCAGCCTGCTGCCCGGCGGCGGCGGCCGCGGCGGACACCCCTGTCAGAGCCCTTGCGCAAAATCTGTGGCTCATCACCGCCCCTCGGTTGCTCCCAAGTGCACGTGCAGGTTCAGCAAATATGCATTGCGAGCGCAGGCGCACGTGCAGGCTGGCATGTGAAGGCCGCGGCAGCAAGCCACCAGCAGCTCAATCACCCAGCCCGTCCGCACCTCTGCACGGCAGTACAGCACGGCATCCCGCTGCTTGGCGGCCGTCGGGAAGGCGGCCGCAAAGGCTGCCCTGGCGGCGGCTGCCGCCTCTGTGTAGCCGTCGTGCTGGGCCAGCCACCACGAGGGTAGCAGCGACTTGAGGAGCGGGGCGATGCCGCGGCCGACGGCGGCCGCCATGGCGGCGGTGACGTGGCACGCCTCGGCCCGCACGCCACGGTTGTTGTCCAGCACCAGACGGCTGAACAGGTAGGCCCAGCTTGGCAGCGCAGCCTGCACATCCACCGCCGGCTTCTCCTTGACGAGCGCCTTGAGCGCCTGCAGGGGTTGGGGGGAGTGGGCAGGGAGCGCAGGTGGGCAGGGGTGGGGATGCAGGTTGATAAAGTCCAAAGGTGATTGCATCACCTCGGCGAGCAGCCACGCCCGCCGTTGCCTGCAGCCTGCTGCTTGCACCCGCAGTGCTTGCTGTGACAATCAGTGGCGGTTGCAAGCTGAGGACGCCTGCCGGCCGTGCCGTCACCCTGTTGTCTGGCGCCCTACCTGCAACGCCTTGAGCTTGGTGGTGGCATCCCGCTTGGACAGCTTCTGCAGCTGCTGCGCCAGCTCGCCATCCAGGTCGGCCGGAATTATGGCGGCGCCACGGACAGCGGCGTCGCTGGCACCTGCGCCGCCGCCGCTGCCGCCGCTGCACCCAGCGCTGCCCACCGCCGCCTGCACCGTGCTGACATACTTGGCGCCAAAGGAGAAGCCGCCTGGGGCCGGGGGCGTGCTGCCGGAGAAGCTGCATGCCACAATGCGGGAGAGGCAGGCGATCAGCCATCGGCTGGGGCTCCATCGCTGGGCATCAGCCCCTGGCAACCCACCCCAGCCACTCACCCCCCGAATCCTGCGCCCCCAGCAGTTCGGGACAGCGCTTCAGCCGCTTTCGCAGCACTGATGCCTTGGGACTTCCGGTCCCCTTTGCCCATGTCGATCCATGAATGAATGGAGATACTGGGCGCGTTTTGGGTTGCGGGGTGACAGGTCAGCGAGTTGCCACATACTGGCCCGAAGCTAGGCTTCCTCACATCACGGTAGCCTCTACTTACCGCCAACTCCCCGCCCGGCCCGCCGCCTCACCGCGCCTCCCTCGCAAGTCAGGGCGGTCTCGCTCCACCCTCTCTCCTCTCCACACTCGGCCAGCCCTGCCACCCCAGCATCAGCGCCACCAGCTCGCCGTCCTCAGCACCACCAGCGCAAAACCCTCGCCGCCCTCGCCGCCGCCTGACGTACGGCCCGCTGCCGCCCTCCACCCCGGGCGGGCGCCGAAACGAGGATGGCGGGCCAACCGAACCTTCTCAGGACTTCGGCTCGCGTCTCCCTCACCGGGCACCACTCTCTGCTGTTGGATGTCCCCGACAACGGCCAAGATACACACCACCTGATGACCGTGCGCTTAGACTCCATGTGTGAGCAGAAATGAACCAGGCTTGTCGCTCCTATCCTGAGCATGCTGTCGCCTGCTGGCGGAGGAACAGTATGGCATGCGCAGCCTGCATGTGCTTGCCCCTGGCTCGAGCAAAGTCCACTGCCTGCCTTCCCCGCTGCCTCGCTGCCCCAACTCGCTGCCTGCAGTGCAAGAGCCGGGGGACGGCAGCACCATCCACTGTCCCAGCCTGCGGGACGAGCTGGAGGCCAGGTGTGGCGGCAGTGCTGCATGCAAGCAGCGGCATACGCCATCTAGCGGGCAATGGATCTTTGCCTGTTCTGCCTCAAGCGAGCCCCTTCTGTGTGTGCCTGGGCCCTGCAGGCCCTCCCCATTCATCACACACAACTACTTCGGCGGCGGCTTCGGTGAGCCTCTCAGCACCACCTGCAGCATGCTCGCTGTGCCACCCCAACCAGCTGCTCACCGCTCCTGCTGTGCTGGCCTCCACCGTTCTTTCCTTCCCCACATGCTGCTGCCGCTGGTGCGCCGGCAGACGCCGACGGTTGCCCGCACTCAACGTACCATCTCCCTCCTCTGGTTCTTGTGATGCAGTGTCAGATGATGATCGTGTGTGCCTGCAATCCATCAAGTTCGCCACTGAGCGGTCGGCCGGCAGCAAGAGCCAGAACAACCTGGCGGCGCTGCGCCCCATTCGCATCTCCGAAAACGCCCGCGCCGACACCACCCTCACCCTGCCCGACCACGCCATTCGCTCGGGGCCGCGCGAGGTGCGCCCGCCAGGCTGATGCACAGACGGCCGCTGCAGCAGCAGCACCATCTCATCATGCATCTCCGTCCTGCACGGTGCATGTGTTGCGGGTCACCACTGGCACCGCACCCTCTCCGTATGAGTTCCTTGCATGAGGGACTCCCTGCTGGCGTACAACGCGATTCCCGTCCCACCCACCCACTCCCCACAGACCATCTACCACAACCCCAAGGACACCCACGTGGCGATCTGCACCGTGGGCGGCATCTGCCCAGGCCTCAACGACGTCGTGCGCAGCCTGGTGCACAAGGCGAGCCGCCGCCCCGCACGCCCCTGGCTCCACCGCACAACACATGCGCGCCACCTCACTGCAGCCTAACTCTGCCCCTGGCCTCGCCGCGCCTGTGCCCGTCGCCAGCCTCCGCCCATGCACCCACTTTGCATGTCCACGGTTTGTTTTGTGGAGCAGGCTCTTGACTACGGCGTGCCAGAGAGCAACGTGTTGGGCATCCGGTTTGGCTTCCGCGGCTTTTACGACCGGGACCACAAGCCTGTGGTGCTGACGCGCAGGTGGGAGGCGAGCAGGCAGCGGCAAGGTGCTGGTCTGTTAGGGAGTGTGGCCGCCTAGGCGGGCAGGAGGCAGGCTGCCTGGGCAGGCAGCAAGGGCGCGATGCCGGTCCAGGCAGTGTGGGCGGCCACATAGGGACGCTTAACCACTTGCCGGGCAGGAGGCAGCCGGCTTGCCGGCTGTCCAGCATGGGCAGGCCTGCCATGTGGTGGACGTGTGCGGCACATTGTGCCGGTCCCACGCTTCCGTGCTCTCATGCCCCTTGTGCCTGGCCCCCGGCCTGCCTTCTCTGGCTTGCAGGATGGTAGAGGAGATCCACCTGGAGGGAGGCACCATCCTGGGCACCTCCCGTGGCCTGCCAAACGTAGCGGGGATTGTGAAGCGGCTAGGTGGGCATGCGCGGCTTGATCGGCAGGGCGTGGGGCCAGCCCCCAAGTGCTAGCCATGGACCGGGGTCTGCTGCACGGCGGCTCCAGAGCCCTCCATTCCACGCGTTTCCGCCGCTGGCTGGCACTCCTCTCAGCGCCTCCTTCCCTCCCCTACCCTCCCCGCAGACCTCTGGAAAATTGACATCCTGTTTGTGGTGGGCGGCCGCGGCGGCAACGCGGCAGCCGAGTCGATCCACCGCGAGTGCCGCTCCAAAAAGGTGGGCAGGCTGCACGGGCGGTCGCGCGCTCTCTGCCGCGCCCCACTCTGTGTTCCTGTGGCTGCCGTGCGCCACCAGCCGCAGTGCCCAATTCTCCGTACGGCGCATCTGCAGGTTCCCTGCTGCGTGGTGGCGGTTCCCAAGAGCATCGACAACGACTTGCTGCTCATCGACAAGACCTTTGGGTTTGAGACCGCTGTGGAGGAGGCGCAGAAGGCAATCCTGGCGGCCAAAGTGGAGGCTAGCAGCGCATGTAAGGCTCGGGCCGCTGCCCGCATTTTGCAGCAGGTTCAGGGCACCGTGCTGGCCTGTGCTGTCACGCGTGATGAGGCAGCCACCGCAGCGCCACTGTAGCTGCATAGATGCTCTGCGGCGTCCTCAGCTGAGAGGCGTGGAGGCCTTGCCGCCACTGCCGCTGCCTTGCAGATCGTGGGATCGGGCTGGTCAAGCTGATGGGGCGGCAGTCGGGCTTCATCACAGTGCAGGCAAGCCAGTCTTGGGAAGGAGCTCCAGCACGGCAAGCATCACAGGGAGGGTGGGCAAGCACTACAGGGCCGGGGCAGCTGCAGGTGCCTGCCCGCAGCCCCTGCCTGAACCTTTTCCCCCCCCCGGTGGTACGTGGCGCCCTCGCTGCAGGCCTCTCTGGCGGCGGGCATTGTGGATGCGGTGCTCATCCCCGAGGTGCAGTTCACTCTGGAGGGGGAGAAGGGGCTGTTTGCCTATCTGGAGAACATCATCGAGACCAAGGGGCACTGCGTGCTGTGCGTGGCGGAGGGTGCAGGCCAGGTGCAAGTCCGCCAGCAGCACCGCTGCGCTGCGCTGCAGCTGCTGTGTGGGTGGAGGGATCGGCCGTGTTGTGTGCGGCTGGATCATGTTCCTGTGCGATCAACATGGCAGTGGCGTTTAGCTTTCGCTGTAGCTATGCAGACGCTGGCCGCTCATGCCGCCAGCGCCATTGCCTGACGCCCTGTCGGACTGCAGCACCATCTGCAGCAGGAACACCCCGCTGCTGCTGCTGGGCACAGCGCTCCTTGCTTCGCCGGGCAGCTGAGCGACGATGACGTGCCTCTCTTGGTCCCCCAGTCACTGCACGCTCGCCGCGCCTGCCGTGCCGGCTTTTTTGTCCCCTCAACTCCTGCCAGCTACCCTTGCACCTTCTCACCACCATGCAACGGTGGCACCTGTGCCTGCAGGAAATGGTTGACTGCCTGGGAGAGCAGGCCATGGACATCACCGGGCGGCCCATCCTCAAAGATGTCGGCCTCTGGCTCAAGCGTGAGCTGGGCGGCCGCGCAGCGCTGGGCTGCACAGCACAATGCCATGCGGCCTTGGTGCAGCCAGCGCAAGCCAGCTCATTGGCCGCAGACCTATTCCGTTTTGCCTCTCCTTGTTTTGTCATGCCTGCTGCTCTCCCTCCTCTCGTGCGTGCGTATGCAGGCAAGATGAAGGCTTACTTCAAGGATTGCGACATTAAGTACATCGAGCCAACCACCATGATCAGGCGAGAAGCGTGTAGTCTTTTCCCAAGCCAGGCTGCTGAATGACCAGCCCCGCAGCAGGCGCCGACTGCTGGGCGGCTGGCTGGCTGGGCGTCGGGAGGCCGGCCAGATGTGCTGGGTGTGCGCACTGCGGCGGCCAGCCCACGCTGCCGGCTCGGGCCCCGTGCCTCGCGCAGGTCGATCCCCACCACGGCGGGGGACCGTGTGTACTGCAAGATGCTGGCACATGGGGCCGTACACGCCGCCTTCGCAGGCTACACCGGCATCACTGTGGGCCTTGTCAACACCCACGTGAGCCGCTGGGCGAGGCGCCGCCTGCGCTGCCGCATGCCGCAGCAGCGCGGTGGCAGCAGGGAATGCCGAGCTGTCCGTTCCGTGCTCCGTTCCAGCGGCCTGCTGCCTGGCGCTACCTGGCAGCAGGCGGAGTGCAGGGCAGCGTCCACTGGCGCAGCAGCAGCGCAACATTCGGAGCTGCCGGTGTGCTGCCACCGTCTGTCATCCGTCCCTGCCCTTGCTGTCCTGCCTGCTCCGCAGTATTGCTACCTCCCCATCCCGCTCATCATCCAGGCGCCCCGCAAGGTGGACCCCACAGGGGAGCTGTGGAACAGGCTGCGCTCATCCATCGGTGAGCACGCGCTGGTGTCACAAACCCTACACCAGCACAGCAGCTGCAGCTTCCCCAGAGCGCTGACCTGCCGCCCGCTGCTGCTGCAGGCCAGCCCGTGTTCGAGTGATGGGCCTGGACCCACTGATGCGACTCTGCCCCATTGATGCCCCACCGACCAAGCATCAGCTCATACCCCCACCTTTTCTTCAAGAATGAACTCGCTTAGCACCTTTACTGCTTGCTTTCCCTTGCGAATGATGTATTGCCGTCTTCCATGCTACTGCCGGCTAATTTTGCGCCCCTCTGCTCCCTCCGCACGTGTTCCATGGGATGGGCGGCTTCGCCTTTTTTTTGTTCTTGCGATTCAGTTCCTCTCCTTTCGGTATTTGTCTCGTCCTACATTGTAATTAAGCGTACGTGTGCATGCACATTACATCTTGCGCCTGGCTGCCTACTTCGCCGCATCTATGCTGCCCGCTACTTTTGCCCGGCGTTTGCCACAGCCGTTGCCGCCCCGCCTGCTGCCCGCCTGCTCGCCAGCGCAGTAACATGTGCTGCTGCTAGAGTCACTCGTTTCTTTGGGGGCGCCCGCCGCACATCCCACTCACACCTCTTGCCTTGCTCGTCTGGCGGCGCCTGCCTGGCGTCGGACTCGCGGCGGCACTGACCATTCCTCCAAGATGCGTATTGCAGTTTTTACATTCGCAGCTTGACTTCCACGACTTATATCCCTGCCTTGCTTCGCAATGGCCGACGCAGAGCTCCCGGCCGAGGAGCAACCGCAGCCAGGAGCAGCGGAGGTGCGTGGTTTGTGCCGCGCTTACATCAATTGGCTCGCCTTACCTCGCGAACTCCCGATGCATCCCGAGGAGCACTCCCGAGGAGCACTCATTTTCTGCATGCAGGGAGATGTCGCGCAAACAGCAGAGGCGGGCCAGCCCATGAGCAAAAGCCAAATGAAGAAGCTGAAGAAACGCCAGTAGTGAGTGGCGCAGCCATGCCGCCGCCCACCGCCGCCGGCCGCCGGCGGCTGCCGCCAGTGCCGCCAAGAATCATGGTTGAACAGTTCGGCCGTCATCCGCTGGCCCCTTGCCCGGTGGCGCAGCTATGAGGAGAAGAAGCAGAAGCGCAAGCAGGCCGAGAAGCAGCAGAAGCAAGCGGACCTGGAGCGGCGGCGGGAAGCGGTGAGGCTCGGGAGTGGCAGCCCAAGCTCCGGCCTGCCTGCTTCAAATCAGGGGCATGCGCCCTCATTTATGACATGCCCTGGCCGCCGCTCTGGTGCCCAATGGTCTCAGAACCTGTGACATTGGTGTGCAGGGCCGGCAGCGGATCGCGGCAATGACAGAAGAGGAGCAGAAGAAGTGGAGGGAGGAGCGGGATGCGCGGGGGCTGGCGCGGAAGCACGAGCGGCAGGAGGCCCGGGCACGCATGGAGAAGGTGAGCACGCAGGGGGCAGACTTGTACCTGAGCAATGCCCTCCATGGCAAGCGCGCGGGGTGCTGTGTGCCGGCCCAGGATGCATTCGCTGGAAGGAACATGCGGCTTCCCTCGTGCTCCCACCAGCTCAGTTTGGCCTATCGTTCTTCTCCTCTGCGCTTTCTGCGCCGCCTCCCCCCCCCACACATACAGGCCCAGCCCCCTGCCTCTGACAACCACCACCTGCCCCCCCACCTCTCCCCTTCCTTGCAGGCCCTGGACATAGGGCAGAAGATTGTGATCGACCTCGACTTTGCCGACCTCATGACCGACACCGAGCTGCGCTCCATCTGCCAGCAGCTGGGCTACTGCTGGCACATCAACTGCGCCGCCAAGCACCCAGCCCACCTGGCGCTGACCAGCCTGCAGGGCAAGATGCGGGAGGTAATGGGCAGGCAGATCAGCGGCTACCTCAACTGGCAGGCCACCACCACGGAGAAGGTGGGTGGGGGTCGGGGCTTGCTTTGTGGTTGTGGTTGCCATCCGCAGTTCCTCGACAGGAAGGTGCAGCGCATGCGACATGTGCAGCAGAGAAGAGCGTTGCTACCTGGCATGGCTGGCGGTCAGCTGGCTGGCCGGCCACCTGGCTGGTGGGCTGGCTGTGAGCTGGTGCCGAGGCCTGCCTCGCACCACCTGCCCATCCCATGCTGCAGCCATACATAGAGCACTTTGCCGACTGCAAGGACAGGCTGGTGTATTTGACGGCAGACAGCGAGAATGAGCTGCAAGAGGTGGGCCAGGAGCACGGGGCAACAGGCGGGCAACGTGCGCGGGTCATGTGGCTGGCCATTCTGCCTGCACATTTCCTGCTGCCGTCACCACGTGCCGCTGCCTCATTCGAATGCTGCCCGCAGCTGGACCCTGAGGCCATCTACATTGTGGGAGGCATCGTGGACCGCAACCGCCACAAGCTGCTGTGCTACAACAAGGCAGAGGAGCAGGTGCATGCCGGGCTGGGTCTGCAGCTAAACACTGGAGCATGTTGCGCACAGTTGGCCTGCCAGACAGCCGGCCAGAAAGCCGGCCGCCAGCCGCGCGCGCTCGCGTGCTCGCGTGGGTTTGTGACCCCACCGCTCTCCCTCCTGCACCGCACGCCCGTGCAGGGCATCGCGCACGCGCGGCTGCCGATTGGCGAGTATGTGCGCCTGGCGAGCTCCCAGGTCATGACCACCAACCACATCATCCACATCCTGCTGCACTGGCTGGAGCTGAGGTGCGGGGCACGCAGGGACCCCAGTGGCTGTGGGCCATGAGGTGCAGCCAGCGACAGTGCGGAAGAGCGCCGGAGGGGTCTTGGAACTGTGCTGCTAGTGTTTAGCATGTGCCACCCGACCTACACCCGCCCGGTTGTCGCCCTGCCGCAGGGACTGGAAGGCAGCCTTTGAAGCCGTCATTCCAAACCGGAAGCGCAAGGGAGGCGAGGATGAGGAAGCCGGGCAGCTGGAGGAGCAGCAGGAGGGGCAGGAGGCTGGTGATGAGGGGCATGGGGACGCAGCACAGCAGGTCCCAGCCAAGCGGCAGGACCGGGGTGAGGGGGAGCAGCCTGCAGCTTGGGAGGCTGCTCTAGGAGGCCAGTCTGGGAAAAAGGCTGGCGAGGAGCAGCAGCAGCCGCAGGCACAGGCAGAGACTGGAGAGGAACGAGCACACTGAGTTGATGCATCCTGCGTGCCATAACTGTCCACTGCCGTTGCAATATCCGCCCTGCCCTGGTGAGGTGTTGCATTACAGGTCCAGGTCAGGAATATAACATTAAAAAGCGAGAATAGCAGGAATACAGCAACAATCAGAATCGGTAACAGTGAATGTAGCAAAAATCAGCAGGCATCAGGGCCGCATGCTGACCGTGAAACGGAAGTGCAGGGAGCGCTCGACAGTAACGCGGCTAAGGTCGGGCAGAGTGTGGGGGGGCTCGCCTGGCGGCCGAGACTCGAAGGCCCTAATTGCAGGGCACAGGCACACAAGGGGGCCAATCGGCCTGTAAGCTCCAGTGAACATGATGTCGGTCTTGCAGCTAGCTGGCTCCAGCTCCCACCGCAGGCTGCCTGGCAGCCGGGCATCCGCATAGGCTGTGGCGCACGTGATCTGTGCCAGAGGTCCAAGGTCGGAGTGAGCCATGCTGCTGCTGCCCTCACTGTTGCTGCCGCTGGAGACTCCGCTGCTGGGCCCGCTGCTGGCGCTGTAGTGGGCTAACAGTGTTGGCAGCGCTTGTGCTCGCAGGGTGAGCTGGCCGTGCAGCGTTGGGCGAGACACAGGTGGCGCCATCCAGCAATTCTCAGGCATTACCATGAGGAGTGTCAGGCAGGGCATCCAGTAATATCCTCGGTAGACCGCCGTCTTGCCCTCGAAACAAGCCGCCAGCTCTTCCGACAAGCTGCCGGGGCCGCACACGGGCGCGGAGCCGCCTGGCTGCACTTCGCCCTGCCCCAGCCCCTGGCCCCCTGCCAGCTGCTGCCTGGGCCCGCGACGCTGCTGCACCTGTGTGGCAAGCCGATGCATCCGCGCTGCCTCCTGCTGAAGCCACTCGAGCGGCACTGCCAATTCCAGCTGCAAGGGCTGCGCCGCTGCCAGGGCCAGACCTTGCACTCCGGGTAAGTCCGCAAAACAGTAGCGCCAGGTGTTGCCAGACGACAAACCAGCCATGGCAGCGTCGCGCGCAAAGCTCGCTGCTGCAAGCGCAACTAGCGCACCGCTCCAACCTCGGAAGATTGGGTGGGTGTGAGCTGCCACCACCAGCATGGCGCTGTCCACCCGAGCGAATTCCAGGTGTTGCAGCAGCTGGTTGGTTGCGGCCTCCAATGCCTCGCCACCCAGGCTGATAGAGTTGGCTTCCAGCCAGCGCAGCACAACCAAGAATGCTGCATGGCAGGGAAGGCCGCGCAGGAGACGGCGTGTTGCAGGCGGCGACTACAGAGCATTGCGAGCAGGCGGGCAATGGTGCTGCCACACAGGGCCCCCAGGGCAGCCCAACCCTTCTGGGGCTGCGCCTCACCCGTCTCCTGGGCGACCCACGTTTCCGCTGCTGGCTGGGTGAGCGCCGCCACCGCTGAAAGCGGAAGCGAATCAAACAACTGCCCCGCGTCTTCGTCTGAAAACACTACGCTCAGCGGGTGCAGCAGGCTGTCCAGCCGCGCCAGGCACGCAACTGCCACCCGCTGCAGCGCGCCGCTGCTGGCCCCGCCGCTCCCGCCACTGCCGCTGTCGCCAAACGACTGCAGGGCGGCAAAGATGACGGCGGCGAGATCGCCTGGAAGCTGCGGCGCCAGCGGCTCCAGGGCCGCAGCCGCTGCCAGCACCAGCGACTGCACCGCATAAAAGTTGGCCAGGCGGATGAGGTGGTAGAGGCGCAAGGCGTCGCGGGTGGCCGCCGCGGACAGCTCGCGTGTGTGGATGAATGCCAGCAGCTCCCGCATCGCCTCCGCCTCATCCCGGCTCTCCACAGACACGCGCAGCACCATGGCGCGGCCAGGGCTGGTGCAGGTGGAACCAGAGATTGGGTCGCCGGCGCCTTCAGCAACAGCGACGTCGGAAGCGCCAGAGCCGCCGCTGCCGCCCCACCGCTCAATCTGGGCCCTGCGACACGCGCGTGCCGTGCATGTCAGCACGCTGCTCCTCCACCATCTCGCTGGCCCGTATCGGAGCTCGCGCTGGCCTTACCGAAAGACGAGGGAGGCCTTGGCGAGCTGATACCGCACTGCGGGCACGCTGAAGGTGATCCCGCCTGCTTGCTCTCCATCGGCTTGATATATGACGACACTAGCATCGCAGTAGACAGGGGAGCTCCAGGCCTGTCTCATAAACTCCTGCTCGTCCGCGTCCTCTGCAGCCATGGTTGCATAGTATCGTCCTGCAGTGGACAATGGCAGCCAGGGAGAACTCTGAGAAACCCGGGGCAGCTGGCGCCCCGTCGGCGCCAGCGCTCTTCTGGCCAGGCCGAGCTGCAGATTACTTGGTTGCATGGCATAATAGTATAACCGTAAAATTCTGAAAGGTACAAGCTAAGAGGGTGCTGCACACATTGCTGCGCCGTCGAGGGACCTAGGAGGGTGCCCCAGATGTGCCGGGTGACGCCACGTAAAACAGCAGGTAGCACTGGCGCTGCCGCGTGCTGCTGCGCGCCTCGGTGGCGCTGATGCGGCTGGTCAGGCTGTCGTTGAGGCGGTGCCAGGCGCGGGTGGCTGGGTCGCAGATGTCAGAGGTGAAGTGGCCGCAGGAGGCGGCGGGGCCCTCGTGGTTGACCACCGCATGCAGGCGGTACAGTGCCGGCGGCGTCTTGGTACCGGCCCCACCGCACGCCCCGTCTGCCTCTGCCGCTGCGTCTGCCGCGCCCTCTGCCGCCTCTGGCCCGTCCTGCAGCAGCGCATCGTCCTCCACTATCTCCGCGTGACGGTAGGCTGGAGGCTCTGCTACCGCCTCTGCTGGCACCTGCACGTCGACAGCGCTCCAGTCGCCCCCGCCAGCATCCACCTCGCGGGCTCCGGCCGCAAGCTGCTGCTGCTGCATGCTGGGCGCTGCTGCTGCTGCCGGCGCACCGCCGACCCCTGCGGCACCTATGGGCGCTGGCAGCAGCTCTCCAAAGATCGAGACGACAGGGTCAGGCCGCCCCTGCTCCTGCCCCTGCTGCTGCTGCTGCTCACCCTGCCAACCGGCCACAGCCTCCGCTGGCCCAGCTGCCAGCGGGAGTGCAGCAGGTGCGCTGCTGGCGCCCCCTTGGTCCAGCAGGCTCAGCTGCAGGGCCCGCTGCAGATCCGTGTCCTCTGCCGCAGCCACCTCCCCAGCCGCTGCACCCAGCGCCGGGATGCAGCTCAGCACGGGCGTCACGGTACCGTCCTCGGGATCCTCGACCGCAGCGGCAGCTGTACCCGCGGCACCGTCCCCGCCGGCGGCAGCCAGGCCGTTGCTGCCTGCCGCGCCCGCCGCCGCCAGCCGTTGCTGCTCCTCCGCCATGCTCAGCTGGATGGCCCGCTGTAGCTCCTCCTCTTCACGCTCCGCCGCAGTCTTGCGGGCCCCACCGCTGCCTGCCGCACCGTCTGCGTCGCTGCCATGCTGCTCGCAGGCCGACCCCAGGCCTGTTGTGTACCACTGACCGCGCAGCTGGTGGCTGCTGCCAGCACCAACCCCAGCCGCCGCCGCCGCCACCTCTGCTGGCAGCACCACTTCGGTGGCCGGGTTGGGGATGCGGGCGCGTACCAGCACCACGCCTGGCGCCTCCTCATCTTCCGCGACCCGTCGCCCAAGCCCCAGCTCCCAGGCTGCCCCCAGCCCCTCTGGCTGCTGCTGCTGCTGCTGCTGCTGCTGGCCGTGGTGCTCCAGCAGGCTCATCGCCGTCGCTTGACGCAAATCCTCGTCCTCCGCATCCCGCAGAGCACTGCAGCATCAGTGCAAAAAAGACTTGGTAGAAGAAGGGGATGCGGCAGCAGGGGAGGAGACGAAGCGGGCACGGAAGGCACCAAATGCTGCAAGCACAGGGCCGGGAACAGGGGCAGGCGAGGGCTGCTGCTCGCCTGGATGCTCTGAGAAGCGCCCCCGCCCCGGGCGTGCCGGGCAGCCGCCGCTTCACAAAGCCTGACGAGCCGGGGAACGCGTCCTGCGGCGTGGTGGACAGCAGCGCGTGCGCCGCGCCGGGCGTGCCGCCGCCGCTGCTGCCGTAGAAATGCAACCCTGAGCGGGCCTTCAGCTGCGTGTCGGGCCGTGCCGGCGCTGCGGCAGGCGCGCCATCGTGGCTGCTGGGCTCCACGTTTGCCTGCTGCTGCTCGTTCTCCTTGCCCACCTCCTGCAGCTGCCCTCCCGGCAACGGCGGCAGCGCGCCGGCTGCCAGGTAAGCGCCCAGCTGCACCACCTCCGCCATCTCGATGCTTGTGTGCAGCTTCTGGCAGACCGCCTGCTGCTTCTCCGCACTCCAGCTGATCTGCGGTGGGGGCAGGGGAGAGCGCAGGGAGGCGCCAGTCGGTGCAAGGGAAGAGAGCGAGAGTTACCGTGCTCAGCACAGGTGTCACAGCTACAGCTCAGGGCAGGCGGGCAGGCGAATCAGTAGCAGCCCACGTGCCTTGAAACGCTTCATGTGCAACACGAGGATGCGGGGCAGGCGGCGGATGGTGTGGCGCAGGCTGTGCGGTTGGTTGGCGCCACCGCACCCCTCGCAATCCTTCTCCACCTCCTCCTCCTGCAGCAGTGCCGGGAGGCCGGCAGGCACCGGGGGGTCGCTGGTGTACGCAACGGGCACAGAGAGCCAGGTGCAACAGGCGCAAGGCAGTCAATTGTCTCTGGAAAGATCTGAGAAACAGCAGCCCAGCCAGCACGGGGGCGGCTCCCACCTTGAAGTAATCCCTGAGCAGCGTGGCGATGGAGGAGGCGGGCGCAACGCTCCCGGGCTGCAGGGTCACCAGGCCATGGCTGGTCACCCAGGGGCCAGCCAGTCGCAACAAGGACCAAGGGTCCCGGTCCCGGGCTGTGTGCCATCATTGGCTTCTGCAAACTTCAGCACAGGAGCAGCGCACCATAGCCGACCCCACCTGCGGCTCTGGCAGCTCCAGGCTGAGGTGCATGTACTCTTCCAGTACGCGGCTGGCCTGGCCGCACCGCCTGCACGTCAGCTCGTGCTGCACCTGCAGACCGGCAGCCGAGGAGGGCGCAGCGCTTGGTTGTGGCCCAGGCTCGGGTGGGTGCCGGGCTCCCCGACCGCCCTCGCCAAGCGGCACCAAGCCACGCACACAGCCGGCCAGCCCCAGCCGACTGTACATCCTTCCGTCCCTCCCAAAGCCCGCAAGCGCCAGGGCACCAAGCACCAAGGCCCACCGCAAATCCAAAGTTGCGGGCCGCAGGGTCCGCCGTCTCTGAGATGCGGATGCGGGTGCGCCCGTAGCGCTGCACCTCCCGGCCCAGCACCTCGCTTTGCAGCACATCCAAGAGGCCGCAGAACAGCTCGTGCGCATCCTGCACAGAGAGGGCGGCGGGAGAGGGAGGTGCCCACGAGGAGGTCGTGCTTCAGTGAGTGTGAAGGGCAGGCAGCACCAGAGGGCGACACCACAGGTTGGGTGCCAGCGAAGCGCCGAAAGGAAGCCAGCAAGCATAAGCGTGGGATGTCCCCCAGCAACCCGCCAGCCCTTGCTCCCCGCCACAACTGGCCCCAGCCACACCCTGCAGCCTGCCCCCTCTCGCCTGCTGGAAGGCGCCCTGGAAGGCAGAGGAGGCGGCATCCAGAGCCCGCTTCAGGCTGGCCGGCGTGATGTAGGCCTGGCCCCTGCGGCACAGGAACATGCCAAGGCATCAAGCAGGCATCAGTCGCTGACAACACAGGCAGCCGCAGGCATGACAGCTGGCCTGGTAGCGGAGGGCGCCAGCGAGAAGCAGAGTGAGCGAGGGAGGCGAGGGGCACAGCGATTGGGGAGAACCTCCTCACCCAGACAAGCTGTCCTTGGCCGCCACACAGTCGAGCAGTGCCGAGTAGACGCCTGCGGCGCTCAGCGGCTGCCCCGCCGCTGCCAGCTGCTTCCGGCCCTGCCTCAAATCGGCGATGAAGGAGGGCAGGCTCAGCAGCACCTGCAAAGAGAGGGTGGAATGGGCAGGGAGGCAGGCGGCACAGCAACGGGTTGTTTAATGCAGGTGGCTCTTGTTTGTGTCCCCAAAGGTTCCTCCGCCAGGCCAGACGGAACAGTGCCAGGCGTGCCAGGCAACAAACACTTGCCTGCAGCACTGCGTTGAGATAGCAGGTGTTGCCTAGGTTGCGCATGCCGGCAGGCAGGCAGGCGATGCTGGCGCCGCCGGAACTGCGGCCAAACAGCGCGCCGCCGCCGGCGCTGCTGCACTGCCCCCGCCGCCGCCGCTGCTCCTCTTCCTCCATGCGCTGCTCCCTCAGCTGCTGCTTAGACTCGCGGTCAGCATACCAGTCTGTCAGGTGCGTAATGGTGAGACTCTTGTAGCGAGCCAGCGGCAGGCCGCTTGATGCCGGCCCGCCCAGGCCCGGCAGCCGTGCGGCACCTGCGGGTGGAAGCAAACAACGCACGCACAGGATGGTTTGTGACACCATGCAGGCCTTGAGGGTTTTACGTGAGCAGTCAGGCCTCCAACTGGTTGGTAGCCAGGCTGCCACCACATACCTGCAGCGCACAGCGGCGTTAGTTCCTCGGTGCGTTTCTGCTTCTTGGGGGTGGCCTGCATGCTGGTGAACAGGTTGCAGGCGTCGTCTCGGCCCTCATTCTCGCCTGCCGCCCGCTTGGCCCTCCTGGTAAAGGTGATGGGCGCGAGCAGCGGCTTGACCGGCCCGGCCGCCTTCTTCTTCACGCCGCCGCCCGCCTGCGCCGCTTGCAGCATCTGCCTGGCGCGCTCTGCAGGGGCGCACACACCAGAGGACGGGGTCAGAGGGCTGGAGATCACTCGGTGGGGCGCGGCGGGGCGCTCCTGGCCGGGTCGGCCCGCCCCGTAAACTCACTGCTGGCGCCCGTGTACATCGCGAGCTCGCCTGGCGGGCCCGACATCTCGAAGGACTCGTTGGGCAGAGAGTGCGGCGTGGAGAGCCAATCAATACATGCGTGCTGTGCTGCGCTCCAATTGCGCACCATCCCCAACTGCGCACCGATGATCCAATTTCGATCGGAAAAGGCGAGGGGAAGGTTGAGCAAAGCTGCCCTGACAGCCTGCCCCAGTAGGTGAGGATGTTTTAGCGCGGCGGCGGGGCCTGGTACAGGCGGTGGCAGCATGCAGACAAACCTGCGGGGCTGCTTGCAGCAGCGCTCGGTGTGTACCGGGGGGGGCAGAGTCAGCTTTGGCATAAGCGCCGTTTGCCGCTCCCACCGCCTCCCGCTCACCGTCTCCGCCCTGTCCGCCGCTTGGCCGCTTAATGTAGGCCGCTGGACCTCATGTCCATCCACTATTTTCTCTCCGCTTCGTCCCACTAGCCCTGCATCTGCTTGCTATACTCACCACTCTGGCGACCCAAGTGTAACAAGCTGGGTGCCTAGCAACAAAAGGGCGCGTAGCGCATCTGGCTCAGGGCCGAAAGAAGATCAAACGTGCTGCATAGATGAGAGCTGTAGAGAGAACATACAAGGCGGAGGTGCAGGAAAGTGATGGCATTAGGAAGCGGTACGAGAGCAAAGCATTACTGGAGGACTGAGATGTTGAAGTTGAAAAACAGCCGGCTGGGATGATCTGCCATTGCTTCGGTTGATTGTTGGCTGGGGATTGCTCCGTCATCGGGCGAGCCATCAGAGCTCCAGGTCGGGCAGCTGCTCGGGGTGGGACAGCGCGCTGTGCATGCTGCACTCCCGCAGGCCCTCCACAGACCCAAGGCTGGATCGGCGCCACAGCGGCGGCGCCTGGTGCTGCCGCCCATCGGCGGCGGGCTGCTGCTGCTCCGGCGCCGCCGACGCGTCCTCCGCTGCTGCAGGCTGCCCGCCTGGCCCCTCCCCAAGGTTTCCCAGCTCCGCGGCATCCAGCTTGAATGTGGGGTAGCGCTGGGTGTGCAGGGATTCCTTCCTAGATTTGATCCTGTGGGCAGGCTGCGCGGGCCCAGGCGCCGCCGAACCCTCCCCGGTGTCTGGATCCATGTACTGCCGCCGTCGCCGCCACCGCCGCCGTTCCTGCTGCCGCCACTGGGTCTTCATCTGCTGGCCAGCAGCCTGCTCCGCCTCGCTGTCGCTGTCGCCCTCGCTGCTGCTGCTACTGTCCGCCGCCCCTCTGCAGCAGGGCAGCAAGCCGCAGCCCAGGGTGCCCCGCCCAGCAGCCACCGCCGACCTGCCGACCTTGCCGGCAACACCGCTGACCCCCCGCATTGCCTGCACGTTCTTGCGTGCTGCCCTGGCTGCCAGCACCTCGAGCATCTCAGGCGCCCGCTCCTTGCTCTGCAGGCTCTCCAGATCCATGTTGCTCAGCACAAGTGCCTTGCCCAGGTCTACTGCCGCAGCCAGGCGTTCTACGCCCTCCGCGCCGCCTGGCTGCGTCTTGCTGGGCACAAACTGCAGCATGGCAGGGCACGGCAAGGCAGAGGGTGGAGACAAGGCTGCCGCGCCGCACACTGCGACTCCACCTGGCCACATGATTGCAGCCCGCCAGCTGCCGGGACGGCCTGCCTGATGGCACCGGCGTGGGTGGCGCCGCACCGAGGGCCTCGCACCTGCGCCTTGAGGATGGCCGCCAGCGACAGCGCGTAGCTGCCTGCCAGGTGGTGCCGCGCGGAGGTGCCGCCGTGTGTGACAGACATCTCAAAGTAGGAGGGCCGCAGCATGAGGTCGCCCTTGGCGTTGATGGTCACCCGCTTGCCCACCCGCCTGAACCCAAACATGTCCTGCACATGGAGAAGGCAGCCCAGAGGGCAGCAGCACCAGCGGCCCTGAGGGGCGGCACCAGAGCCATGCTGTACTGCCCAAGGCTGCAGCGGGTGTCATAACATGTGCAGCATCTAGGGTGTACTCCACTGCAGTTCACACCAGCCAGCACAGCAAAGGAGCTTACCCCGGGCACCCAAGGGATGGGATCCAGGCCGTTGATGACGGCCCAGGTGTCGGGCACGGCAGCATCGAACTCCTCGGCAAACGCATGGTTGCCCACCTGCGCATTTGCCCCGAGGGAAGGAGGGGCAGAGCGATGAGTACAAGGGAAATGCAAATGCTACAGTAGCCTGTGCAAACAGCGATCCAGGACTGGACAGATGCAAAATGCCCTGCCTCTGAACAATCCCAACTCACCCGTGGGCAGCCAAAGGTATAACAGGTCAGCTGGGAGTTGGGATGCTCCCTCTGGATCTCCAGTGCAGCCAGGGCAGCCAAGGCGCCACCCAGCGAGTGCCCTGAGGCGGCAGGCAGAGGCGGAAAGCTGTGAGGCACACAGGAGCATGGCCACAGCACCATGTGCGCAGTGCAGTGCAGGAGACCAGAGGCAGTGTGCGCATGCGCCGGTGCACAGCTGCTCTGTGACTGCACGCCCTACCTACGATCCAGAAGCGCAGCGGCGTGGGGCCCTGATCCAGCTCCTTCAGCCGATCCAGCACCTTTCGGTTGAACCCGCTGTGCACCCATGCGCCATTGAACCCTGCATGCACCTGCAACCAGACCCCGGGGAGACGAACGGGCGCTTCTAACACATTGGGCTCGGGGTTAGCCACCTCATGCAGGCTGCCAGCTTGCTCATGTCGTCGATTGGTGTGTGCTGGTCCCCCCACCTTGACCAGACGCCCCTGCCGCCTGCGCCTGGGCTGAAGGGGCGACATCCAGGTCTTCAGATCGGTCATCACATTCTGGATCGACTTGGTGCCCCTGCGCGCTCAGCACACAAAGCACACAGCACAGCGGGTCGGCACGACATGGTGGGGAGCACCGCACAGCGATGCGCCGACTCCAGGCAAGGAAGCGATGCCGCTCTGGGGTGCCTCAATTGGCAAGTCAGCGCACCTGAAGGCTACGACCACCTGCGTCTTGTTCCAGCCCAGCACCGCGTGCGTGTCTGTGGTGTCGTCCCAAATAGTCTCTGCGAACTCAAAGGAGCCAGGGGCAGCAGCAGCAAGAAGGTCACCGCACACATTTCCGTCACGCGGGGCGCAGAGGGCGGCATGAGGAGGCCCTCCACTCCGGGAGTGCCAGCCACCACGTTGGCGCCAGCTTTCAGCACTCCCCGCTTGCAGCAGCAGCAGCATCAAGAACATGACAGGGGCCTGTGCCACCCCACCCACCAAAATGGTCGACAGAGAACAGGCGCAGGCCCGTGTGGGCGTTCACATAAAGGTTGGTGAGCGCGTCACTGTGGCGGTATGCCAGTCGCATCCAATAGAACAGCTTGATGGCTGCACAGGACATTCAGCGCGTGGGTTGGTCAACAGCAGCATGTGAGGCGGCATGAATGAATGAATGGTCAGCCTCGAGGCGGCGCGGCTCGCGCTGCTGGCAATCCCCACCACCTCTTCCTCCTGACTTGAGCAGCAGAAAGTGTACAGCGAGACATTCGCGACTGCACGCATCACACCCACCAGTCTCGATGCAGAACATCGGCTCCTGCCGCAGCTGCTCGGCGGCCTGCTGTATGTCTGGCACGCCCCTCAGCCTGGCCAGCACCTGCGCCAGCTCTTCATGCAGGTGGCTCATCATGAGCGTCACGCCGGTCTGCAGCAGCAAGCACACGGCGGGGAGGGGCAAGAAAGCGCACCCAAAGGAGTGAGAGGGCATGCATACCAGCTGCAGACAAAAGGACAGAGTGTGCAGGCGGGGGCGCAGCACGATGGATCCATGCCTGGCTGTCGGAGCTAGGAGGCGCCTCCGTCTCCAGCAGCAGCTCGTTGCGCTCCTCAATGGCGGCAGGCATGCCGTCCAGCGTCCAGCTGAAGCCTTGTAGGAACTCCTGCAGGTGGGCGGGCAGGCAGGCAGGCACCACACCCAGGTCAGTACATACTGCCCAGGCACCTGGGAACACCTCTGATCACACGTTCCGCTGCTGGTAGCTGGTCGGATGGGCGGCCGCAGCTGCAGCACCCACCTGCAGCAGCGGGCTGTCGAGCGCCTTTGCCTTGGGCATGTAGAGGATCACCATCACCACGGTGCTCACAGTGAGCGCCATGTCCACCTGCGCAAACCAATGAACGAGGATGCGTTTTTTTCCAAACCGAATCTGTGTGTACGGCGTGTGGTTTGTGTGTGCAGATGTTGGTTGTGTGCGCATGGCACAGAGCTGGCATGCGCATCTCACAGGCAGGTTGCCCATCTGGCCATCTACCGCCGCCCAGCAGCTGTCCCGGAACGAGGGGATGAGGGTGAGGAAGAGCACGGAGGCCACCACCGCCAGCAGGACGGGGCTGACCACACGCAGCAGCACCCGAACAAAGATCAGGGTGGACCTACGCGGCGAGAGCAGGGCAGGTGGTGAGGGCAGGCAGCACGCCAGCACGGCGGATGGCAAGAGGAGGCCGAGAGCAGGTGTCAGTGCAGGCAGATGGGTGCATCCAGCAGCATAGACCGAGCTAGCCAGCACAGAACAGCAATTATGCCAGCCCATGCCAGCAGGGCAGGGCGTGCCTGTAGTGGCTGTACGGCAGCTGCCCATGGTCCTTGAGCGCCCGCAGCATCCACCGAATCCAGAACACGACATAGACAAGGATCAGCACGAAGGATATCACTGCACGCACCAGCAAGGAACGGCGAACACGTGGGGCAATGCTGCTGCGCGGTACCGGCGCCAGCAAAATGCAGCAGGCACTGGCGCCAGCAAATGCCACCCGTGGCACAACTGGCGGACCAGGGGGCTGCTGCCAGGCAGCAGAGCGCACCCGCCACGGTGGTCTGGGAGACAGAGGTGCCACACTCCTCCCAATTGTCCAGCAACGTATCGCAGCCCTGTTCAAATTCCAGATTGCCCTCTGTACTGTAGCGCAACAACTGCACCGCGAAGCAGGGACCAGCAGCAGCAGCAGAGCTGGGCACATGCAGCCACCCCACGCCCGTAAGCGAGTGGCCCCACAGGCAGGACAGCGCCAGGCACATAAGGAGGCGAGCGGCCCCCTACTTTATCAATCATGCCACCCAGCGAGGCAGACATGAGCACCACCCAGAGGGTTAGGATGACTCTGTGGTTGCGCAGGATCTCATGCGCTGGCCGGTCGACCATCAGTCGATAGTCTGGCTGCAGCAGAGCAGACACGTGGGACAGCTTTACTGATGGAGCATTACTGTGGCACTGTGGGTATCTACCCCTCTGAAAGGCCCTGGCCTTCCACTCGCAGCACATGCCAGCCAGCCAGCCAGCATCAGAAGGCAACAGTGGGAAGATGGCACGGCGGCTCAGCTCACATGCATGTCCAGCGCTCCCTTGCCCCGCCAGACTGTCATGTTTTGGAGGCGCGCCAGCAGGAACAGCATGAGCGAGGAGAAGAACATCCACTGCAGTGCGCAAGATCACGCCTCGGCATCAGCTTGCCGGCGCAGATCAGGCTCGGGGTGCAGGCACAGCAGGCAGGTAGGCAGGCTGCCAGGCGTGCTTGCTGCTGCCAGGCGCGCCCCACCTGCACAAACTCCAGCACAGCAAGCACACGCCACGGATACTGGCAGTCGGGCCGGGTCAGCACCGCGACAAAGGCCCCCACGAAGGTGGCTGAGTAGGGTATCTGCAGCCCCAGCAGCATCGCTGCCGTGCGAGTGAAGTAGCCCTGCCGCTTGGTCCTGCAGGGGCAAAAGGCAGGAGGCGGCGAGACAGGAGGGCGGGAGGCTCATGGTGGCTCCATCCCACGACAGCCTAGATGCACGCTGCACCTCGGCTTCCGGCCCCTGTTCAATTGCTGGACGCAGCGTCAGGACCAGATGGCGGCACCCAGGCTGACCAGCGCGGAGCGGGCAGGACCAGATGGCTGCGCGACTCACCACACTCGCCCATCCTGCCGGCTCCTGCGGATGCTGGTCAGAAACCAGATGAGCATGGCCACCAGTATGGCCAGGCTCACGCTGCCAATGATCAGCTCTGCCAGGTAGTAGGGCCTCAGCTGCAGGGAAGCGAAGAAATGAACGATTCCTTGGTCAAAGGAGATCGTTTTCTTCGATTGGGTCGGGGCTGATGGTCCTGCTGTGGCAGGGCAGCGCGGAGGACTTACGTCGCCCACTCGGACATCTGTCTCCCTCATGCTAAGCAGCCCCGCTGCCGTCAGAACCTGCAGGCACCGTCAGAACCCAAAAGGTGTGCTACTGCGTTGTAGGGACAGCAGCAAGCAATATCGGGCCGACGGCCCGGTGCCAGCCCGTTAACGGGGTCGGCCTCCTCCCATGCAGCAGCAGCGACTCACGAACAGAATGTTGAGCGTCCACATGGACCAAGTGATGAGGCGTGCCTGTGCCGTAGAGGCCACCTCCACACGCAGGATCACGCGGCGGGCCCGGCGCTGCTGCTGCTCTTCCTGTAGCGCCCTCGGCTGCTTCGGCGGAGGGCTGCCGCCTGGAGGCGCCGCCGCCGCGCCGGGGCCGGGGCCGGCAGCGGCTGCTTCCACATCTCCAGCCACCGCTGATCCATCTGATGAGGGGTCCAACGGCAGCTGCTGAGGGGCGCCGCGGTCCGCAGCACCACTTGGCGGAGGTGGCGGCGAGGGCGCTGGAGGGCTGGCGCTGGGCCCTTTGGCCGCCGCAGGGAGCGCCGCCCTCAGCTCAGCCGTGCTCGTATCAGCGGCCTCCATTGAATCCTGCCGCGCCGCGGGCAGGCAACGAATGTGGCGTGCCATGGCAAGTTCCTCTCTGGCTGTGGCAGGTAAGGCGAGCCAGTCCGGGACGGGGTTGAGCTTCAGATCGAGTGCCTGGGTTTGATGGGGGGAGGAAGAGAGGGAATGTGCCACCTGGCGCCGCCGCTTGCCGCTGCCTCACCGCAGCATGCGTCATAATTGGCCGATGTGGCATGGGGGTTAGAGAAAGAGTACAGTCAATTGTCCACCGTAACGCAGTCGAGTGAATGATAAGGCAGGGAATGATAACTCAGGGGTGAAAGTCAGGTGCGGGTGTCAGCGTCGGGGAGGTACTTGTGAAAATTCAAAAGTGGGTCTAAGTCGTCAAGCCCTACTGCTGCCTCTCCTGGCCAGGGTCGGTGGCGCCGCCGTCCTCCTCAATTTCCCCGCCGCCCTCCCCATCCTCGAAGGCAGCCGCCGCCTTGCCAAAGGGCCAGAGGGACGTGCAGCCGCCGCCGCACTCGTCCATCAAGCTCTTGCTGGAGTTGAGGTTCTTTTTGGACACAACCTCCACGCTGACGGGCAGCACCGCTGGATCCTCCAGGCTCTTGATGTCCATGTGCTTCAAAATGAGCGTGGAGCCCAGGTCCAGCGCCGCCGCCAGGCGCCGCACGCCCTCCGCGCCGCCAGGGAACGCCTTGCTGCTCACAAACTGCAGGCATGGCGGCAGGGCAAGGCCGGGCAGGGTGGTGGCAGTCGTGGAATGCTCGTTCGCTTGTTGCAAAACAAAGCTGAGTGTCCCATGCCAGAGTCGCGGGCCCCACTCTGCGGCAGCAGCCCTCCTGGAACCCTGAGCCAGCCAGCCAGCCAGGGTGTGGGGCAGAGGCCCTTGCCCCACCCCGCACCTGTGCCTTGAAGATGGCTGCCAGCGACAGCGCGTAGCCGCCCGTCTTGTGGTGGGAGGCGTTGGTGCCGCGCTGCATGACAGACGTCTCAAAGTAGGTGGGCCGCAGCACGAGGTCGCCCTTGGCGTTGACCGTGACGCGCTTGCCGCCGCGCTTGAAGCCGCCCTTGGGGATCCAGGGGATGGGGTCGCCGCCGTTCTGCAGCCAGCCAGCCGGGGCCCAGCAACCACAGTTCTCAGAGCTTTCTTTGGGTGCAAGCCCTTTGGTGCAGCAGAAAGATACAAGGGTAGACAGCACCCATTGGCACACCGCTAGGCAGCAGGCACTCACCAGGATGGCCCAGGTGTCTGGAACAGCCTGCTCCTGCTCATGTGTGAAGGCACCGTTGCCAACCTGCAAGCAGCCGTCAACAGGCAGCCGGAACCCGCATCAGCCCAGCGCGCAAAAGGCTGCGGCTCGCCGCTGCCGAACGGAAGCTGCCTGGCAGCTGCTCTGGCATGGCAGGCTCCTCGGCACAGCATGCAAAGCATGCTGCACCGAGGCCACAGCAGTTAACACTGAGGCAACTTGCCCGCGGGGCACCCCAGGTGTAGCAGGTGATTTTGGAGTCGGGGAAAGCCTTGGCAACCTCGTCCGAAGCCAGGACAGCCAGGGCGCCGCCCAGCGAGTGCCCTGCATGGCCCGCCGCCACAGGCCAGGCCCCCACAAACACCCACGTCAGCGCAGGAGCTCCTACTGTTTGAGACCCACCATGCAGCGAAATTGCAGCAGCGGCAGCCGCACCGGTGATCCAGAAGCGCAGCGGCTCGGTGCCCTGCTGGGCCTGGTCGATCTCCTGGAGCTTCTCCAGCACCTTTTTGTTGAAGTTGTTGTTCAGCCAGGCATTGCCAAAGCCGGCGTGCACCTGCAGCCCACAGCACCGGTAGGGCAGGCTTGCCTTGGCGCTATGCTGGAACGGCACGCGGGGCAGACTCGGCATGCACAGCCTGCCGCACGGTGCAAGCAAGCGGGCCAGCGGAGCAGAAAGCATACAATAATCGGGAGGCGAGCAAGGACTTGGGGGGCGGTCCACGCCGGTTCCCACCTTCACAACGCTGCCGCGCACTCGCCGGTGCGGCGGCAGCACCATCTTCCAAGCCTTGATGTCAGTCATTGCATTCTGCAAGGCAGGCGAGCACGCACAGGGGGAAGATGCATAAAAAATGCACATGGAACCAGGTGCAGGTAGCAGGATGAATCATGCTGGCATCTGCGGGCCTGCAATGCCCGCTCCATCCAGACGGAGGAGTGTGCTGGCAGCGGGCCAACCCTGCCTTGTTGCGGCGGCAGGCAGCAGCGCACACCTGCAGAGAGGCGGTGCCACGGAAGGCCAGCACCACCTGGGAGTCGCTCCACCCGAGCACCACATGCGTGTCGGTCTCGTCATCCCACACCATGGCATGCTGGTCCAGGTTAAACAGGCGCTTGGCGGCATCCACGTTGATGAACTCATAGTCCAGATCGTCCTCCTTGCGGTATGCCAGTCGCGTCCAGTAAAACAGGCGGCAGGCTGCAGGGGCAAGCGGGGATGCGGCGAGACGCTGGTGGGAATGCACGGCTAGGGCGCCTGCCGGGGTTGGCGCCAACCCTGGGCTCTCTGGCCCTCGAGCAGGCTTTCCAGGCAGGCAGGCTGGCCCGCCTCAGTGACCAAACACAGAAACAACAAGGATAAAGACAATAACACAGCCCCAGGGGAGCCCCACCTGTCTCCATGCAAAAGATGGGCTCCTCGCTGAGCTGTTTAGCAGCGCTCTCCATGTCCTGAACCCCCGCCATCTTTGCCATGCCCATCATGGCGGCCCCGGGCAGGAAGGTGAGCAGGTTTGTGATGAACCCCTCAGTGGTCTGCAGCAGGGAGTCGCGGCGGAAAGGAGGATATGCTGGAAAGCAGAAGTACTCGTCGTGGCACTGTGGCGGCCAGCGCCGCCTGCTGCGGAATCCCAGGGCATGTTTTGCCTGCGGGCAAGTGCTCCGGCGACACCATTTCAGCACAGCTGGGCAGGGCAGCACCGGCTTGCCTGGGGCGCGCTGGCTGCCTGGTCGGTTGCCAGCTCAGAGTCGCGCATCCGCTGGTTTCGCGCCTCGATGGCGGCAGGCATCCCTTCCTCTGTCCAGGCAAAATCTTGCAGGAACTCCTGCAGGCAGATTGGCCAGGCCAGGCAGGTACAGAACAGGGCCATTTAAACTTGCCAGTTTGAAAACGATTAACAGCGGTCAACGAGCCGCATGCTTAAGAGTAGTGAAGCTGCGCTGTGGAGCCAGTACCATGCTGCAGAAGCAGCGAGCACGTTCATGCAGCAACATGGTGGCACAGGGGGCAGCAGAGCAGCTGCCAAGCACCTGCAACAAGGGGCTGTCAAATGCCTGGGCCTTGGGCATGAACATCACAGCCATGACAATGGCCGCAACAGTCATGCTCATATCTGTCGCCACGTTGCCGACCTGCAGGCAATCTCAGGGGAGCGCCGCAGAGTAATCTTGTTCTTCGTTTTGCATCACAAGCCGCATGCACCACAGGGCTCAATGGCTAAGGGCCCCGTCACCCAAACGGCCCCGTGGCACGCAAATGCGATGTGGTCGATGCAGCAATCCACTGCGGGCGCTGCCAGCGGTGCGTGATGCTGTCTCCCCGGCAGCAAGCGCAGGGGGCAGCCAGTGCAGTGGTGTCCGGCGCAGCCTGCCCACCTGGGCGTCCGCCGAGGAGACGCAGTTGCTGTCAAATGTAGGGATCACAGACATGAACAGCAGCGACATCACCACGGCTGTGAAGACTGGGGTCAGAACACGGGCCTGGACGCGTATATAGATGTGGGTCGACCTGCGGGCAGCCAGGAGTGGGTGCACGAATGGAATGAGTGGACGGGATGGCGCGGAGCCCGTGGCTGGGCCCAATGTGGGTGACTGAAGATGCAGGGGGGCATCTGGTCGCTACAGTGCACGACTCCTCGCCCGCACCAGCCAACCACCACGGGGCATGCCTGTAGTGGATGAAGGGCAGCTGCTCATGGTCCTTGAGGGCGCGGCGGGAGGTGATGACCCAGGAGATGCCAAACACCATGATGACCACGAATGAGATGGCTGCGGGGAGCCAGGGGCAGGGGTGGGCAGCATTCAGGACACGCCCGCGGCCTTTCCTCTCCTGATGCAGGGCACCCCACCACATTGCCACCACCACACAGCTATCACACATCAGTGGCCAGCCAGGCCCTCCCACCGGTGGCGGCGATCTGGGTGGGGGTGGCTGGGCAGCTCATCATCATCAGGTCTGTGTCGCAGGTGATCGTTCGGATGGTCGTGCGCCGAATCTTGTTGAGCTGTGCAGCACAGCGCAGCGCACACAGCATGCAGTCATTTGGCAGCGTGTCCACGGGGAGAGATGCCGTCATGTGACACTTTGGGCAGCAGAAAGGAAGCGACAGCCCACCGTCCCAGCCGACCTTGAGGATCATGCCAGCCATCGTGGCACCCTCTAGCACCAGCCAGATGGACGTAATGAGCCAGTAGGCCTTGGCCTGGTCCGCAAAGGGGCGGTCCACTAACAGCCGATAGTCGGGCTGCAAAATACATAAGTGGGAGCAGCGACAGCGCTCTGCTGTCACCCTAAGTTGCGCCTCGCTGATGCACTGCACCTGCCCGGATGTCTAGCGGCATGGTGAGAGCACGCTGCTGCGCCTGCCTCTGGCGCCACGCCACACATGGCCCCGGCTTGCAACGCAGTGCATGCAGCTTGTGATGCACACCAGCGTGGCCATGGCTGGGCACTCCGCCTCACGTGCATGTCCAACGCTCCTGGGCCCCGCCACAGAACCATGTTCTTCATCCTGGCCAGCAAAAACAGGATGGAAGCGGACAGGCAGGTCCACTGCACGCAGCGGCGCACAATCAGCCGATTGGCCGCATCAGGGCGCTGCCGCCGCACACACCCCTGGCAGCAGGCACCGAGGCTCGGTTGGCAGGCGGCTTGCCTGGAAGAACTGGAAAACTTGGAGAGCTATCCATGGGTACTGGCAGTTTGGCTGGGCCACGGTAGTGATCAGGGTAGCCAGAACCACGGCTGCATATGAAGTCTGCAGGAACATTAGCCCGCCAGCTGTCCATCCAAAGTAGTGCTGCCGCTTGGACCTGCGGCAGCATTAGGTGGCGGGGTGAGAGTAGCAGAGGCACGGGGGACGGGGTGCTGGCGCCTGATAGCGACAGCGCAACCGCTGTATAGTCGCAGGGAAGTAGAGGCCCAGGCTGAGCAGGCGCCTCTTCCTGGCTTACCACACACGCCCCTCCTTCTGGCTTCGACGAAAGGCGAAAAAGAACCACGCTGCGGTGAAGAGCAGCGCGCCCAGGCACACGGCGGCGATGACCAGGCGGCCCCAGTACATGTTGCGGACCTGCAGTGCAGCAGCAGCTGTTTGCCGTGAGGACAGCCCGCAGGCCACAGGGGCGCGGTACGGGCGCATGCCAGGACAGTGCATCAACTGCTGCAGGCCCTCCCTCACCTCACTGGCCAGCACAGAGTCCTGGTTGTGAATGGCGAACAGTGCCACTGCCAGCCCCACAAACGCGATGTTGAGGGCGATGACTGACCAGGTCAGGATCCTCGCCTGCAAATCAAGACAGGTGCGTGGCATGTTTATCAAAGCCGCCCGCCAAGTTCTTTGTCGGCAATGGGCTCTCCACAATGAACCGTGCACGACACCTCACCTGCAGCTTGGTGGCAACCTCCATGCGCAGGACTACTTTTGGCGCAGGCCTGGAGCGAGAGAAAGAGGAGAAAGAGGCCCCCTGCTGGGGGCTGCCGGCGGCGGGAGCGGCACCCGTCTTCTCCAGCCCATCGTCTGGCGCTGTTGGCTGCGGCGCTGGGGCCCCGTTGGCCCCATCCTGCTGTAGGTCTGCGCCGTTCATGCTACCAAGCGCAGTTGCCCCCGACAAGCCACTCGCAAACTGCAGCGTGGCGAGGCCTGTTGGGGTCTCGAACCCGCTGCTCCCGCAAGCCGCGGACGATGCTGGTGCGATCAAACACGTCCGCAACGACGGCCGACACTGTCCAGCGTCCGGAAGCAAGCAACGGTCCCAGCGCAGAGCCAGAGGGCCCGCGCTGTCGTCTTACAAGACGCCGTGTGTTTGTGCAACTGTGGGGAGGGGGTGGCTGCTGCGGGCACGCTGCACTCAGGATGCCGCCTGGCGCCAGGCGGGCTAGTCGGTCGCCTTCATTGGTTGATTGCTGGGCGCAGCTTGTGTGAATACTAACAATGAATTGTGAAATCTGAGACAAGTCAAATACACGAATAAATTATTAGAATGGGCAGCGACAACAAAAAGCCCAGGTCGCCACACTGTGGTGGCGGGAGGAACAACGGTGTGTGGCGGGAGGAGCAACGGAAAGATACTAAGGTCCGAGAATTACTTGTCAGCAGTTCAGTATAAGCAGAAACTTAGACCAGTGGAGCTGGTGACATCACAGGAGACGGCGACGCCACGGCAGCCGGCGCCACCAAAGCAAGCTGTTGGCTGCGCTGGCTGCTGCGGCGGGACTCCAAGGAGGCGCGAGGTGCGGGCGGGGGAGCAGTGGTCAGCGCCACAACTTCCTCAGGCAGCACGCTGTGCGGCACAATGAACAATTCACGGCACAGCGGGCACTGAACAATTCGCTTGTGGTCTGGCACGCGTCGCCGACTAAACCTGCAGCAGGGGTCGCGGGGCAGGGCGAGAGTTGAGCCATCGAGAGCGGCAGCACCAAACCAGTGTAGCCCACCAGTCTGGCAATGGCTCCCCAGCAAGGGCTCGCTCCCGCATGCATTTGAGGATGGTCGCCTGCCAGGGCCCACCCTGGCCGTTGCAGAGCCCAGCACCCCTTTCTCCTCACTTGACCAAATCTGCAGTGCATCCGCTGCATGCTCCATGGTGGCAGGGGAACAGCCGCCAGTTGGCCTCGCTCACTTCATAACTGTCCAGGCATATGCTGCAATCTACCCTGGTTCCCAGCACCTCCCCAGCCGCAGGCAGCACTGCACAGGCAGCCGCGCAAGGCAGGCGTGGTGTCAGCTGTTGGCGGCATCACTCCGCCAGCCAAGCACGAGCAACGCTTCACACACCAATCCCTGCTCCTGCCAAGTAACACGTGCCCCTGCGCGCACCTGCCAGCTCGTCTTGCTTGTCCGGAGGCAACGCCATGATAGCCTCACACTCGGCATCCAGCGCTGACCTTGACCGACGCCCGGGTTGTGGGCCCTGCATCTCCACATTGCTGCTGGGCCTGCTCTGCCGCCTGCGCCTGCAGCCACCAAACGGCACAGAAAGGTTGCCAGGCCACCCCAGCCACACGCGCGACCCTCGCACCACCCCATGCATGGGCCTGGGAATGGCGCTCGCTGCATGCTGCCAGCCGCTGTGCAGCCAGCGCCACCCCAGCAGGAGTGCTCACTTCCAGCAAAAGCCTCCCATGATACAGACGCTGATCACAAACACGCAAACAACGGCCACCACAATGAGCATCACGCCGCACGTGCTCCGGTCGCCGCAGATGCGGGACAGCACGCTGTTGCCGCCGCAGCACAGCCTGTACCGCCCGCAGCAGCAGGTGGGGGCCGAGTACTGCATGGCATGGGGCCAGGCATGTGGGTTTGTTCACGGGGGAAGCAGTGCAGCGGGAGCTGGCGCATCACGCAGCAGTAGTGGCGGTGCAAGGCTGGTGGCGGGGTTGGCGTTAAGCTGCGTACATTCCCTGTCCTCCTGGTGTAAAGGGCCACAGATGCAGGACCACAGAGGGCCACAGATGCAGGACCCAGCCCAACTCACCGTGCTGGGCGAGTAGGGCAGGACTCCCGCCACGTATCGGCAGCAGCAGGCCATGCGTTCGGTGGTGGCATTAGCGGTGGTGTTGGTTGTGGCGTTGCCGAGGATGGGGCTGTCCGGGATGGTGCCATTGGCTGTAGGCATCATGGTGCCATTGGCGGCAGGCACGGGCAGCTGCTTGATGGGCGTATACTTGTCGCCGTCGGTGCGGCTACCGTTTGTAATGAGGCCAGGCCCAGGCGGGCTTGCGCCCGGGTCCCCGCCTGTTGAACTGTTGCTGCCGGGCGATACCAGGTTTGTCGCCTCCATCAATCCAGTCTGCAGCATCCTGCGGCGCCATCCGCTGATGCCGCCCCGGCTGCTGAACGCAAGCGTCAGTACCGCTGCCTCGGCGCAGCTGCTCTCAATGGTGAGTAAGGCGCCGCCAGCTGGCATCCCGGCCGGCCTTGTTGTCACTCGAGCCAGGGCGGCGTCCAGTTCCAACACGTACAGGTGCCCGCAGCTTGTTCTGGTGGCGGCGCCCTCCAAGCCACTCACTCTGCGGCGTGGATGGCAAACGGAGCAGAGAAGGTTGAGGGACATACAAATCTCAAGAAGCTCTGAGGATATGATTTCAGTGTGTGCAAGCATCAAGAGGCAGCGCAGCTTCTCCCACCTGAAGTCCGCGGGCCGGCAGCCAGCTCTGGGCCCACGCCCAGCGCCGCCGCCCAGTGGTGCTCCGGTAGCCACGTGCAGGGGCGTCCCAGCCAAATGCTGCTCCGGCAACTCCACGACTGTGCAGCTGTGCGGCTCCACTGGCACGCTCAGGGCGGTGGCCCCGCTGCCGCGTGCTGCAGTGGTCAGCCACCAGCACGCTACGAAAAGGGCTCCCAGCGACGTCATGAAAGACCGATCATCGTTCCAGCGTGAAACTCGGCGAGTTTGTGGCAGAGGAGCAGCACCCGAGCTGAAACCTCGAGCGGCTTACGTCACCAACAGTTCCTCCCCCAACCACAACCTGAATTAAACACTGCGCGAGATCCAATTGTGATGGGGCGTGAGGGATGAGGACCTGGCCAAGGCGATGGAAGCTGCACGCTGGCGCCAGCCAGGCGGGGGGGGGTTCAACGGGTGGGTGTTGGTACAGCAGAAAGCATGCACTGCTCAATTCAATTCACGTATCGAGAAGCGCCGCGGGTCATGTAGTCGTTGTTGCCTCTGCCGTTGGGAGCCTGGCCGCTGGTGAAGAGGCTGTTCCACACCTCATTGTCCGCGCCCTGTGGCTTGAGCTCCGCTGCCTTGAACTTCTTTGCCGCCGTGCAGCTGGGAGCCTTGGCGACACCGCCATTGGTCGGAGCCGCCGCGGCCGCGCCGCCACCCTCCGCTGCTCGCTTGCTGCCCACACCGCCGCTGCCGTTGGCCGCCGGCTCTGCGTTGCTGCCATTGGCAACCGGCGCTGCCTTGCCTTTGCCCTTCTTCTCTTTCTTGGCCGCTCGCTCCGCTGCCCGCTTCAGCAGCAAGTTCTCCCGCATTGTCTGCAGCTCATCTCCGCTGGGGTTGACCGGCAGCAGGTCGGCTGCCTCCCACTTGCCGCCCACAAGGTCCTCCACCACCGCCGGCACCTGCGCAATCCAGGGCAAGAGAGGACTGCAACTCATCATGCGTCAAGAGTGCCACAGGCAATCGAGCATGGCAGTCGGTGCTTTGCATGGCCGCAGTAACCAGGAGTGCAGTCAGCGCATGCATCCGCCACCCACCTCCTTGAGTGCCCGCTCGCTGATCACGTGCCCACTCTTGCGGAAGATCACAAACTTGGTCTTGCCGTTGAAGGCCTGGCCGGTGATGGGGCACGCAAAGCGCACGGAGCCCGCTGAGGTGCCGTCGCCCGGCGCCGGCTCGCCGCCGGCGCCCGCCTCGCCCAGCCGCAGCTCCACCAGGTGCTTTAAGCTGCTGATGTGAGCCAGGAACTTGGGCATCGACTTGGTGAGCAGCGCCTGGAGCAGGGGGGGCGGGCGCGGCGGGCGGGGGAGAAGGGGGAAGGGTCAGAGGGATCAGGCGGTGACGTGTACAGCAGAAACTGCTGCCATACGCGTGACGACCAGGGCTGGCCGTGCCTCGCACTGCTCTGCATACAGATAGCAAGCTCAGCAGCAGCAGCACCGCACACCAACAACCAACACACACACACACACACCCATCAGCGGCAGCGCTGCCCCCCCACCTGCAGCACCACATCCTTGTTGAACAGCGACCCCAGCTCGTCTGCGCAGCAGGGCGGCTGCAGCGGCATGCCCGACAGCTGGCACATGGTCCACCGCGCCAGCCGCTCCTCCTCGGGGTCCACCTGCGGCGTGCGGGCAGGAGGAGTGGGCAGGGCAGGCTGAGCAGGCAGGGAGGCGAATGAGCGGGCGGAGATGAGCGGACAAGGGCTGGCACTGCAGAAACAGGGAGACTCCCAAGAGGGGCGTCACCCACCCTGTCCGGCCGCTTGATCTTGTACATCTCTAGGTAGCTGGAGCGCGACTCGGCGCCGGTGGCGCCGCCGTCGCCGCCGCCGCCGCGCAGGCGCGGCAGCAGCTCGAGCGTGGCGCACGGCGGCACGCCCGCCGCCGCCAGCGTGGTGTGTGGGTCCAGCGTGCGGCCGCCGTACACCACGCGCTGCACGGATGCAAGTTGGGGGCAGCGCGGCTGGAGAAGCTGTCAGGGCAGGTAGGAGAGGGCAGCAGCATGCACCGGAAGGCGGGCGGCGGTAGCGGTGCGCCGCTTTTGGAAGCGGCCGCCACGCACCAGTGTGGCTCCCCCGCCCGCGTGGAGAGCGTCTACGCCGCTCACGGAGGCCACTGTGTCATCAGACTGCGCTTGGACGGCCCGCAGGCCGCCAGAGTTGCGTAGGAAGACCTGCATCGCTGACTCCCTGCCCCTGAGAGTCTGTGCTAGAGTGCTGGAGGGCTGGCAGCGTGCGAAGCAGGAGAGAAAGGGACTGGCGAGGCGCCAGCAGCAAGTTCTGCCCTGCTCCCGACTTTCTTGCGCGAAAATGCTCGGAAAACGGGCCCAATTTGGGCTGCAGGCTTGTCGATCGCCTGCACGACAGTTTGCGAAACACCAGCAGAGTCTCACACAGCGCATACAGCTTGATTGCGGCGAGTGGCAGGAGGCACCATGAGGCTGGGAGGCCCTCAGTCCTTCCTGCTGAGCCCCAGCACCTCTGCAACATCCGAGGGTAAGCTCAGGTCATGCACGGTTGCCGCCGCTGCCATCTGCTCTTCCGAGCGCTGCTCGTGCCCAGCGACCGGTCTGCAGCATGCTGCCGCCTCAGTCGTGGTGTAATACAGGTGCAGTCTCAGAACGATCCGCTGCTGGCGCGCTACTGCCCTCCAGCCGCCACTCACCCGCCTCCGCTGACCGCTCTTCCACCCACCGCCACTCTCCTGCCTTCCCTCATGTTCCCTCCCCTCCCCGTGCAGTGGGCGTGCTGATGTCGCAGCGGTCGTCCGAGGTGGATGCTGTGGTGCGGGAGTTCCACGAGGCCCTGGCCCGCTCCTCCGACATGGCGGTGGCGGTGGCGGCCATCCAGGCGCTGACGACGGTCATCAAGAACAGCAGCGCCCAGACGATGATGGGGCTGGAGAAGGAGCTGAAGGACGCGGCAGCCTCGCTGCAGAACTGCAACCCCACCGCCATCTCGCTCAAGGCCGGCTGTGAGCTGTTCCTACGGTGAGCAGCCGGGCCCAGCTGGGCTGAACTTGGCTCGGCAAAGTGCAGCCTGTTTTGACACAGGAGGGTAGAGGCCCTGGACCCGGCCCGCCCTCCCAACCTCGGGGCTGCGGCGAGCTCACCAACACTGCCTGCTGTGTGGCGGCAGGTACACCACGCGCACGTCGGCAATAGAGGCAAACACCTTTGCGGCGGCCAAGAAGCGGCTGATAGAGCGCGGGCAGCACTTTGCAGGTGATGCCGGCTGGATGCCTGCTGCCGGGCTGCAGGGCAACGCAGGTTTAGCTGGCCGTGTCAGGGGCAGCTCCGGCTACTTAGCCTCACCAACTCTTGTGTGCAGCATGTCTGCCGCCTGGCCAACTTCCTGCCACCATTGCGCATGCTTGTGGCCTATGCCCTCGCAGAGACGTCCAAGCGAGCGCGGGCCACAATAGCGGAGCTTGGGGAGCGCTTTGTGCGCAAGGGCAGCACAGTGCTGGTGCACGGCCACTCGCGTGTGGCGATAGCAATCCTGCGGAAGGCGGCGGCGGCGGTGAGCCCGCTGCTTCCAGCGGCTGCAGCGGCGTGCTCGAGTAGCTAAGCCATAGGGCCACGGGAGCTTGCTGTGCAGCGAGGGCAGCCTCTCGGCTGCTTCCTGCATCCACCAATGCCAGTTCTGCCGCCCTGGTGGTGCCCTACTCACCACGTTCCACATTGCTCTCTCGCCCGCTCCCCGTGCCCCGCCCCGCAGGGCAAGCAGTTCAGCGTGATAGTGACCGAGGGGCGGCCGGACGAGACGGGGCTGACCATGGCGCGGGTGCTGGAGGAGATGCGGGTGCCAACCACTGTCATCCTGGACTGTGCGGTGGCATATGCCATGGAGCGGTGAGCGAGAGGGAGTGTGTGTTTTGTGTGTGTGTTGCCAAGGCTAGTAGCTTGCTGCGTGACGGGCACGGGGCGTGTATGCAGTTTGTGGTGTGGTGGGGCCGGCGCCACGATGTGCATTGGCCCCTGCCCATGTGGTGCCAGAGGCTGCCCCCGGCGCCCGCACCGCTTCCGCCGTGCCCTGCTCGGCGCCTGCCCACCCGCTGGCGTCCTGCCGGGCACCTTACCTGCGGCGTGGTGCAGGGTGGACCTTGTGTTGGTAGGCGCTGAGGCGGTGGTGGAGAGCGGCGGCGTGATCAACAAGCTCGGCACCTACCAGGTGGCCTGGAAGTTGCTATTGCTTGCCGCCTGGGGACTTGGAGCCAGGGCACCTGCTGCAGTCAAGGATGCCTCTCGTGTGGCGACAGCATCCGAAACCCCATGGCCCGCCCTACCACCTGCCCGCCGCAGATTGCCATCGCGGCCAAGGAGCACAACGTGCCGGTCTATGTGGCGGCAGAGAGCTACAAGTTTGCCAGGTGGGCAGCGCATGCTGGCAGTGGCAGCAGGAGCACTGTGCAGGCCACCCGCAACTGCAGCCATGCGGCAGCCCTGGCAGGGCCTGGCCACCTCCTGGCATGGGCTGCCAACCTCTGCTCCAGCCACCAATTACGCTGCCCTCTTGAACCTTGAACCCTGCCCTCCCTGCAACGCTGCAGGCTGTTCCCCCTGAACCAGCGCGACCTGCCGCTGGAGCGCAAGCAGCTGGACTTTGGGCCGCTGCTGCCTGCCAGCGTGGCCATTGACAACCCCTCACGCGACTACACGCCGCCGCAGGTGCGGCCAGCAGGGTGGGGTCCTGGTGTGGTCGGGGCGCCGGGTGATGGCTCTGGAGTGTGTGTGCTGGGGGTGGCTCGGCTGTGAGCTGAGCACTCAGTGGCAGGTTTTGTGTTTGCCCTGCCGAGGCTGAGTTGCCTGTCCGTGCCCCGTGCACTTCCCACCCTCGCCCTGCCTGCAGTACATCACCTTGCTGTTCACCGATCTAGGTGATCGAGCCCGCTGCCAGGCACCTGCGCTCTGCGGATTGCGGTTGCAGCATGCTACCCCTCACGGAAGCCTCCCGCAGCTGGCCGCCCGGGGTTGACAAGCGGGCACCTGTCCATGCTCCCCATTCATTGCTGTAGGCGTCCTCACCGCGGCAGCTGTGTCGGATGAGCTCATCCAGCTGTATGTTTAGCCAGGCATGTTGAATGCTTCTGCCACCACTGGCCAGCGACTTCTGGAGCATGCCCTCGGCAGCTGCTTGCTTTACCAGTTGCGGAATACACGTTGCTGCTGTGTACAGTGTCCGGGCGGTTACATTAGAGCAGCCGGTGCGAAGGGAGGGTGGAGGCTGCCGCGATGCACAGCGTGGAACAGCTGCTGCTACCGGGTGGGCACGATGTCATCTATCTTCAGGATGAGGCGCGCCGCCTCGGTGGCCAGGCTGACCGCCGACGTGGTCACCAGCAGCGGCTGCACCACACTCTCCTCCAGCATGTCACTGGTGGTGCCCTTGCGCACGTTGATGCCTGCGGGTGGCGGGCAGGCAGGGGAGGGGAGGCACAAGGAAAGAGGAGGGATAAGGAACAGGCAGGAATGGTGGGTGGAGAAGACAGGGAGGCACGCTGCGCGCACCCCGACCGCGCCACGAGGCCGTGCCATGGAGCAGGTTTGACAACGGAAGTACTCGCTCTCCCTCCCCACCCGTGTGTCCCTCCCTCGCCCCTTGGCTACTGCTCGCTGCTCACCGTGGTGCCGCCGTCCGCTCGCGTGGTGGTTGCGCAGCTCTGTTACTATCTCAATGGGGTGCATGCCCGCGTTCTCAGCCAGGGTGTAGGGGATGATCTCCAGGGCCTCGGCAAAGGCGCGCACGCAGTACGACTCCATGCCCTGCAGTGGTACAGGTGCGGTACAAGATAGGGCACGACATGCTCGGACACGGCATGCTCTTTGCGCTTGCATGTGCTCCGAAGAGCAAGCAAGCAGGCCCCTCAGCGCATAGCATGGCAGGGCACGTTCTCGCTGCCACAGCTGCATGGACGGGCTGTGCAGGAGGGCAGGCAGGGGCACCGTGCCGCTCACCAGCAGCGTCTTGGCCCACTGGCTGAGCTGGTAGGACAGCTCCATCTCGGGGCTGCCGCCGCCCGCGATGAGGTACTGCTTCTGCACCAGGCACCGCACCACGCACAGCGCGTCGTGCAGGCTGCGGTCGGCCTCCCCGAGCGCGAGCTTGTTGGAGCCGCGCAGCAGTACGGTGGCGGTACGCCCCCGGTTCTCGATGCCCGTGATCTTCACCACCTTGCCGCCCTTGCCCAGCTGCAGGGTGGAAAGGCGGGAGGCGGCAGGGGTAGGCCCCGGTGGGCGAGGCTGCTCGAAGTGGAGAAGCAGCGGCAGCGGCAGCGGATGAAGCAAATGCAGCGGCGGAAGAGCGGCAGGAGGAGCAGCGCCAGCAGTCTGAGGAGCAGCAAAAGAAAGGCAAAGAAGAGGGAGAGGAAGAGGGGAGGAAGATCATAAAAATTAGAGCCAGTGCAAAGTGCAGCCGCCACTCACGTCGACCTCCTCCACCAGCGCGGCGTGGCCCAGCTTCTCCGGCCGCATGTGGTCCACGTGTGCGATGGGCAGGCAGTGCAGCGTCTGCAGCGCAGGGCAAGGAGGGCGAGGCCCAGGGAGGGCACGGGGTCAGAGAGTACGCGCCCTCTTTGAACAGCAGCAGGGTCCGTCGATCCGGAGATATCTTTGGCATCCCGCAAAAAGGCCAGCAGGCACGCGGTGTAAAGGCAGGCAGCGCAGGCTCTCTCAGCCTCTCTGCTTGCCTTGGAGATGAACTCAATGTCCTCCCGCTCCACATCCTTCACCACCAGGATCTTGGCCTTGGCCTGCAGGAGAGGGCGGTACGCCCAGGCGGTACACGCGGCACAACGAGGCAGAGGTCGTGCATGGGGGTGGGGATGCAAGACGTGGCTGCGCCAGGAAGCAAAGGGCGGGCGCCTGCAACCATCACGACCACCGTCACCCACCCCCCGATGCACACGAGCCTACACGCTCACACCACAGAAGCTCGCCCCCCACCCACCAGGTAGTGCAGGGAGAGGTCGGTGACGGCGTCGCGCAGGATGGACTTCTGGATGAGCAGCACGTTGGCGCCGCTGGCCCGGATCTTCTTCACCATCTGCAGGATGTAGTTGCGCTCCTCCTGCGGCAGACACACATACCAAGGGGCGGGGCAGGCCAGGCGCGCGGGTCAGCCAAGAGGCCAAGGTGCCAGGTCGTCATGTGATTATGGTCGAGGGAGAGCAGCACAGGGTGCAGAGGGGCTGGCGCAGCAGGAAGGCGAACGCGCGCCAGCGCATGCACCGCGGTGGGCGCAGTTGGCGAGGCGAGGCCAGGCTTGAGGGCAGCCGGGGGCTGGCACATGAAGGGCCGCCCTGGCACCCAGCCCACCTTGAGTATGCGGTCCATCTGGGCGTAGTCACTGATGATCACATTGTTCTCTATGTCTGTCTTGGGGGGCGACACCTGCTTGCAGGGCGGGGTGAGGGAGGTGGCAGGCACAGCCAGGTTGAAGGACAGCAACTGGCGCAGCAACTGGCGCAGCAGCGGACAGGGCAGCCAGCGAAGGAGATGCAGGAGAGCAGGGTCGCACCGCCTGCAACAGCTATGCGTGGCGGCGGCCTGCCAGTTGCTGCTCCCCCACGGCACTGGGCGCAAGGTGCGCAGGTGGCCGGAAAGATCGCCGCCCCCATTCCTGGCACCCACCTGGAACTGGATGAGCGCCACCTTGGCGTTCTCTACCCGCGTGGGCCCGCCCGCGCCGCGCGCTGCAGCAAGGCAGCAGCGAAGCACGCAAGCACGCAGGGTCGGCCAGGCATGTGACCACGGGCGGTGGGCTGAGGTGCCAGATGCCAGGCAGCGCGCCCATGAGCCAAGCATCCACTTCAGGCCACCCGATGGAACTACAGCCGAGCCCTCCTCAACCCGCTGCTCTGCCATGCTGCGCTTCCCTCCTCTGAACTCCTCGACCCCCTCCGCCAGCCCACCTGCTTTGTGGTCCAGCACCAGCCCCTCCACCATCTCGCTGTCGTCGATGGTGGCGCCCGACTTGCTGACCACCTGCGGCGGGAGGCGGGGCAGCGCGTCAGGGAGGGCGGGCGCCTGGCAGCTCACTACGGCACGGCCCAGCACAAGGCAGCAGAGCAGGGCGGGCCGCATGGGCTTCTGCGGGTCCGGCAGTTCTGCCGCTGGAGAATGCGCGCATGTGGGGTGCTGGCCCCCCCGCTATTCCTCAGGTGGAGCACTCCACCCACCCAGCCATCACCAGCTGCACACGGCGGCACAGCAAAGCGCAGCCCGGCACGGCGGCAGCGCGCAGCCCCACACCACGCCGCCACCAGCCCCCACCTTGACATCCTGCAAGTCCAGTAGGTCTGGTCGCTGCGGGTCGAGGATCTTCAGCAGGCAGTCCACAGCCATGGGCGACAGCAGCCCGCTGTTCTGCCCCACAATCTTGCTGGACAGCGAGGTGTTGGCCGCCTTGATTAGCTGCTGGCGGTCGTCGATGCTGACGGGGATGGCGGAGGCGGTGAGGATCTGAACACACGGGTGCGGTGGGGGACGGCGACGGGGGCAAGGTGAGGGGAGTATGCAGGCCGCCAGCCCTTGCTCGCTGCCTGTCGCCGGCTGCAGGCCAGGCGAAGCAGGGAGCCGGCCAGGCCTCGCACCTCCACCGCCTTGTCTGCCGCCTTGCCAAAGGCGTCTGAGATGACGGTGGGGTGCACCCCCTTCTCCAGCATCTCCAGGCTCTTCTTCAGCAGCGCGCCGCACAGCACGGTCACAGAGGTGGTGCCGTCGCCCGCCACCACGTCCTGCAGGCGGCGGGCCGCGGCTCGGTTGATCTCGGTTGGTTGCGCGCACGTGCCCGAAGCGCGCAGCCAAGGCGAGTGCAGGGATGGCTGGGGCGCTGTGGAGCAGCTGGGGTGCTGCTGGGGCGCTGGGGCCAAGGCGGCAAGTGCAGGAATGGGGTCCGGACGAGGGAGGGAAGGGAGGGAGACGGCTTGCCTGTGACTTGGCCAGGTCGACGAGCATCTTGGCTGCCGGCTGCTCCACCTTCATCTTGTTCAGGATGGTGGCGCCGTCGTTTGTGATGATTACCTCGCCGTCGGCCTGTGCCACCATTTTGTCCATGCCCCGCGGGCCCAGGCTGGTGCGGATGGCGTCAGCCACCGCCTTGGCGGCCTCAATGTTCATCAGCCGCACATCCTTTTTCTTGGCGCTCTCCCTGCACGGTCGGTGGCAGCGAGGCGGGCCGCCTCGTCGCATGCATGGTGCTGGCCGGGCAGAGGAGAGGCAGTTGGGTGCAAGGCGGCGGCGGCGCCCGGCGGCAGAGGCGGCAAGGCAGCAACGCAACGTTGGCGGTGGTGGGTCGCAGCAGGGCCCAAGCCACTGGTGGGGAGGGCTGGCGGGGCTGCTGATTGGCAGGTGGAGCGACATTGCATCATGGCGCTTGCCTGTAACTCTCTCCCTTGCGCACTGTGGGCGCCGCCATCCCTGCCAGGCTTCCTGCCGATCCTCCAGTCACTTGCTTGACAGCGGTGGCGCAATTGGTTCTGCTTCTGGCCCCCCAGTCAAGTAATCACCGATCGGCCAGCAGTGTGGTGCGCCTACAGGACTGGAGAGGTGTATGTAGTGCTGCCGGATCACAGAAACGCTCCCAATTGCCCTGAATTGGGAGAGGCGGCCGCAAGAAAGCTGCGCGCCTTTCCGCTGCAGCCGCATCTTTCTGCTTGCTTGCTCTTGCTGCTGTCGAACACATCTAGCAGCAGCACCCCCGCCGCCTCTGCCGGTTTGTCTAGGCCCCTGTGCTGTTGGCGGCGAGCCTTAGCTGAGCTGCTGAAGACGATGCGCCGACCGGGGGCAGCATGAAGGCTTTCGCAAGGAAGCCCGCGGAGCCCGCTGCCAGCCCGCAAGCAGACGGCGGGGGCTCTTCAGACCTGCTCATTCGTTTTTTTGAGAGCGCCTGGTTTGACGCCTACATTGCTCTGACGTGAGCCTGCATGCCGCCTGCACCTTGGGAGAGGGCCGTAGGGGCCGCCGCCTCGCCCCAGCCGCCCGGCGCCCCTGCCAGGCGTTGCCGCCGCCGCCGCTGCCGTGCCCGCCCCTCTCTCCCCTGCCTGCCAGCCTGCATGCCCGCCCACGGCCCCTGCGCCCCGCGATGCAGGTACCTGTACAAGAGCCACTCACCGGGGGTGCAGGACTACCTCTGCAACCGGCTGTACACGCTGCCGGAGCGGGATGTGGAGCACTACCTCGGCCAGCTCACGCAGCTGTGCATCCAGCGGCCCGGCAGCTCGCTGGAGCGCGTGCTGACAGACCTGTGCGCCCAGTCGCTGCGCATCGCGGTCAAGGTGCGGGCAGGCAGCGCACAGGGCGGCGGTTGCTGGGAGGAGACGGCTGCACGGCCACGTTTTGCAGCGCAGCGGTACTGCCAATCCGCAGCGGAATCTACATGACATTGCATCTTACACTCCACCCTGGTGCCAGGCTTGACACGAGGTCTTGCACCAGGCTTTGCACCCCCTCCAGTTGCGAAACCCACACCAGCATGCCTGCACGCCTGCCTGCTGCCCGCAGACCTACTGGCTGCTGCTGGCCATCTCGCAAGACCTGCCCAAGGACGCGCATGTGGCTGCGCTGCGGGATGCCTGCGAGCAGGCGGCGCTGCAGGGCCACTGGCAGCTGCCCTTCAAGCAGAGCCGGCTGCCGCCGCCGCTGAGCATGAGCCCCGCCAAGCGGCGCGGCGGCGCCAGCAGCCAGGCCTCCCCGCTGCTCATCAGCCCCACCGGGTCCTTCACCCACCTGCAGCGCCCGGGCTGGGTGCTGTCGCCCGAGCCGCGGCGGGGCGGCCTGTCGGACAGCCAGCAGATGCTGTCGCCGGGCGACGGCGGCGACAGCCGGCCCATGAGCCCAGACGGGCTGGGGGGCGGCCTGTACTCCTCCGTGTTTATGGACACGGGTGTGGAGGGCCTGATCTACAGCGTGCCGCAGATGGACGAGGAGCTGCGGGAGCACCGCCAGCACGTCAGCTCGCCGCGCACCTCGCACGGCGCGCTGCTGGAAGGTCCCGGCCGCCCGCTGCTGCCGGTGCGCGTGGACGCGCAGCGCGTGAGCAGCCTGCAGCAGGAGCTGGGGGAGGGGGAGGGCGTGTCGGCGCTGCTCATGCGCAGCGCCACCGCGGGCGACGGCGGCGGCCCGGGCGTGGTGCAGCAGTGGGAGGAGGCCGCAGAGGCGGCGGCGTCCGCAGCAGCAGCGGCAGGCGGCAGGAGCATGGCGGCGAATGGCGGCAGCAGCGCGTACCCTGCGGGCGCGGCGGCGCTGCTCAGCCCGCCCAATAGCCCGCGCCGGCGGCAGACCACCTTTGGCGCCACCCTTGACTTTGTGGAGACGCTCTGCCAGGCCTCGTCCAGCCTCACCGCCTTCCAACGTGCGCGCCGGGTCGTCACCGCCGCCGCTGCTGCCGCTGCTCCGGGCTGCTTTCAGGCTGATCAGGGGCTGGTCTGCAGACGGCTTTAGCCGTGCCAGCCCTGGGCCAAATGCTGCATGCATGTGGTCTGGCCGGTGCCTGGCCCTCCTGCTCGATTCTCCTGCTCACTGCGCCCACCCCTGCCTGCCTTCCTGCCTCGCACCGCCGCCCCCTGCCGCAGCCGAGGACCGGCAGTGGGCCCTGCGCCGCGCGCTACAGCAGATCAACGTTGAGATCGAGAAGGCGAGCCGCAACGGGGTGGCCATCTGGTTCCCCATGGGCACCTCCAACCTGCGCGTGGTGCGCCTGGCGCCGCGGGAGAGCCGCCTGCTGAACAGCCGTGAGAAGGCGCCCTTCACGCTGTGCGTGGAGGTGCTGGATGAGGACGCGGCGGCGGCGGCGGTGGAGGCCAGGGTGGCGGCGGCGGCGGCGGCCGCCGCCACCGCGGTGGAGGCCAAGGCCGCCAGCCCGGCCAGCCCCGTCAGCCAGTGCGCCGACTCAGCCAAGTCGGTGCTCATGGCGATGGAGCAGCCGCCGGCGGTGGCGGACGGCGCCGCGGCGGCGGCCGCCGCCGAGGCCGCCGCCAACGGCATCCCCTTTATCGCCAACCACCACCGCACCCAGTCCATGGACACCATCAGCACCAGCAGCAGCAGCATGGAGGCGGCGGTCGTGGCCGCGGTGCACGGCAGCAGCGCGGTGACGGGGGACGCGGTGGCGGCGGCCAAGCCCTCGCCGCCCGCCGCCTCGAGCAGCCCGCGGGACAGCAGCCCGCGCGACAGCGTGCGCAGCGGGGACGCGCTGGCCAGCGAGCCGTCGTTCGCAGGCATGCTGGCGGGGCCGGGGTCGCCGGCTCAGGGCGGCGGCGGCGGCGGCGGCGGCGCGGGCAGCCCGGCCCGGCCCCGGCGGCTGACCGATGACCTCGACGCCGTGTCTGATGTGCCCAGCTTGAGCGAGTGCAGCAGTGGCATGCTGGGCAGCCCCAACGGCGTGTCGGGCGAGGGCGATGCGCTGCTGGCAGAGCCCAACTCCAGCAGCAGCGTGCATTTCGGGGCGCACCCGCCGCCACCACAGGCGCAGCAGCAGGAGCAGCAGCGGCAGCAGCAGGACGCGCAGCCGCCCAGCGCAGCGCAGTCCCAGCTGCCGGCGCTCAGCCTGCAGCAGAAGCCGTGCGGCAAGCTGCCCGGCGCCGGCACCTGGATCGGCGGCAGCAAGTCGCCGGTCGCGGCAGCCAAGGCGGCGGCGGTGGAGGCCCTTGCGCGCACCAGCGCCAGCAGCAGCAACGCACACCTGATGGAAACCTTCAGCAGCGGCTTGGAGACGGCGCTGGCTGGGCTGCGGGGAGAGGTGCCGCTGGTGGCGGTGAGGCTAGAGGTGCTGAACGACACGCCCCTCCACTCCGCACGCGGCGCCGGCAGCTCCGAGTCGCCTCGCCAGCAGCACCCCGACGGTGCCAGCCTGGCTGCTGCCAGCGCCGAGCGGCGGCGTGCCAGCCTGGATGCGGCGTCCAGGGCGCCGCCGCACCATTGCGACCGCAGCAGCTGGGCCTGCAAGCTGGGGCTCTTCAAGCTGTGCAACACCAAGCTGGCCACCCGGGATGACGAGGAGGACCCTCGCCTGGGGTCGGCCGTCAGGGTGCATTTCACCGTGCAGGGCGGCGTGGGTGAGCCACTGTTCATGCCTGGCAGCTAGCGGTCCCTGGCCTGGCCACCTCCCCGCCCCGCTGTCCGCGCTCTGCACGCGCAGCTGGTGCTGTGCTGCAGCGGGTGCCTGCTCCTGCGCAGCCCCTGCTTGATGCTGGGGCTTCTGTTTTGCCTGCCAAGCCACGCCCACGCCCATTCACCCTGTTTCCTGCCAACCCCCTGTGCCCGCCCCCAGACCTGACAATTCGCAAGACGCCCGCCAAGCACCAGCGCATGCCCTCGCACGAGGCCATCCTCAAGGTCGCCAAGCAGCACAAGCTCCCAGCCCCGGACCTGCCCCACCCGCTCGCCCCGCCCGCACAGCAGAACGTGGCAGCGCAGCAGCAGCAGCAGCAGCAGAGGTCGCGGGGCTCGTCGCCGCTGCCGCCGCGGCCGCAGCAAGGCTTGCCAGCAGACCACCAGCAGCTGCAGGTGCCAGGTGGCGCTGTGGCATGCTTGCCGGTGTGGCGGCCCGCGGGGCCCAGCGGCGGCCCAGGCAGCGGCGGCAAGCAGGCCCCGGCGCTGGACAGTGAAGAGGCCCAGCGGAAGCAGGTTGCGGAAGCTGCGTACGGCGAGCGGTGGGCGTCACGGAAAGGAAGGGTGCAGACGGCGTCCCCGCACGGCAGGTGAGCTTGTCTGGCTGGCTGGGCTCTACGGGCGGTACTGGCGGCAAAGGAGTTGGTGGCGCCTGGCAGGAACTGCAGGCTGGCCCAGGCATGGCAAGGCAGCCAGCTCCTGATGGCAACAGCACCACACAGCCTCCCTGCCGATCCCCGCGCCCCTGCAGGCGGCCTGGGTGGGACCTGCGGTGCGTGATTGTCAAGACGGGGGACGACTGCCGGCAGGAGCTGCTGGCCATGCAGCTCATCCGCGCCGCACACGAGATCTTCGCCGAGGCGCAGCTGCCGCTGTGGCTGCGGCCGTACGAGGTGCGGCGCGTGCCTGCTTGCGCCTGGCGCACCTGTTGGAAGTGGCTCCAAGTGCCGTTGGTGCCAGCCGGCGGTACCGGGGCCAGCTAACTCTGTCCACTCCAACAGCGCCCGGCTGCGCCTCTCTGCTCCTGCTGCGCAGGTGCTGCCCACCAGCAACCGCACTGCGCTCATTGAGATGGTGCCCAACGCCCCCTCCATCCACGCCCTCAAGTCCAAGCACGCCCCCGGCACCAGGTGGGTGGCAGGGACCCCCAACATGCTGCATGCCATTCATAAGGCCGAGGATGCCATGGCTGTGCCATCGCCCCTTCCCATGATCCCCCCCAGCGCTCCTCCACACCAGGCCCACTCCCCAACCCCCTGCACCTCCTGCGTTGCAGCCTGCGCGACCACCTGGCCGCCAAGTTTGGCGTCGGCTCGGCCGCCTTCCAGCGGGCGCAGCGCTGCTTCGTGGAGTCGCTGGCCGGCTACTCCCTGGTCTGCTACTTGCTGCAGATCAAGGACAGGTGGGCAGCTGGGGGTGTGCTGGGGAGCAGTGTGGGTGTGCGTGGCTGATGGCTTGCTGCCTGCGCTTGTGCTTGCCCAGCCTGGTAGTTCCTGCCTGGCGACTGTCGAGGAGGTGAGCGCTGCACACGCTGATGGCTGCACTGTGCCTCGGACCCTGAATGAATGAAAGCACCCCTTGCTCTCCCTCCCTCCCTCCCTCCCTCCCTCCCTCCCTCCCTCCCTCCCTCCCTCGTTTCTGTGCTTGCAGGCACAACGGCAACATCCTGCTGGACGACGAGGGCCACCTCATCCACATCGACTTTGGATTCATGCTCAGGTGTGTGAGCGGTCGGCACTATTCTCTTCCACTGCTCTGGTATCATGCGTTTTTCCACACGCCGCCCGCTTCACGCGCGCATCGCCCTCTCGCTGCGCTTGTCTGACCCTGCCCGCGCTTGCCCCCACCCCCCACCAACCCGCAGCAACTCCCCCGGCGGCGTCAACTTTGAGTCGGCGCCCTTCAAGCTGACTCGGGAGCTGCTGGAGGTGATGGAGTCGGACAGCGAGGGGCGCGCCTCGGAGCTGTTCGATTACTTCAAGGTGGGCAGAAGGTTGGAATGGCTTGGCCCGAGGGATGGGAAGGCTGGCTAAGGTTGGGAGGCTGGGGGGAAGGCCGAGCGATTTTTGGACGGCTCTGCTGGTTTGGTGGGGTGGAGCGGGGCCTGGTGGCAGGCGCGGTGGAGGCTGGAGGCTGTGCTGCTGCGGCGGCTGGAGTTCTACAAGGCCTGAGTGATGTCCGCATGCTACGGTCATGACCACAGCCTTAAGGTTTAGTGTTGCGACGGTTTCGCTGCCCCGCCCCTTGCTGCGTCGCAGGTGCTGATGATCCAGGGCTTCCTGGCGCTGCGCAAGCACGCCGACCGCATCCTGCTGCTGGTGGAGATGATGCAGGGTGAGTAGGGGGCGGGGATGTGAGCCTGGCAGGGCGCACCAGGATGGTGGCAGGCAAACCTTGCCTATTGCTGGGTTCAACAGAAGCAGTCAAGACGGCAGTATGGCAGTGGCTGGGCGTGGAGGGCCGGCTGGTCGTGGTGGGATGTCGGCCGGCCACCCCTACTGTCTCCAGCCCCTGACCCATGCGCCAATGCGCCCCCCGCCTGCAGGCAGCGGGTGCCCCTGCTTCAAGAGCTGCGTGATGGCGGTGCAGGGCCTGAAGAAGCGGTTCCACCTGACGCTGCCGGAGCCGCAGGTGCGCGCTCCCCTGAGCCTGGGCGAGCCAAAGGGCGCCATACGCCTTGCCCCTGCCCCTCCTGCGCCCTCCTAGATTTTGCCATCGTCCCATGTATGCCTGACTCGTTTGCTGCCCTGCCTTTCGCTTCACGTGTGCCATGTGCAGCTTGTGGAGGTGGTGCTGGGCCTGATCAGCGACAGCCTGGATGCGTGGCGTACCAGGCAGTACGATTACTACCAGCGAGTGCTCAACGGAATCCTGTGATGGTCCGGCCTTTGTTGATGCGTGCGATGGTGGTGCGGCCTGACCAAAGCTGCCCGGGCTTGTTTCCAGCCCCGCTGCCACCTAGAGCAGCCGTATTGCCTAGTGGTGCGCCCCGGGGCGCCAGCCCCCCCCGCCTTCCCCAAGGCTCAACCCTTGATTGATTGTCGCTTCTTTTCGCCCTTCTCGGTTGTCTGTTGCTATCTATACCCTGTTGGCGACATGTCTTGCACGGTTTTCAAGGCAGCTGCAGCATTGCAAGTACCTTGACACAGTCTGCTGCCGCGAAGCTCATGGCACATGAGCGCTGGGGCGGGGACAGGCAGGCGCCGGGACCAGTGAGCTAGCTTTACATTGGCCAGCATCAATCACGAGTGCATTACTAGGCAGGGCAAAGTATGGGCAGATAACACATCAATCAAACGAGAGGCACATGGGCAATCAGTACATATATAGAGGACATGAAACAAGGGTCTCGATTTTCAAGTGTGAATAAACCAAAACTGGGTGTGCACCTGGCACGCCAGCAAGGTGCAGGCAGGTGCATCAGACTCATCAGGTTGAATGGAACAGGGAGGGGGACCGAGTGCTGGCAGGCGCTGTTCCCCTTGCAGCGTACCAGCGAACGCTCAGGCATCCTGCTCATCCACAGTCAGGCCCGTGGCCTCTGCAATCTTGTTTTGGTAGCCCACGGCGACGGCTGCCGCCGCAAAGCCCGCCACGTTGCCCAGCAGGGGCATGATGTCGGAGGTGCGGGAGATCACTGGTCCCTGCAGGCAGGCAGGGTGAGGGAGAGGAGGGTTGGGGCACGCAGAGCACGAGCGCAGCACGGTGCAGCAGCTGAGCGTGCTTGTGGTACCATACACTCGGTGCTTCTCGGGACAACCAGGCGGGCGGCAAGTGCGCGGTTCTCTGCGCGCGTGTGTGCAGCCCCGCTCACCAAGCCAAAGTTGATGAAGAGCGTGGCCCAGAGCGGGGCGAAGAGCAGGACCCAGACGCCGCGGCGCTGCACAAAGCCCTGCGGCTCCAGCCGCGCCGCGGAGCCCGCGACCACGCCCCCCGCCACCGACAGCGCCAGCGTGAACAGGTAGTGGTCCATGGACAGGCCCGGCACCGCAAAGCAGCCGCCCTGCGCCAGGCAGCCCGTCAGCGAGTCCATCATGCTGAGGACCGCAGCGCTCTCGCCCTGCTCCCGCACCTGCACAGGATTTGGAGCCCCCCATTCCGCGAGGTCGGCGGCGGGGCGCAGCGGGCAAAACGCACGGCCCAGGCCTGGCCGAAGGGGGAAGGCTGCGTCCATGGCATAAACAAGCACAGCCATGCCTCCGGGTGTGGCGGCCCAACCATCGCAGGCCCCAGCATGCATGCCTCCATAGCGCGACCCAACAATGCACGGCCAAGCACGGCAGGGCGGCACCCATTCCGGGCCTCACGTTGAACATGTTGCCATAGCGCCCCTGCAGCTCTGTGAAGAACTGGGGGCGCAGCACCTCGCGCACGTCCCGCCCAAACTTAAAGTTCATGATGTTGGGGGCTGCGGGTGCGCAGGAAGGTGGGGTGGGTGGGAAGGTGCAGCAGGTGGGCAAACGTGTTGGGATGTCTAGAGCAAGGCCCGCTGCCCTGCATCCACCCGCCCTGCCGGTGCAAGCCGTGCCGGCAGCAGAGCCGGGGCCTGCAGGAGAGGTCCACCCTGGCGGCTGCCCTGCTGTGGATGCTGCGGATGCTCACAGGATGGGTCCACGAAGACGACCACCGTCTTGTCGTCTACTTTCCACCCAGCCCTGATCTGCTCCACGCTGGGACCGTCCCCTCCATAGCGCGTCAGCATGCGCACGCGCCACCCCGTCTCGCTGCAGACGGGCAGGAGAGGGAGCAGGCAGGATGGGGAGGCGGGGGATGAGTTGGGAAACAGGGCAGCGCCCCCCAACTCGCTCATGCCAGGCTCGGCACGGGGCTGACGTTGGTGTCCCTTCCTCTTCCTCGAGCAGTTTGCGGTCGGGTGTATCCTCCCAGACGCCCCCCGGCAGTCATCCAGGCCATTGCGGTGGCTCAACCCACCTCTCCAGATCGCGCAGCTGCTGCTGGAGGCCCTCCAGCCGGCCGGCGGGCACCACTCGCGCCAGGTCAACCACCGGTGTGTCGTTGCTGATGACAGCAGAGCTCTGAGCGTGCGCCCCGGGGGCCATGGGCGCGAGGCACAGGGTGGCGGAGAGGGCGCCCGCCAGCGCGATGCCGCGCAGGCGCTCGAGCAGGGAGGGGCCTTGCGGCGGGAGAGGCGGCGCCTGCCTCCCCGCCGGCTGCGCCTCCCTGCACGCCGCAGACACTGTGCAGTGGCATCGCGGGGCTCTGACTGGCGGCCTGAGTGAGCTTGCCCTGGGAGCGGGGCAGGTCTGCAGCATGGTGTTTGGGCTCTTGCAAGACCCAGAAAAGGCTTTCAAGATGCAGATGAACTGAGAAAAAGTGCACACAGGCGGCTGGGCAGGAGCGTGTTGTAAAGCTCTGACGTGAGCATGTTTCCGCGCCCGATGCCGTACACTGCAAGTACAGATAGGGGCGCCAGGATGTATGAGGTTACGCAGCGCCTTGCGGATCTGTTGGCTCCCATTTCACCTTGTAAACAGCTGGGTCGTTGCATTTCACGTTTCGTCCCTGTTATCTGCTTCAGCCTGGCTTATTTTCTGGTGCTGGTTTGAGCCACCGAGCCTAGTGTGCAATTGTAGCAATGCCGATGGCGCTTCAAGCCGCCCAGCAGTGCGTCGCACCCTCGGGGCAGGCCGGCCGCTGCCACCGGGCTTCTTGCAGCGAGACCAGCAGGAGCTGCGCCGGCCTGAGCAGCAGCAGCCACCGCCGCAGGGCGCAGAGGGCCCGCCGGCTGCCTGCCCAGGCCGCCGCCACTGTAGAGACGTCGGTGCCTGCACCGCAGCCGATGGCACCACGCAGCGCGCGCACCGACGCCAACCAGCCCAGCCGCGAGGGCGCGCACGAGGCACCCCTGGTGGTGCAGCAGGCCCAGAAGCAGGACCCGGAGCAGCCGGCGCTGGGCTCTGTGCTGCCGGCCTTTGATGCCGCCGCCACCGCCGACGTGGCGGTGGTGGGCGCGGGGCCCGCGGGCCTGGCGCTGGCGGCTGAGCTGGCGCAGCAGGGGCTCAGCGTGGTGCTGGTCAGCCCGGAGAGCAAGTTTGTGAACAACTACGGTGTGTGGCTGGACGAATTCAAGGACCTTGGCCTGGAGCACACGCTGGACACAGGTGGGCGGCTGCTGGTGTGCTGGCGCTTGGTGCAGGGTGGTGGTTGGCGGCCGCTGGGAGCCGCGGGTCGGTTGTGGGCCGTCCGAAGCGGTGCAGGGTGCGGGATGGATGCTGCTGGGGGATGCAGTGGCAGGGAGAGGATTGCCAGCTCTGCTTGGCTGCAGCGCTGCTGGCTCACAGCGGGCAGGTGCCAGCATGCAAGGGCCTGCTTGTTGTGCCTCTCACCCCTGTGCCTCACCTGCCCGTCCGCCCCCGCTTTACACCAATCTGCAGTGTGGGACGACGCGGTGTGCTTCTTCAAGGAGCAGCAGGCGGTGCGAGTGGGGCGGCCGTACGGACGCGTCTGCCGCCGCCGCCTGCGCGAGCACCTGGTGGCTCGCTGCGCGGCGGCGGGCGTGGCCTACCTGGAAGCTGAGGTGGCGGATGCCAGCTCATCGCCCAGCGACCAGTCCGCCCACCTGGGCCTGGCCGACGGCCGGCGGCTGAGCTGCCGCCTGGCGGTGCTCGCCTCGGGGCAGGCCGCCGGCAAGCTGCTGAAGTACGAGGCAGGTGTACCGCCGGTGGCGGCGCAGACCGCGTATGGCATCGAGGCAGAGGTGGAGGGGTATGGCGACAGCTACCCCACAGACGCCATGCTCTTCATGGACTTTAGGCGGCACCACACCGGCCTGTACGACGGTACCGCCAACCGGTGCGCGCATGCCTGGGCGTGGTGGTGGGGTGTCTGCCAGGGTGGAGGCCTTGCCCCGAGGGCCAGGCCAGCCCTGCCTTGCCCATGCTGGCGGCGACACGCCACGGCCCCAGCCATGCTGATGTGCGGCGCGCCGCCGCTGCTCGTGCGCCCGCCCCGTGCCGCAGGCAGCAGCCCGGCAAGAGCCAGCACGGCAAGGATGGCCTGTGGGGCACGGAGGCGGAGGTGCCGTCGTTCCTGTATGCCATGCCGCTGGGCGGCAACCGCGTGTTTCTGGAGGAGACCTGCCTGGTGGCGCGGCCAGCCATGCCGTTTGCCACCCTCAAGCGGCGGCTGGAGCGGCGCTGCCGCGCGCTGGGCATCGAGGTGGGGCTGCTGGGAGGCTGGCTGGTTGTGCGTGGTGTGTGGGCTTGGGCGGGGAGGTAGGGGAGTCGGCAGGCTAGCAGCGGCATACATTGGGCGGCGGACAGGTGGTGCCCAGCCTTCTCACCCGCCAGAAAACCACAATGCACTTGCGCATGCTCGTGCCGAGCCGACCGGCATGGCCGCGCTGCGGCTGCGCTCCTGCGCGTGGCAGGTGAAGGAGGTGCACGAGGAGGAGTGGAGCTACATCCCCGTGGGCGGCCCGCTGCCGCTGCCAGACCAGCCCGTTGCGGCGTACGGCGCGGCGGCAAGCCTGGTGCACCCCGGTGCGCAGTGTGTGTGCACGGTGGTGTGGTGCTGTTTGGCTGGGCGGCCTCGGCAGGGGCTGCGCCAGCACTGTGGCAATTTCTGAAGATGGCAAGAGGTAACACACGCAGCCCTGTCCATGCCCGTCCCCTCCTCTGATGCCCCTGCCTGCAGCCACCGGGTACAGCATCACCCGGAGCCTGCGCGAGGCGCCCGCCACGGCGCGGGCCGTCCAGCTGGCGCTGCAGGAGCAGCCCAGCAGTGCGGCCGCAGTGCGGTATGTGTGGGAGGCGCTGTGGACGCAGGAGCGGCGCCGCCAGGTATGCGCGCGTGGCGCGGCAGCAAGCCCATCACGCCAACGCCAGCAAGAGCGCCAGCTGCCGGCCAGCGTGCCCTTCACCTGGCTCTCCACCACCGCCTCTGCTGCACCTCCACCTGACCGGGCTCCATTCTTGCTTCTTTCCCTACCCGCTCCCCTGCAGACCTCCTTCCAGGTGTTTGGCATGGAGCTGCTGTGCCAGCTGGACACTGGCAGCACCGCCGATTTTTTCACCACCTTCTTCCGCCTGCCGCACTCCTTCTGGCGCGGCTTCCTGGCCAGCAAGCTGTCATCGGGTGCGCCTCGGCACCTGGCGGCGACCCCATGCCAGCCATGCAGCGGAGGCTGGAGCAACCTCCTGCTGCTGTATCGCGCTCGTCATTTCTCGCTCCTGCTGCTGACCCTGACCTTCCCTCCTGTCCCTGACCCTCGCCCGGCACTGCAGTGGACCTGCTCAGCTTTGCGATGCTGACATGGTTGCTGGCGCCGCTCAACATCAAGGCCAAGCTGGTCACCCACTTCATGCTGGACCCCTCGGGCCGATACATGATCGGCTGCTACACGGGCAAGAACCGGGAGCAGTGGGAAGCCGGGCCGGGCGGCGCGGCCACGCAGCTTCCTGCCGCGGCGGCGGGCATGCTGGCGCTGCAGCAGCTGGCGCAGCAGGCAGCCGAGCGGGTGTGAGGGGAGGCCAGAGGGTTGCTGACACCTTTACCCGCCCCGTCCAGTTTCATGTGCGAATGCCATGCCCTCCCAGTTTCATCTCAACGTTTCTTCGGCGCTCTACGCATTGAACCGTCCCTGAAACATGGAACTATGTTCCGGAGACAGAAACAGGGCCCTGCTGTCCAGACGGAGTGGAAATTCACTTTACCAAGGCTGTTGATGATGGACAACTTGCAACGAGGTGGAGTGGCGGCAGTGGCGCGCACTGCCTGTTGCAACCATTTCCGGGCGCGGCTGTGATCGCGTTGGACCCTGTCCGCACCTGCATTTCGCCCACATGCTGTGGTCGCTCGACCCCTTCTCGTCCTGCCGAAATCTACATGTATCCATGTGTGCCGATTTGAACTTCTTGTTGCTGACCGTCTAGGGATGGGCACACTAGCAGGCGGCATGCATCTGAGAACAACCAGCAGCAAGTAGGCGGGGGGAGTCCACGGGGGCTTTGCGGTGAGCATGGCCCAACCCTTCAGGCCAGCTGCGCCGGTGGCAACAGCCCCAATGGGAACAGCGCTGCATACACCTTCTTCATGGGCCCCAGCTGGAAGCCGGCATCCTCGTAGATGGCACCCCACACCGCCTCAAAGCACTCTGCAGGGCAGGGCCAGCGGCAGCGAAGCTTGGCAGGGCAGGGCGGCAGATCGCCATCTCAGCAGCGCTGCCTCGAGCAAGCTGCCTCTGGCAGCCTGTGGTTCCGTCCAGGCAGACAGGACACATCCGCCATCACTGGCTCCCAAGTGGGACAGCAGGAGTGGGACAGCAGGACAGAGGGACATGTCGGGGCATGCTCGGCTTTCCGGCCAGCTCATTACATGGCGGCGGCAGCGCTCGCCTGCGAGCATGGCCATGGTCGGCTCAGCGCCCTCGTACCCCTTGCCCACCACCAGCAGCCGGTCTAGGCCCAGCTTCCTGGCAGCTGCCGCGCAGGCCTTGCGCCGCACGATGGCCATGCGGTGGTCGTGCAGGCCAGCAATGGTGGCATCAGGCAGGGCTTGGTACAGGAGGTCAGACACAGCCGCACCCAGCACAGCATCGCCCAGCCAGGTCAGCCTGCATCGAAAGGGCTCAGGCGGACAGGCAGGCAGGGCAGGGAAGGGCTGAGGCGCTTGCTTGAGGCAGCATGATGCAGCGTTCCGAGGAGATTAGGACGCACGGCACAGCAGCAGCATCCCACACAAGCAGCGGGAGACGGCCTGGCACCCTGGAAAGCCGCCATGCGCCGCCGCACCTGGCATTGTTCAGCTCGCCATAGGACGGGTGCACCAGAGCCAGTTTCAGACCCCATGTATTGTTGAAGTTGTAGTTCAGCCGCTGCTCCAGGGCCTTGACCTCCGCATCGCTTGGCAGGCGACGGGCAAAGACGGGCTGGCTAGCGGCGGGGAGCATGGCGGCATGGGCGACGTCGAGGGCAGCAAGCAGAGCTGCCAGCAGCAGGTTGGAGCCATTCGAAGCAGAAGCAGACATTTGGAAGCCTCGCAAAAGTCGAGGCAGGGTTTCGCAACACGGGGCTGTGCTGGCTGTGTTGCCTGGCCTGGCCGTGTGGACTAGAGGGTTGGACTGCACCAATTTGGTGCCTGCAGGGGCGAACTCTGCCAATGGTGTGGGTGCCACTCCTGCACGTCAGCAAAAGAAAGTCTCTCCACCTTCCACTGCCCAGCCATCAGCTCCTGTTGTACTCAGTACTCAGCGCAGCACGCGTCCTACTCTGTGCTGTCCCCTGAGCTGTAGCAGGGCACCACTACCATGCCGAGGCTGGCTGCCCGCCTGCTGGCGGCCGCGCTGGTGGCGGTGGCTCTGGCGCGCCCAGTGGCAGCCAGACACGCACCCATGTCGAGCAACACCACAGTGCTGACGGTGGAGGCCGTCCCAGGCTCTGGCAGGTTGGGTTGCTGCCGCTGCTGCAGTGTGGCTCCCCCGGCAGCGCGTCGCCTGGCGGACTGCGACTGATCCTGCTGCTGCTGCTGCTGCTCTGATGCAGGTTTCACAACATAGCTGTGGATGACCCTCGAGGGCCCCACTACGGTGAGCCTCGCTGTGCTGAGCACGGTAATGCCCTCGGCACAGGTTGCAAGCGTGAATGCCGCACCTGACCTGCTGCTGCCACACCTGCTCTGTGCCTGCAGTGTATGCGGTGGATACGTCGAGGCACACCGTGGGCCGCATTGCGCTGGACACGGGTAATCATGGGTGCCCAGCCTGTTGCCGCTCCAGCAGGGCGGCCGCCTCCTGCCCCGCTGAGGCGTTGGAGTGTAGTGCTGCTTGCAGGAACGTGGGAGACGGTGGCGGGGCTGGATGGCACGCCTGGCTACCGTGACGGCCCTGAAGGGCCAGCTGGCCAGCCAGCCCTGTTCAACCGGCCGTCGGCCATCTGCCAGATGCCGCACGGCCACCTCGCAGTGGCAGATACGGGCAACGCCTGCATCCGGCAGATCGACGCCGCCACCAAGCAGGTGTCCACCCTGGCGGGCCGCTGCGGCGAGCCAGGGGCCGCCGACGGCCCCGCAGCAGAGGCGCAGTTTGGAAGCAGCATCAAGAGCATCGCCTGCGCCAACTGCTCGGTGTTTGTGGGAGATGTCAGCACCGGCAGGCTTAGGTGCGCGCCTTGCTTCATCAGCCAAAAAGGCCTCCTGCGATGAAAGTTGATGCCAGTCATCTGAAGTTCGTCGTTCCTTGCTTCCTTGCCATGCAGGCTGGTGCGTGTGGACGATGCCGAGTGCCTGGGCGCCAGCAACCCCAGCGGCAGGTTCATCACCCGGGAGAGCGTCAAGTGGCTGCTGGCTGGCGTGGTCATGCTGTCCATCCTGGCACTGGGCGGGCGGCGCTACTTGCAGCGCCATGCCGCAGCCGTGGGACAGCACTTGGAGCAATCCCGCTCGGAGCGCGTTCCTTTACCTGCCGGGCCGCCAGCAGGAGGCTCACTGAGGCAGAAGTTCCTTGATGCGGCGCACCGCTTCCACCTGCGCCACAAGCTGTCCGGCGGGGCAGCCGCCGAGGCGATGCTGCGGGAGGAGGCTGGGGATGAGGCGCTGCAGGAGGCCCCGCTGCCGCCTGAGCCTCTCCTTGTGGACATTGAGGCGGAGGCTGGGGAGCAGGCGAGTGAAGCGTCCGCTGCCGCTGCCGCTGCCGCATGGCTGGGAGTAGCAGGGGTGCCGGGTATGGGGCTTGGCTGTCAGCTGTCAGTGGTAGCGTTGGGGATGGGAGGGGCGCCAGCTGCCACATGGGAGGGCTGCCTGCGCTGCGCTGGCCCATGCAGGGGTCTGCGGCAGGCAGCCCCGAAGTGCTGATCAGGCTGGACAGCCCCGAGCCGGGCAGCCAGCTGGCGCCCGCAGCGGACGTCCGCGTGCCCCATGAGACTGCCAGTCCAGCGGCTGAGGAGGAGGGAGCGCCTTGTGCAGAGAAGGGGCGCGCCACCCCTGGTGCCCCCAGCCTCAGCAGCCCCCCCGACACTTTTGCAGACCTGAGCCCGCTGCCCAACAGCTGAAGAGAAGCTTGTGTGCTGAATGCCCGTGCGTGCCCTTGCGCCTGCGCCTGTTGATCGCCCTATGTATCTGCCCAAGCTTGGCTCTGCCAGCCGTGTGTCACAGACTGGGGCCAGGAGAAGCACACATGCCCAGCAGGCAAGCCACGACGCAATGATCAGTCCTGCCAAACGCGAGGAGGCAGTCCAAGAAAAGACGGGAAGAGATAAAAACGAGCTTAGGAAAACGGTTCTGGTTTGCAAAGTGTCAGCAGGCATGCCTGGGCAGGCATGCCTGCAGGCAGGCAAGCATCAGCGCTGCGCAGGCACAGCGGAGAGGCATGTACGTCTTGCCACAGCTGCCAGCCCGCCAGGCCAGGCGGCGCAGAAAAAATCCGCCGGCGGCGCCAGCGCTGGACCGCCGCGGTGCTCCACCGCCGGTGCCGCCTCACTTGTCCTTCTCGAGCTCGCCCAGGGCGGCCAGCGCCTTGGCACGCCGGCGGCTGGCGTTGGAAGCTGCGGGAGGTGGCGAGGGGCCAAGAGGGGTCAGCGCAGCAGGTGCGCAAGCTGGTGGGCTCAAGGGCTAGGATGTGTTGCAGCCGCGCTGCGCTGCGGCGCAGCTGCGCTTTGCGCGGCACGCCGTCCCTTGCGGCCGCGCGCCATTCCTCCCAGGGCCGCAGCAAGGACGCCGCCACGTACCGCACACGCTCCACAGCCCCACCCACAGCCCCACCCAGCAGCCCCGGCGCACTCACCGGCCATGGAGGTGTAGCTGCGGTAGCCAAAGAGGCCCACGCCGAGGGCGGCGGCCACGTAGGCGGCGCGCCGCCAGTCCTGCGGCGTGGTGAAGGAGCCGCCGGTCACGGTGGCTCCCAGCTCCAGCGCCTTGACGGTCAGGCTCTCCAGGATTGTGTAGGTGTGGAACGTCAGCTGGGCGCCCACGGTGGTCTGCACGGCGCGGCAGGCGGCGGCGGGCCGGGCCGACTGATGTGGAGCGCGGCAGGAGGGGCGCGGGCGCGCCCGAAGCGTGGCCGGAGGGAGCGCGGCGAGGCGGGCAGCTGGCATGGGGTAGCATGCCAAGGAGTGGGAAGGGCAGGCAGGGAGCTGCCTACGGGCAGGGCCTGGGAAGCAGCAGCACAGCCCGCTCGCACCTGCGCAGGCTCGTCCTCGGCGGGAGTGTAGGTGACAACGGTGCCTGGGACGCGCACAGTGGAGGCCTCCTTTCCAGTCAGCTTGTACCTGCAGCACAGCATGTGGCACGGGGCAGCAGGCAGGCCCCTTGGAGCAGCCGCTGGCAGCAGCGCGGAAGTGGCAACAGAAGAGGCAGCACGAGGACAGAAGCGGAGGGCAGCAACAAAAAGGATGGCAAAAGCACGAGAGGCAGCGAGCAGGAGCGGAAGGGGCAGCAGCGGACGAGGCGGCAGCAGGGCAGGCTGCAGCGGCAGCCTGCGGCCTGCCTCCCCACGCACGTGTGCTGCACGCTCGCGCCCTCTGGGATCCTGTCAAAGCTGGCGGTGAGCTCTCCCTCCACCGCAAAGCCCTCGGGGGGCCAGGAGGCCTCGGTGAGCTTGACTCCGGTGGCGGGGCTGCAGGCAGGGGCGCATAGCAGAAGGCAGAAGTGAGGAGGAAGTGAGCGGCAGTAGGTGGTAATGCCGCTCTCGCAGGGGCCGATCAACAGCCGCTGCTGTCTACTCACGCTTTGCCTGCATTGTAGATGGATATGGTGACCGTCGTCTGCTTGCCCTCCAGCGGCCGCTCGTCAGCCACTGCAGGCAGGCAGGCGGCCAGAAAACCGGCGCTGGCAGGGTGGGGGCGGTGGGGCGGCGGCAGCCGTGCGGCTTCTTGCCCCAGAGGCAGGCGGGCAGCGGCGCCCTTCCCTGGCCCATCGCGCCCTGTGGCCGCTCACTGGAGCGGGTGGGCACGCAGATCGTCACCAGGCTGGGGAAGCCATCATGCGGATGCCTGCACCCAGCCCCGAAAATGGTTGCTCACCCACGCGGCGCACAATCAGCGTGGCCCGGTCCTCGTCCTCCTCCTCCTCGTCGTCATCATCGTCCACCTCCACCTCCTCCTCTGCCCGCGTGAGGGTGGAGCAGACCAGCAGCGTCCCGAAGAGGATTGTTAGGAGCAGCTTGCGCGACATGGTGCTCGCTCGACACGCAAAACGGGCGGCGCCACCGGCTCCCGTGTTCACGGCTAGCTCAGTTGCACAGTCAGGGCGCTGCAAAAGCAACGCAACCTTTGGGCCGGCAACGAGGCAGGGCGCGGGGATGGGCACATCGGGCGACCTGTCCTGCGCCGGCGTACTTCACCGGTTGCGGCGCCATGGGCAGCAGGCGGTTCCGGTGGAACGTTGGCTTTCGGATCATTTGATGCTTGAAATGCCGATGAGGTCCACTCTCAGGTGGTAAAACACATGTGGAGGGCTAAAGACAGCTGCCTGCCACAGGCTGTCGCACGCCGGGTGTGGGGGCGCCTGCCGCCCTGACGAGACACCCTGTCGCACAAGACTGCCTGGGCAGTGCAGGAATGGAAGCACATGTGGTGAGGAGCCCCACAGCGTACCATGCAGCATATTGCATCCTTCAGCATGGCCGGAAGTGTATTGCTGCAGCCGCGCAGGTCGAGTGGACTGCCCGCCCCTCCCAGCAAGCACACCCCTCTGCTGCCCTCCCTGCCGGTGACGTTGGAGTTTACTGCTGCACAATCGTGTTTGATCGAGAGCACCCGCCGGCCCGGCGAGGAGCCCGTTGCAAAAATCATCAGTCCAGAAACAGAAGATCCAGGAGAGCGTCAAAAATGGCGGGGCCCGCCCGGGCGCGCCGCAACTGCTCCTCTGGCATCAGGTGCCGCTACCTGCTCAGGACAGCTGGCCGCAGTCGGCGATGGTGATGGTCTGGCTGGTCTTGCCGCTGCCGGAGCCTGCAGTGGCAGGGCAGGGGCGCAAGCAAGGGCGGGACAATGGGTCGGCAGGCCGGCTGTGCAAAGAGCGTGGCAATGGCTCGGTTCCCATGCCTGCAGTGCACTCTCTGCCCCCTGGACAGGCACGGGCAAGGCACCCACCGTAGCTCTCGACCTTCTTCACCACATCCAGGCCCTCCACCACTTGGCCAAACACCACATGCTTGCCGTCCCTGCAGCAGGCAGCGGGAAGAGTGACGTGAGATGAGGAGGCAGGTGGGGGGCAAGCGCTGGAAGGCAAAAAAAAACCGCGGGGCGGCGGGCTCACAGCCAGGGGGTGGACACGGTGCACAGGAAGAACTGGCTTCCGTTGGTGTTGGGGCCCGCGTTGGCCATGCTGAGCACGCCGGCGCCGGTGTGCTTGAGCTGGAAGTTCTCTGCAGCGGCAGAAGAAGAGGCACACGACATGACGCTTTGCTCAGCCACTGTGGGCGGCACAAGGGGTTGGGAAAGCAGCCTACGGGCTGCCGCCTGGGACCCTGCCAAGCACCCCTTCCCATCTGCCAACCAGGCCTCTGGCACATTAGATGCTACTGACCGTCAGCAAACTTCTCGCCATAAATGGACTCGCCCCCGGTGCCGTTGCCGCGGGTGAAGTCGCCACCCTGCGGTGCAGCCAAAATAAACAGCAGCGCGGGCCAGGCCCGGTCAGCTGCCACAGCTGGCCCGCGTCATTGCTGTGAATAACATACACTTCACAGCCTGGCAACCTCCATAAGACACGGGAGGCAGCTGGTGGAGCTACTTAGGCACCTGGCACCTGCAGCGGCACAAGCGCAACAACGGGTGATGGGTAGAGGCGGCGCGCCATAAGCACTGTAGTATCACTCCAGGCTGTACCTCCTGCTGCATTCACGCCCAGCCACGGCACAGCCCCACCCCAGGGATGATGGCAGCGCACATGAACTGAGGGATGACGCGGTGGAAGGTGGACCCCTTGAAGTGCAGCGGCTTGCCGGAGCGGCCGGTGCCCTTCTCGCCGGTGCACAGGCAGCGGAAGTTCTCCGCGGTCTTGGGCACCACGTCGGCGCGCAGCTCCATCACGATGCGGCCCAGCGGCGTGGAGCCTGCGGCGGCGGACGCGCGTGGGGCAGCGTAGCGGCGGAAACCAGAGTGGGGCAAGGAGAAGAGGCGATGCAAGGGCGGGTGGTAGCTTGGTAAGGCCCCGAGGAGGCCCGAGTGCAGGACTGGCGCTGGACAGCAGTGGTGTGCGCTGCCGCCCGCGGCTGCGGCAACAGAGCCGTGCCGCTCGCATCGCGCGACCGGTGATCGCCGCCGGCGTGGCGGCGCGGCCACCAGCCACTCACCCGCAGTCACCTGCAGGCAAGGCAACAACGCTGGGGTTGGTTGGCAGCACAGACAACCAGGCAGGGGGATCGCCAACAGCATGCCGGAACCATCCATGCTGCTGATCGAACGCCATCGGGGGCCAGACCGCTGGCCTACAGTCAAGAGCAGAATCCTTGGCTACTCACATCGAAGAACACGCGCGGGTTGCCCATGGTGGTGATGGTTGGGTGGCCGAATTACAGGGGAGGGGCGACTCTGGCTGTGGGCGTGCGACCAACGAGGGGAAGGGGAGATCAAGGGTTTGCTGCAGCGTTTCAGTGCGCTGTGCACGCCTTTCCAACAGGAAAAAGATGCGCAAGAGCGTGAGAGGCCGGGCAGGTGGTCGCCCTGCACACAAACTTTGTTATCAGCGCCTTGCGCCGATTTCACAACCAAGAAAGCGGACTGGCAGGAGGAAGGAGCTCCCGAAAGAGAGGATGTCGGACTCCACGCCTGCAGCACCAAACAGTGGGCCCGGCCTCACGTTCTCAGCGGCCAGGTGCGGGGCGCAGCGCTGCAAGGGGTGCGCAGGTTGGCCACCTCCGGCGCCTGTCCGACGCAGCGCCCCGCTGTCCTTGCCTGGGCTCCACCTCGCTGCACCTGCCCCCGCTGCGCGTGCAGGCTGGAGGAGGTCTACCTAGTGTACACCAGCGAGAAGAACCGGGGCCTGACGCTGCGCCTGCACTTCATGCTCATCGCCGCTTGGGCGGTGGGAGCGCTCAAGACGCTGACGCAGTGCGCCTACGCCTTCCAGCAGTGAGCCGCCGCCGCTCGCCCCTGCCCACGCACGGCGAACAGGGCCTTGCAAGTGCTGGGGCTTGCAGCCGCTGCGGCATGCCTGCGCCACGGGATGCAGGCGCCCGCCGCTGGCTGCACCGCTGGATAGTGAAACCCCTCGTTCTTCACCCACCCAACCTTGCGTCCCTTCCGTCACGCTGTGCAGCGGCGAAGCCAAGGTGCTGCCGCAGTACCTCTTCCTGCTGGCCGCCCAGCTGATCAACCTGGTGTACCAGAGCTACGCGATGAGGCGCCTGCGCAGCCTGGCACGCCAGGAGCAGCTGATGCAGGCGCGCCGCCCAGCCAGCCGCCCACCCTGCCGCCGTGCATTCAGCGCTGCCGCATGTGAACGCCCCTCTCTTCGACTCCCTGCTGGAGCGCCGCTGCCGCTGGCTGCCCCTATTGGCTGCCCCATCAGCCTTGGGAGCGCGTGAGGACCTTTCCGGCCTCCGCCGCCATGCGCCCTGCCTGCGTGCCGCTCATCCACCCAGTGTTCCAGCCCGCGCCGGGTGTTTGCTGCTGTGCAGGAGCAGGCCAAGGCGTGGCTGCACATCCTGCTGGACATTGCGGTCATGGTGTGCGTCATGCTGTCAGACCCCTCGCTGCCCCACGCCCCCGCGCCCCTGCCCACCCTCATCGTCACCTCCTTCCTCGGAGTGCTCGACATGGTGAGGGCACCGCGCCGCCGCGGCAGCGCACGCCTGGCTGCAGGCGAGGGCTGGGCTGCCACTTGCTGACGTTGCCCTTGAACACGCATGTGTACGCTAGCGCAGCCGCCCTGCGCACAACGGTGCCCCCGCCGTGCCGAAGCCGCCCCATGCCTCCCGCGCGCGTCCGCCCTGCCTGCAGATCCGGCTGGAGACGCTGCTGCGCCTGCAGGCCATCAAGTGGCTCTGCTTCCTGTTCCTAGAGGCCGACTACTTCATGCGTGCGCCGGGCCACGGGTGCGGATTGGCATGGGGCTGCCAGACATAAACGACGGGGTGTTGCGCCAAGCAGCCCCGCAAGCCAGCCCCGCGCCAGGGTCGGCAGCTTCTGCCTGGGCTGACGCTGGGCCCGGGCTGTTTGCTGAGGGCATTGTTTCTTCTCTTCTCTTTCTTTCTTCTCCTCCAGGGCGGCCAAGGTTGGGCTGGACATGGCCGGCGCGCTGGTGTTTGGCACGCTGCTGCCCTTCAGCTTTGCAGCGGTGTCCGAGGTGAGGCCTGGCTTCTGCATGTGCCGCAAGCCGCCATGCACCTCCCTTCTCTCTCCTGCCTCTGGTGCCGCTTTTTTTCGGGCCGTGGGTGGCCCACAGCACAGTCATGCTCTAGGCCAGGCATCGCTTGAGCCTCTGCCACCCTCCTGTTGATTTCCTTCCTGTCTGTGCCACCCGTGTGTGTGCAGGCCTCGCATCGCGTAGCATTCCTGCGAGACTGCAAGCGCCCGCTGACCAACCTGGGACCCTTCTGGTCGGGTGGGTTGGCAGCGAAGCAAGCCTGTGCAGCTCTTCACCCTTGTGTGATGTCTTGGTTGCTACCCTGGCCAGCTAGGTGGGGTGGCCAGCATGCCGTGCTCTCTGTACTGCCTCTGCTCCTCCCATCTCACGCTTGCTGCATTCCACGGCGCCGCGGCTGCTGCAGCTGTGTACTCCATTGTGCGGCGCTTCAGCCGGCAGCCAGCCGAGGAGCAGGAGGATGCACACATGGACTGAGGTCGCGGGAAATGGCTGGTCCGCACCTTTACTTGGACGGCACCTAGAACGCGTTCATTACTGCCTTGCATCTTCCACCTTGCTTGTCTCTGCTCGATGCCACACTTCACTTCATCATTCTGCATTGTTTCTGCTGTGCTCGAGACACCCGCCCTGATGACGGGTCCCTGCAAAAGGCTTGATCTTCTTTTCAATTTGTAACATTCATTCTGTAAAGAACAACTGAGATTTCGAGAGATAGCTGGCCTGCAAATACATACTCTTTGCGTGCACGCCTGTGCTCGGTCGCCGCCTAGCGTGCCGCCCGCAGCATGGGCACAGCATGCAGCACAGAACGCTCTTATGATGCCGTCCGCAACGATCGATTCGTCCACTGTTGGTTGGAGGGGGAGGGGCAGAGCTCCATGCTCGCATCCACTGCTCGCTTCAGGCGAGGGCGATCCCTCCTTGGGCGGGTGCAGAACGCCATCAGGGCGTTCAGCGATGCATCCGATGCCGAGCGCGCGAGATCGGACACCGAGCCGCCAATGGTTTTCGCTCGGAAGAGTGAGCGCCGCCACCGCCGCCGCTGCCCGGTGCTCTCGCCGCCGGCTCTCCTGCCTCGAGCCCGGTTCGCGTCCCCTCTCATTCGTGTTCCACCCTGCAGGCGGCGACAGCCGGGAGCTGCGCTATTTTGTGCTAAAGGGCAAGGCCAACCCGGCGCTTGCCATGCTGGAGAGCTCTGTGCGGGGCACGCACGTGCTGGGCGGGCCCGAGGGCCGCCGCTACAAGGTCCCGCCGCCCAACGTCTGCAACAGCGTGCTGGCGCGGGCGGCGGAGGTGGGCTGCAGCCGCTGGCCGCGGGAGCAGCGGGCCCACCGCTCCTTGCAGGACGACTGGGCCACCTGTTGGGGTAGGGTGGTGGCGGCTCAGTGAGGCAAGGACCCCCATGCTGGTGCACTGTGCAGGACGCTAGCCTTGCCAGCAAGGTGGCGGAAATTGCAGAGGCGCTACTGCAGAAGGGCGTGCCGCTGGAGGCGCATACCCTCAAGGTGGGAGGCTGCAAGCGGCAGGCAGCTGGCAGCCCGTATGTGCTCCCCGCATGCATGCCGCGCCTGCCAACTAATCCTGGCTCCTTCCCCCAACCTGGAGAGGGCATGTGTGCATTGATTGTGCCCCTGCCTCCTCGCCCTTCATCTTGCCCCTGCACTACCCCTGCAGGCGCTATTTGGCAGCCTGGCCAGGGCAGACGCGCTGCCCGAGGCGCTGCCGGTGCTGGACGCCTGGCTGCAGCAGCAGGAGGTGGCTCTGGAGGAGGATGCCAACACGCAGGCGCCCCTGCAGGTCCGCCGCTGGCTGACATGTGCCTGGCTTTTTCGCAGCCGCTGCTGCATCAAGCCGCACTGGCGGATGCCTGCACAGCTCGCAGATGCAGCTGGCCCACACAACTCTGCCTCTGCCGCATCTGTGGACTTCTCCGGTGCGGGGCATTGCGCGCAGGCGTGCCCATGCTGCGCCTCATTCTTGCCCTCTGCCGCAGGTCATGACGCAGCTCATGGACACGGCGGTGCGGGCCGAGAACACCCACCTGCTGGTGCAGGTGCTGGCTCGCATGGCCAGGATAGGCGTCACGCCCTCGCCACAGGTCTGCGCAGTGGGGGGCCATGCGCGTCGCTGGCCTGCCTTGCATGGCTCTCAGGGCTGCTGACGCCCAGCCGGCTCTGAAGAACTGCCCCTTCCCGCAGCTGCGCGCAGCTCCTGGTGCTGCTGGTTTGGGGCTGCTTAGTGGTGCACCCGTGCCACGCCCCGTCCAACCCCCCACACTCTCACACACTCATCTGCGCACCCGCCCCAATGCTGCAGAGCCTCACCACGCTGCTGCAGTGCTTCATGCGGCTGGGGCACGTCAACGTGGCGCACAGCGTCCTCGACTGGATGCGGCGCAAGTGAGCGGCGGCGCGCCCGCCACGCAGCATGCCGCCTGCACCCCTCCCGCAGCCGCTGCCTGCCCGGCCGCTCGTGCCTCGCATCAGCATGCCCTGGAGGCCTCCCCACGACACACCTACGCATGCACCTGTACAGAGGCACACACACACACACACACATCACACACATACACCCCCCCACACACACGCACCTGTTTCCCCTGTAGCAACCTGGAGCCAAACGTTTACAGCTACACAGCCCTGCTGGCGCTGCCCCGCCACATCAGCGAGTCGGCGGCGCCACGCCTGCTGGAGCAGGCGAGCCGGGTTGGCAGGCGGGGGCGGCGCCAGGGCAGGGCGGGCAGGCTGACGAGAGCAGCCGGCGGCGCCACCCACCAGCCAGGCCGGCAGCACAGGCCGGCAGCACAGGCCGGCAGCACCAGCTGACTCGTGCTCCCTGCTTGCTGCCACACTCGGGCAACAGGCCTTCACTCCCTGCCCGCTGCACCAGCAGCCGCGGCCCCCCCCCACCTCCCACCCACACACCTACCCACATGCACACACACGACCTGCGCCGGGCCGCTTGTGCCTGCCTGACCGCAGGCGCGGTCTGCCTACGACAAGATGCGGCAGGATGGCGTGCAGCCCAACGCCCGCTTCTTCACTGAGCTCATCCGCATCTGCGGGCGGGCAGGCGACATGGCGGTGCGCCCGCCTTTGCGCCCCCGTGCCTCACTTAATCCAGCCAGTGCCGCCGCTGATGCTGCTTCATTCTACTTGTGCTTCTGTTGCTGCTGTTTGTGTTCTACTTCTACTGCTGTTGCTGGTGGTGGTGGTGGTGCTGCTGCTGCTGCATCCTTGCCCCCTGATGCCGTTGGCTGGGCTGGGCATCCAAGGTGCCAGCGCCACATCCTGAGCCTCTCCCTGTTGTTGCATGCTGTGGGGCAGGCGGCGGAGGTGGCGTGGGCGGACGCCAAGGCGGCGGGCGTGGCACCAGACCTCATCCTCTACTCTGCCATGATCGACACCTGCGGCAAGGTGTGTGTGTGTGTGTGTGTGTTTCTGTGTGTGTGTTTCTGTGTGTGCTGCTGGTGGTGTGTTTGGATGGATGTGTGGTGTGAAGTTCCCAGAGCCGGTGCTCCACTGGCTGTCTGTTCCTTCGCCTTGTGCCTGCCCCTGGGTGGCCTGACCAAGGGCGGCGCACCGACGCGCAGCCTGAGGCGCCGCTGCGCGGCTGGAGCCTCAGCCTGCGTCCGCGCTGGGCCCGCTGCACCTGTGGATGCACTGGCGCCTGACCCACGGCGGCCCCCATGCCTCGTGCGCAGTGCAAGGACGCTGCGGCCGCCATGCGCGTCTTTGGCGAGATGAAGCGCAGCAGGGTGCGGCCCGATGTCGTGTCCTACACATCGCTGCTGACGGCGCTGGAGGGGACGGCGCAGGTGGGGGTGCAGGAGGCAGGAATAGATGGCAGCGGAAAGGCAGGGACGGTGCCCTGGGGTGGGGACGCTTGCCTTGGGTCTTGTGCCTGGCTGGGGGCTGGACAGCACTGGCTGGGGCTGACGGCCCGCATCCAGGGGCTGCCTGCTCGGCCTGCATCATCACGAGTGGCCCGTACCCCGCGCCTCCTCACCTCCCCCTGCCTGTCCCGCACTCCGCGCAGGCCGCCCCGCTGGCCCGAGACGTGTGGCACTCCATGCAGCGCGACGGCGTGCAGCCTAACGGCATGGCCATCGCCGCCTTTCTAGAGATCCTGCTGCTAGAGGGAGAGATAGATGAGGCGCTGCAGGTGGGGCAGCCAGTCGAGCCCTGCCAGCTGCGTTTCACTGGGTGTGCTCGTCCTATGCTGTTGTCGTGCTTCACACCGTGCACCCCAGACCATTGTTGCGGGGAAGGCTGCAGACGCGCTGCCTGGCACCAATCTCATCTGCTGCTACCCTGCCTGCCTGCCTGCCTGCCTGCAGACGCTGGCGGCAGCACGGCCGGGCAGCCGCGGCGGCCGCGCCCGCAGCCAGACGCGCTGGCAGCGCAAGACGGCACGCCTCGCCAGAGAGGCTGGCCTGGAGGAGGAGGCGGGCACAGAAGCAGCTGCGCTGGCAGCTGGGGAGAACGACGGCAGCGCCGGCCAGCTGGAAGGGCGTGTGGACTTGCCCAGGCTCTATGAGCACTTCATCTTTGCCATGGCACACAAGGGGCAGTATGCAGGCACGCCGGGCCGGCAGGTGGTGCAGCCCCCTGCGGCCCCTGCTGCTGCATCTTGAGCCAACTGTTGTCGGTAGCAGCCGTGGTGTTGCTTCAACCCACGCCCCCGCCCTGGCACCCCATGCTGCAGTGGTGGAGCAGATGGCACGCCACATGCGCAGCCGTGGCCTGCAGCAGACGCTGGGCACCGCCTCGGCGCTGCTGACCGCGCAGGCGCTGCAGCACGGCCACGTCGCCGCCAAGTGGCTGCTGCAGCCGCCCGGCATGGGCGCAGCCGGCAGCAGCTCCTCGGCAGCTGCCCCACTGCCGGACGACGCTGTGGAAAGCTGCCTGCTGGGCCGAGGAAGCCCCCAGGCCTGCATGCAGAAGCTCCTGCATAGCGGCGGCGGAGCCAGCAGCAGCAGCTGTAGCGGGAGCGCGGCGGAGGACGCAGCGGCAGCAGCCCTGAGGCCAGACCGAACGGTGGCTAACGTGGTGCTGGCAGGCCTGGCGGTACGGGGCTGTACCACTGAGGCGGTACAGCTGTTCGACTGGATGAAGCAGCAGCCGGCGGCGCCGGAGCCGGCCGCCGCGGCCGCAGCCACAGGCAGCCGCGCGCGCCGGCGGCCGGCCCCTGTGTGCTCTCCAGACGCCTGGACGTGCCAGCTGCTGCTGTATGCGGCGCTGAATGCGCCCAAGGAGCATCAGCTGGAACTGACCCTGAGGGCTGTCAAGGAAGCCAGGTGTGGGGTGCTGATGTTGCCAGCCCTTGTGAGATGGGCCCTCGCCCTGCTGTTCTCTGGCTGGCTGGCTCCGATGATCGACAGCAGCACCATGCCCATGCATGCTGACACCACCCTGCTTGGCACCCTGCAGGGAGCTTGCGGCAGCAGGCGGCGGCAAGAAGCGCAGCAGCGGCGGCGGCGGGAAGAGCAGCGGCGGTGTGGGCGGCACGGGCTGGGACCGGCGCACGCGCAGCGCCATCCTTGCAGTCATGCGGCAGTCTGGCCGGGCGCAGCAGCTGCTGGGGGTGGAGGTGGATGGTGTGGCCGAGGTGCGCGAGGAGCAGCTGCAGCAGCTGAGGGGGATGATGCGGTAGCCGGTGGGAGTGCCAGCTGCAGGCGGCCTTGGTTTATTGGACTTTGTTGTAGTTGAAATTTTTCACTGTGATTGTGTCAGTGGCCGTCAATTGGGAGGGGGATGGAGTGTGGGGACAGGAAGTGTGGCGCCGCCACCTGTGCCACGTCAGCGGCCGCCTCTGGCTGGCCAGCCACTCACGATCAATGGGCGATCAATGCGCGCTGAGTTGCGATCGTACTTGGGACCTCAGTGAACATCGCTCTGCCCTGTCTGCAGCTGCACGGTGCAACTTGAGCACACGTTTGAGGGGTAGGTTTGTGTAGGGGCGCTCCGGTTCAACGTGTTGGTTCAACGCAGTCGGCTGGTGTCACCGCAACCCGCGCCGGCAGCCCCGGGTGCACACCTTCCCCCAACTCCCGCCGCCACGGCCGCCTCGCTGCTGGCGGCAGCTGCAGGACCGGGTCTTGCAGCACCTCACCCCTGCCCTTCTGCGCTGACCTCAGGATTTCGTCGCTATTGGATGCCAAAGCAAGCCAAAAAGCAGTTTGTGGGAGCTTCTCTCGCCTCGCCATTTCCTTCCACACCCGCCAGCCCCCCGCTGGCCCGCTGACACGAGGCGGGCCGGCCACGTCGCCGGCAATGACTGGCAGCTCCTCCTGAAGTCCTTGCTTCCACCGCTGCACCCAGAGGACGCATGATTGTGTATCGCAAGACCTTCCTGGGCCTGCACCTGCTGTTCAGGTGAGGTGTGCTCCGGCCCGCCGGCGCCTGTCACCGCACCCCGCCTGCCAGCACCCCTTCTCGTCTCCCGGGCATGTCACCACCCCGCCTGCCAGTGGCGCAGCGCCCCTCGTGCCCACCCGCCGCCGCCTCCCAACCCCAAACCTCCTGCGCCGCAGGCTGTACGGTTCCGCCATCCTGCGCACCGCGGTGTGGGGCGCGCTGGCTGCCGCCCAGACGGGCCTGCTCTACGCCTTTGCGGACGACTATGTGAGCCGCTTCTTCCAGGACGGGCGCATTGTGGTGTACAGCCTCTTCGTGGCCCTCATGTCCCTGCTCGTCATCTTCCGCCAGAACGCCAGGCGCGCCCTTGGGGGGGGCTGTTGTGTGTGTGTGTGCATGCATGTGTGCCGGGCGCATGTGGCTGGGACCGTCTCCAGCTGCACAGAGCTGCCGGCCCCTTGCCCCACCCAGCCGCTGCACCTCCTGCACCCTTCCCACCCGCACACTGCAGCTACGGTCGGTTCCACGAGGGCCGCACCAAGCTGCAGGCCATGTCTTCTGCCTGGCTGGATGCCTGTGTCAAGGTGAGGGGCATACATAGGCCTCTGACGGCCATGCAGGTGGCCAGCGCCGGTTGCCTCGTCTGGCTTGCAGGTTGCCAAATGCGTCGCTGGCTTGCCTCCGGTTTCCTGTGGGTACTGGCAGCAGCAGCAGCAGAAGCGGAAGGGAGAGAAGCAGGCAGCAGTGCATGAACACGTGTGTTCAGGGGCCGAAATGCCTGCCCATCTGCCGCGCTTCCGTTCTCACAGGCTCTGAGCTTTGACGGCAGCGACAAGCGCTTCAAGTCCCCAGACCATGCTTCCTCCCGCTTCAGGCTGGACTGCGTGCACCTCTTCAGGCGAGACGCCGCCTGCTGGCTCGCCTGTCTTCCAACCAACCGCCAGTGTCAGCCAGGCACGTAGAGCAGCCACCCTGCCGCATGCCAACTATTTTCAACAACTGGCATGCCCGGCCATCGCCCAACCGCCCTTTGCAGCCTCATGCACGGCGTGGCCGTGCAGTTCCTGCGCAGCGACTGGCTGCTGGAGAACCTGGCTGAGCATGACGAGAGCAAGCTGCCGCCCTGGGTGCGAGGCAGCTGCAGCTGCGCCGGCATGCCAGTCGCATGCATGGGCACTGCGCATTGGACATGCCACACATATGACGTGGCGCCCTGATCGTGGTCGTGCCCAAAAGCGCTCCCTCGAGAGTTCGGTCTAATCGATGCATGCCCTGCCTGGCACCCCCGGCTGCTTCCCTTCCAGGACGCCGCCAACAGCCCCCATTACAAGCCGGACCTGGTGGATTACTTTGTGCTGCGCAGCGTGTCGCACCGCCGCACGCGGCACAGCGCGGCGCACCCTATCCCCGTGGTGGGCCTGCTGAGCTCAGAAGAAAGCGCCCACCTGCGCCTCAAGGTGGGCGCCGCGCCCGCCGCTGGTGCGCCGCCGCGGCTCCCCCCGGGAGGCCTGCCGCCGCCGCCACCGGCTCTGCTGCCTGTGCTTGGCTGATGTGCAGGCCTGCGCCTGGGCCTTAAGGGGGACCTGACCGCGGGCTGGTCGTTGTGTGCCAGCCAATGTGCTGCAGCTGGAGCGCACCCGCACGCTGTCAGCTGAGGATTGGAACGGCCTCAAGGGGAACATCATCCATCTGGCCAGGCGGCACCTGTTTGCCAACAGCCAAGGTGACCGCGGCCGTGGCAGCGGGCAGGCCACTGCCGAGCTGGCTTTTTGGGGGGGAGTTGGGGTTGTGCTGGGCCTCCGTCATCTGCACGCTGCTGCCGGGCTGCCGCAGGCAAGTATGTGCGTGGGGCAGCAGAGCGCATCTATATTGTGTACTACTGGGTCCACGAGCGGTGCAGGTGGGTAGTGGGGTGACGTTGGGGTGGGGGTGGGGAGCGAGGCTAGGATGCTGGCCCACGCGACGGTGGGCTGCGCCGCCAGAGCTGGTGCTGGGCAGCTGCTTCCCCTGCAGCACGGCAGCGAGGGCGCAGCAGGCCGGCTGCCGACGCAGCCAAGGGGGCCCCGCTTGCTGCGCGCCGTGCTGTGCAGGCAGCGCATCACCGAGGGCGGCCTGGACATGCCCGCCCCCATTCTGGCCACGCTCTACACCAGCCTGCAGAAGGGCATAGAGTCGTTTGAGCAGTGCCGGTGCGCCTTCTTCGTTGTGAAACCTCTGTTCTGTGGGGCTGGAGGTGTTGTGCACTCACTTGTGAAGGTGGTGATGGTGGTTGGCACTGGACGCATGGGGGATCGCGCATCGCCTGCCATCTGCCGTTGCGGCACTCAAGTTTGTTCTGCCGCTAATACTGCCACTGGTACTGCAGGTACCTCTGCGACACCCCCTTCCCCTTCACCTGGGCCCAGCTGCTGCTGGTCATGCTGCTGGCGCTGCAGTTCACGGCCCCCTTTGTCATCGTGTCCTCCGGTGAGACCCCCCCTGCCAAGCTGCAGCTGCCGCCCGCTGCAGCTCTGCTTAGAGCACGTAGCTTTGCCGCTGCCGTGGAGCTAGCTGCCGCAAACGAGCGACTCCCCCTCACAGCTGCTTCCCAGCGCCACGTCGACCTCGCCCAGTATCCGCCAGAGAGCACTCTGCTCCCTCCCCTCCCCCTTGCAGTGTCCGACAAGGCGCTGGGCATCGTCTTCTCGGCCATTGTGGTGCAGGTGGGCCAGCCGGGATGCAGCTCCCCTTGCCTGTGGCCACCCCCCTGCCTCCTGAGCACGACACGCTGCACCTAGGGGAGCTCCTCTAGGTGCAGCTGACCTTGCCTGCTGTGTTTGTCGACATCTCCGGGCTGTTCCTGCCTGAACAGGCTTGCCTCTCATGGTACCGCAGGCGTACTGGGCGCTGAACGAGGTGGCCCGGGAGCTGGAGGATCCGTACTGCTTTGAGCCCAACGACATCCCGCTGGCACGCCTGCAGTACCAGTTCAACGAACGAATCCTGGCTACTGCCAACGCCCAGGTGGGGCTTGGTATCTTTACGGGCAAGGGGATGATCGTCAGCCACGCCCACCGGGCCCTGCACGCTGCCAACGTGTGCCATGTGGCGTGTGCACGCGCATGGCAGTGCTTCCCTGTGCGCTCCCCACTGGCTTGCCATGCCGTGCTTCCCTCTGTGCCCGCCTGCAGCTGCCAGGCAGCTGCCGGGAGGACTCCAAGTACCGGCTGTCGCTGGAGGAGGCAGTGCAGGCGGCGGCACGAGGCTCCCTGGGCGCCCCGGACGGCGACCAGTCGCTAGATGCCAAGCTGGAGCAGAGGCCGCCGCCAGATCAGCTGCCGCCTGTATGAACAAAATCGCTCGGGCCAGAGGCTTCGGCTGCCCCCTGCATCAGCGCCCAGCGAGGGCGGAGGGCGGCAGCGGGCGACGGTGCCAGCCGGGGCATGCTGCAGAGCCGGGGCATTTAAAACCCATTTTCTGTGAAGCATTCAGTTTTTGTCTACAATTGCCTCGGCTTGCTTGCTTTGTACTATTTCTCGTACACAGATGCTGCCTACCATGCCTATCTGAGCTGTCACATCCAGGCCGCTTGTCGTGCCTGCACATCTCCCTCCCTGAGCGCCCATGAGCTGCCTGTGTGAGCGTTTACAGGCACATCATGATGGGGCTTTGGGTCTGGACAAAAGGAATGAAATCGGAGGAAATTGTTGCAAAACAGTGCAGAAACAAAGGGACCGACAGAATGCGGCCATCACTGATCCAACTTAAAGCCAGGAGCCCGCCGGCCGGCTCGCTCCCCCGCCCCGGGCCTCACTCCGGCAGCGGCTGCGGCAGCGGCTCGTCGGGCGCGCAGGGGCAGTCGGCCAGGATGCCACTCACTGCCTCGGCCAGGTGTGCGTTGGTGCCCAGCACGCGGCGGCTCATCAGGTTGAAGGGACCTCCTGCAGTGGAGGGCAGGCGGGGCAGGCGGGCAGGGCAGCTGCCTAGTTGGGCAGGCATCCAACACTGCTTACATAAATGAGCAAGCACCTGCCCCACCATGAGCATGAGGCAGCTGGCGCTCAAGCGAGGAAGGGCAGGGAAGGGCAGTGCCGCACACCTGCAGGGTCCAGCACCCGCCCGCCCGCCTCCTCCAGCACCAGCGCCGCCGCGCACAGGTCCCAGCAGCCGCCCAGCCCAATCTCATAGTAGGCATCCAGCCTGGAAAGGGGGGGGAGCAGAGAAGGGGGCATGTGGCACCAAGGGCGTGTGACAGGGAGCGCCCATGCTGCGCTGGCGCCACCGGCGGCTCCCACTTCCACCCGGCCGTGCCCTCTCGGCTGCCCCACCCCCACCTGCCCATCGCCACGCTGCACAGGTTGAGCGCGCAGCTGCCGGTGCAGCGCAGGCTGCGCGTGCGCTGGCTCAGTGCGCGGATGCGGGAGAAGCAGGCGTCCAGGAACGCCGCGTCCCGCCGCGTGCCCAGCTCCGTGCCCACGAGCGCCTTGGACAGCTGCCGCGTGTCGGACGCCCGGATGGGCTGGCCGTTGAGGAAGGCGCCGCCGCCGCGCACTGCGCCAGGGACAACGTGCGGCGCAGGGAAGCACAGCGCAGGGCTGGGGCAGGGCGGGCAGCAACCAGGCAAGCTACCAGGCAGACAGGCAGGCAGGCAAGCAAGGGGTGGGCTACTAGGGGAACAGCCTCAGGAGCAGAGGTGCAAGGCCCAGCGAGCGCAACAGCGCACTGCTGCCACCACCATGCGAACGCACAGCCCCAGCCTTGCCCCTCCCCACCGGCATGGTACGTCTCTCCCAGGATGGGGTTGAGCACCACGCCCACCACCGGCTGCTTGCCAATGGTCAGCCCCACACTGACGCAGCTGAAAGGGAAGCGGTGCACAAAGTTGGTGGTGCCTGCGGGCAGGGAGGGAGCGAGGACAGGGTGGACGGGGAGCGCGGCAGCAAAGCCAGGGCGGAGGGCAGCGACGCCCATCAGGGCAGCAGGGCAGTGGGGCGGTGTGTGCACCACCTGCGCGTGCCCATGCACAGCACAGCATGGCGCCGCGCGTCGCTCAGCAGCCGCCCCGACGCAGCTGGCGCGACGCAGCTGGGGTGCGGCTGGACCCATGGCAGGCACACATGCCCCCTAGCACCAGCCCCATGGGGCGCGGCTGGCCCCGGAGCAGGAAGGAAGGAAAGAAAGAAAGAATACGCCACCACACTGCGCACCATCCACTGGGTCACACATCCAGGTGGGGGCATCAGTCAGCTCTTCTGTGAACCCCTGCAGCACCACCAGCGGCGGCAGCCCTGGCAGCTGAACACGGTTGGCAGTAGCAGCCACCAGCGCGGCACGGCGCTACTCGAGCTGGTGCCGTTGCAGAGGTCGGGCGGGGAGGACAGCACGCTTTCTGCAGCAACCGCGGCGCTTCGCTGGTAGCCGCCGCCTGCCCGCGGGCGCGCCGCACCTGCGCCGCCGAGCCTTCCTCCCCGATGAACTTGTGGTCGGGAAATGCGGCGCTGATGCGGCTCAGCACCAGCTCCTCGCACCGCTTGTCCGTCTCCGTCACAAGGTCGGTGTCCCCTGCAGCCGCACGTGGGTGGAGGGTGGGCAGCACACAGGGGCGCAGGCAGGCAGCGGCAGGGGTGGGGTAGGCACACCATTCAACCCGTTGGGGTGGTGCAGCAGGGGCTGCTGTCAGCGGCCGTCGCATGGGGAGGGCAGGTGGAGGAGGGCAGCTGGAGGCCGTGAGACGGTGCCTGGGGAGCGTGCAGGCGGTAGCAGCTGGGCGGCGCCTCACCCGACTTGGTGTCTATTGTCTTGTGCGCGTCCCAGGCGGCGGCGATGACGGCGCCGGCCTCCTTGGCAGCCGCCAGTGCTACCGACAGGTACGGTTCGTACTCAGAGGGTGGGCCCGCAGGCGGCTGCGCGGCGGCGGGCCCATTGGCGGCGGCCATCACTGCTGCTCCTCCAACAGCCAACAGCGCGCCTGCTGTCGGCCTGCAACGGCTGCCTCGGCTTCTGGGAGGATTTGCAGCAGCCCTTGGGCGGCGGGCGTGTGTGGTGGCTGCGCAAAACAGGGGGGCGGGCGGGGCGCTGTGCAAGGGGCCAACAACGCGCATCCAATTGCGAAGACACAATGTGCAACGGCAGAAGAGACATTAAGACGCACCTGTGGCCGGCAGGCCACGAGACCTCCGCCGTGGCACAGCACGTTGCCAGAATGCGAGGATTGGCTCTGTTGGACAGGCCATCACCTCCACAATCTTCCAGCTCAATTGCATCCGAGCCAGCTGCCCAGGGCTGCCGCAGCCGCTCACCCCCGGCCACCACTCTCGGCGATCCCACGCAGCGAGGGCCACAGGCCTCCCGTAACGTCCCAGCTCTCACATCGGACTCATCAGAGCGCGATAATGGCCGCCAGCCTCGCCACATGCCAGGGTGAGGCTGCCCAGGCTTCCCCTCACCCTCCCGGCTCAGGCCCAGCTCCCCTGGCTGATGTCGGTGCCGACTGAATGTGCTGCCGGCGCTCCGCCCGCCCGCCTGCAGCCGGCGCCAAGCTGCAGAGCTCCAGGAGCGCCGCCATGAGCGGCGGCCGCCCCGTGGCGCTGCGCTGCGCGGCGCCTGCTAGACCAGCCCGCCGCACCTCTGTGGTGGTCAGGCAAGTGGCGCGCAGCTGCAGGGGTGCAAGCCTGCAAGTAATCTGCTCAGCTTGCAGCCCTGCCGTCGTTTAGCGGCCCCGCCCATCATGCCGCCTCGACCGCCTCTGCTTGCTGCAGGGCTGACCGCAGCGGCAGCTTCTGGTCCGGCTTTGTGGTGGGCGGCGTGGTGTGCGGAACGCTGGGCTTTGTCTTTGCGCCGCAGGTGGGAGGCGCAGGCCAGCCGCCGCAGGCAACAACCTCTGCCCGGTACAACCTTGCCTCCATACTCGTCCGATTTGGGCTTCCTCCCCCTGGCAGGCCTGACCCGAGCGCTTGCCTCCTTCCTGACCCTGCCCTGCAGATCTCCAAGGCCCTGCTGGGAGACGACGACCGCCTGAAAATCCGCTGGGATGAGAGCGACGATGCCGAGGTGCGGACCGGCTTGCTCCTGCTGCGCCTCCGCTGCTACGCTGCCTGCTGGCTGCACACCACAGCTGGGCCGGGTGTTGCGCGCCCGCTGCACACATCTCTGCCTTACACCATTGCGCGCTGCCGTTCTTCCTTTCACAACTCTTCCCTCTTCTCCTGCTCTTTCTCCCGCCGCAGGTGACCAAGCAGAACCTTGCGGACAAGATTGCCCAGCTGAATGCCGCCATCGACGACGTGTCTGCGCAGCTCAACACGCGCGACGCCGTGCTCTCAAAGGATGAGGTGGTCGCCCAGTAGAGCGCCTTCCTTCTGGACAGGGACAGGCTGCCCCCAGCCTCGCGCCAGCGCCTGCCCTGGCTGCCAACAATGGGGGGCCGGCGGCGCCACAGCGGGAGCCTGGCCCGGCAGCGATTGAGCTTTTGGGCACGAGGCCGGCTCAGCCCGTCGCCAGCTAGTGGGGACTGCAACCCGCGCGCCCATTCTGCGCGGCCTTTTTCACTTGCTCACTCTTCATCTGTCCTTCCTTTCTCGCAAAGAAGGCGTGGCAGTCGCTCCACATGTCTCTCTGCGCGCTGTCCCCTTTCTACGAAGACCTGCCCCAAGCTTCTCCACTTGTAAATGTGCCACCGTTTAAAAGCAGCGCATTTCGGCGATAATGACAAGGGAGGAGGGTTACAGTGCTGCAGTCTCCCTGAGTGGAATGAGTACAAGCAACGATACAGAAGCAGAGTGCAGCCGGAGCCGTACCGGGTAGAGAAGCTGGAGCCCATGGAATGTGATGCAGTCTGGTGAATGAAACCGAAAGATAGACGTGGAGCAATTCGGCAGGTAGCCCAATGGCTCATGCATCCCTCCCTGGCCTGTGTGGCTGGGCAGGGGGCAGGCCAAGGGGCAGCGCCGCATGAAACAAAATACAGGTCCCGAGGGATTGTACTGGTACAACAGCAACAGGCGCCGGAACAACAGCCAGCAGAGCAGGGGCCTTGCCAGCATGCCAGACCGGCTGGCAGGGCTGGCAGAGCACAACAGGCCCGGCAGATTGCTGCAACACGGCTGTGCGTCGAGCCTGCCAGCCTGGCGCCAGATCACCCGGGGATGAACATATCCATCTGAGACACAGGCAGGTTGAGCATGTGTGTGTGCACCTGCTCAAACGGTACTGCAGCAGGGAGACGAGGGAGGGAGGGCAGGGCCCAGCAGCCAGGTCGGCATCAGCCGTCGCAGCAGGATGATGGGCACTTGCCGGCCTTGCTGCTTGCGCCTCGCCTCCAGCTACCAGCCGCCCCCTTGGCATGCCTAGACAGCAGGGGCGAGCCGCCACCCACCAAAGACATAGGTGGACATGCCGCGCCGGTGCTGCTGCAGCTCCGCACCCTCGGCCGCCTCCTCGTCAGGTTGCAGGTCTGCGGCAGCAGGGCAGGGCCGGCGACGAGCAGGGCTCGCTTCCTCCTGCCACCCATAGCTCACGCCAACGGCTGCGCCGCTCCACCAAATGGCGGGGGGGGCCACATCCACACACACACACACCACCACCATCACCACACACACCCGCACAGCCTCCGGAGCAGCAGAGCAAATGAAGAGAGGCAGGCGGCGATTCGGTGCGCAGCAGCACGTCCTCCCACCCCTCTCACCCATCATGGGCAGCGCCTGCCCCTCCTCTCGGTCCCAGCTGACGATGGCCTGGATGTCGAGGCGGTTGTTGGCGCCGGGGGCAGTGGAGCGGAGGCGCAGGCGGGAGCGGATCTCGGTGGGGGAGCGGGGGTCGTACCGCATCGCGGTCCACACCCGCTCGCCCTGCACGCGGGGCGCGCGATGTGGCGTGTGGCGCGTCAGCGGTGCGTGTGCTGTGTGTGTGTGGTGCATGTCACGCGGCGGGTGGGGCCCGTCGGTGGAGCACGGCAGCAGGAGCGCGAACCGGGGACAGCGAGGATTGGGCAGGAGAACAAGTGAGGCGGGCATCGACACCGTGCCGGCCTGCCTGGTCAACCATCACACACACACACACACACACACACACACATGCCCCACACCCCGCCCACCTCCTGCTTGAACCGCCCATGCTGCACGTGCTCGGCGTCCTTGCCGCCGGCGCGGCTGCGCTGCTGCTGCCGCGGGTGGGATGGGGGTGTGGCCAGGCTGCGGTACACGCGGGACAGCGGCTCCGGGGAGGTGCGGTACGCAAAGCTACCATCTGGGAAGAAGCAAAGGTACCGGAAATACAGGACCAGGTGCACCGCATTCTTGACGCTCCACTCCACAATGCCCTGCCGCAGGTACGTGTTTCGGCTGACGTAGATGCCTGCAGGCAGGCGAAAGGCGGGGGAAACATGCACGAGGTAGGTACCCGGCCCTATAATCAATGCATAGGAAAGAATGACCGCTCTCTCTGTCACACATACACAGAACATGTATCATGGAGCAGTGCGGAGGGCAGCAAAGGGCAGTATGCTAGGCAGCCTTGCGGCATATTCCAGACGACACGCACCATCAAAGCGGAGGTGCGGGCGCTCCAGCAGCATTCGCTTCCAGCAGCCGCGGTACTGCTGCTTCACCAGCGACGCATTCTGGTCCATGGTGGAGGTGAAGAAGGCCTCCCTGCTCGGCAGAGTCAAGGCAGAAAATAGCAGGAGGTTGGGCTGAGACGCCGGCGAGCTGGGGTGCCACCTGGTGTAGGCAGTACAAGGTGGTGGGGATTGTGCCCACCTGCAAGCTCGCCGCCACAGCAGCTGCGTGGCGCCCACCAGGCGCCACTGGCGGCACGCCAGCTGCGCCGCGGCCAGCGAGGCGATGGGCAGGCGCTGGAAGATGTGCAGCAGCAGCTCCTCGGGCAGCATCTTCTCAATGAGAGACAGCTCGCCCTGCAAAGCGGGGAGGCGAGGCGGAAGGGAGAATGAGGCAGGCAGGCGCGAAGACAGGCATAGCCAAACAGCGAGTGGGGTGCCTCTGCAGCAGCTTTTTAAGTGTGTAACTAGGGTTGTGGTGCTGGTCGAGATTTGGCCGCTTTAGCAGCAGCAGGCTGTATGCCGCACCTCCTTCTCCTTTTGCGCCGCGCCGTGCTTGAGCCGCACATTGAGCAGGGTCATCCAGGGGCGGTAGGGACTCAGGAACAGCGCCGACTGCCGCGCAGTGCAGCTCGTGGCCGCCGGCTGCTGCACCTCGGTGCAGCTCATGGCGGCCTGCAGGGGGGCGGCGGCGCGGGGTGGCGGGGGTGAGGGCCGCTGGCGGGTGGCCAGGAGAGTGGCCTGGGCTGCTCCAGCGTTGTGACGCTGCCTGCACTCTGTCAGGGAGGCCCTGCGGCACCGAGCGGCGAATTTCTCGAGTCCAACACCACTCACCCGCACCACAGCTCCAGCTACTCCCTGTGAAAACTTGCGCCGTCTACGAACAGGCGCGCCCGACCGGCTGGCTGGCTTCTCTTCTTGGCGCGCGCGGCAGTGGGGGTTTCGAGCTGTCCACCGGCTCAGCCTGCTACTGAGTGACACTGCATCGGTGGGGGCGGTTTGACTGAGTCTGCCGGGTCCTGCCAGCCCATTCGCGTCGCGAATGCGTGGTGCCACGGAGGCTTGACAGGGCCCATACTCCATCACTCCATCGGGCCCTGCTGATGTTCTGGACATTCAGTGGCAAACAGGGATCATTGTTGGGGAGCGGCGGCCATGTTGCGTGCAGCGGCTCGAAGCAGCGTGGGGCAAGCGCTGTGTCGGGGGCTTGCCACCCTGCCAGCAGACCACACTGGGCTGCTGGAGCTGCGGCAGTACACTATGAAGCCTGAGGGGATCAAGGTGCTGCATCTGATGGGTGGAGTCTGCCGCCACCACCTCTTGCTGGCTCCCGTCCCCTCTCTCCCTCCCTCTCCCTCAACTTTCTGCCTGCCTGCCTGCCCGCCTGTTTTCAGGAGTTCCTGCGGCTGACCACAGAGACAGTGGAGCTGCGCAAGAGCCTGCTGCCCTTCCTGGGGTGAGCGCCAGCGGCTTGGCCGCACCTGAAGCTGGGCATTCCCAGCCACCGGCCCTTGCACCAAACCTCACTGCCTGTTGGCTCCTCACCTCCGCTCATGCCTGACCTTCGCCTGCAGCATGTTTACCTGCGACACTGGCGGCGTGCTGAACCGGGTGGTGCACTTTTACTGGTGAATTATCGCGGTGCTCACGCATGGCATGATGCGTGTGTGGGAGGGAGACGGCATGAGGTGCAGGGACACCCGGAAGTGCAAGCTGCAGCTGCTGCCCATGACCTGGTTGCTGACGGTACGCCTCCCGCCACCCTCCCTCCCTGCAGGTATCGCGATTTCGACCACCGCGATACCCATCGTGCAGCCTCGGGCTCCAACGCCGAGTGGCAGGACGGCTACCTGGCCCACTCGCGACGCTGCCTGTCGCAGCAGGAGAGCAGCATCTTTGTGCCCACGGCGGGCGTGATGGCAGCGGCGGGGGCGGCGCCGGTGCAGGACTTTGCGGCGCCGGTGGAGCAGGCGAAAAAGCCGGCGCTGTATGAGCTGCGGCAATATCAGGTGCGGGGACAGTAAGCCCTGTGGCAAAGGAAAGCAATGGGGGCAGTAGGTGTTTCGATCCGGCTGCAGCCGCCACCGTGCCAGGATCGCTGCTGTTGAGCCAGGTGCCACAGCAGCGCCCGCATCCTGCGGCCTCAAGGCCTGCTCCCAACCTGGGCTGTCCCCCACTCTGGCTGCAGCTCAAGCCTGGCTACGATGGCGTGCCCAAGCTGGTGGCGGCTTTCCAACAGGGGATACCCCACAAGGTGGCGGCAGACAAGCAGGGCAGCCTGGTGTTCTTCGGCCACACTGAAGTTGGTGAGCTGCACAGCGGGCTGCTGGGGCCGCCTGCTTGTTCATGCGCAGGCAAGCGTGGTGTGGGTGCCACCGCCGGCTTGCTTGCCATGCCCCATGTTACCGTAGCGTCTCATATGGATACTAACCGCGCCATATGGTTTGGAGGACTGGGCTGCAGGCATGCTGAACAGCGTGATTGAGCTGTGGCGCTACCCGAGCGCCCAGGCGTGCCACGACGCGCGCAAGGCGGCGCGCGGCGTGCCCGAGTGGCGCGACTGCATCGCGGCGGTGACCCCCGGCGTGGAGCACTTCTCCAGCAGCTTCATGCAGCCCTGCGCCTTCTCGCCCATGCAGTGACGGGCCGCGGCAGGCAGTTTTGTAGTGCTGGAAGTGTACTAGCTTTCTCGATCGAGGCGGCGCCTGTCGCATCATTAGGGCACGACAGGCATCTCAGGGGGCCAAGATCTGTGCTGCATCCTGCAGAACAAATACACCGAACCCCACTGCTCAGTTGCCCTGCCAGCCATCATGAGGTGGCGGGCGCCGCCAAACCGCATGCCGCCCCGCGCTCTGTCGCGCTGGGCGCCAGTGGCCTCTCTGCTGCTCAAGAGGTAGAAACAAGCTCGATCAGTACCCTGAGGCTCGATTTTGCCTGAACCGCGTTCACACAGGCTCCGACCTGCAACTGCGCGTGGCCGCCCCGCTCCGGCTCCTTCACTCTGCAGCCGCTGTGTTCCACGAGACTCAGTCGTGCAAGAATCTAGCACGCCAGCAAGGAGCTCTAGCGCAGGTTTGCCGGCGAGCCAGAACTGAACCTCGGCGTGGTGCTGCCAAAGCAGCGCATAGCTGCCTTCCGCGTGCACCACCAGCTGCGTGCTAAATGTCGAGCCTCCTGGTGCCAACGAGCTGACTGGCCGGCGCCGCGGCACCACTGACGCCTCCCCGCCGCATGCTGCAGGTGCCCCGTCAAAACCGAAACGGAACCGCTGCAAGTCCTCCTGCGGCCCCCCCTGCCATGGCTCCGTCCGCATTCTGGCTGCTTGCCGCGCTACTGGCGCTGGCGTGCCCTCAGCCGCTGGAGGCTGGGCTTGTGGAGGTTATCCAGCGCGGCGCCAGCGAGTCAGCACACAAGGGCCGCCAGCTGCTAGCACCCAACGAGTGTATCCAGAAAGGCTTGGAGGGCACCTGCAACGGCTGCGTGGTGAGCTGGCAACGCCCAAGCCTCGGGGACCCCGCCTGGCATCTGCCGCCTGCCTGCGCATTGTGCATGCGGGCTGCTGCAGTGACACTGTTTGTCCGGCAAGCAAATGCCCTGTGTGCCGCTGCAGTGCTGCTGCTACACCGGCGGCGCCGGCATCGTCACCTACCAGCCCACCGACACCTGCACCTGTGCGCGCAAGGTGGAAAGCTCGCAGATCTGGGCCACGGTGATCCTTAGGTGCGGGCGGCACGTTTGTTGGCGGGAGGGGTTTGTTGGGTGGGGCAGGATCCGCGCCAGCTGGTGTGCTGCCGATGTGTGCTGCTGCTCATAGCGCCTCTTTGCCCTGCACCTGTGCTCACCCACACACCCGTGCCCCTCCCTGCAGCGTCATCTTGGTGGCTGGCGGCCTGCTGTGTCAGCTCTACTTTGGCGGCTCTCTGCCCATCAGCCCCTACCCGCGGCGTGACCAGCAGCAGCAGCACAGCTCGCAGCGGCCGCCCACGGGGCGCATGCCTGCCACGAGCCAGTACCCGCCGCCACCGGCGGCGATGGCATCGCCGCCGCCTCACCAGGCGCCGCCGCCCATGCTGCTCTAGCTGCCTGCATATGCCTGGCATACGTGCTGGCGTACCGTTCACTCTACATTTCTGCACCACTGTTGTAAACACGCCAATCCCTCTCCCGCCGACGCATCGAGGCAGTACTCCCGCCTGGTGACAGTACATGTTCTGATTGCTTCCTCGCTGCGTTTGGTCAATTGTGATTTCATCTGCTGCATGTTTGCGTCCTATGTGACGCCAAGACAGCCCCGTCTGCTTCCAAGGTGCTCGTGTGTTGACTGGGTTTCGGAGCATGCCTCCGAGGACTCCGCCCGTCAAGCCACGCACCCCATCCGTGCCGGTGGTCCCTGCAGCACCAGAGGAGAATGCGCTGGTGCAGGCACTGGAGCAGAAGGACGTGGTGCTGGCCAGCACGGCCGAAAAGCTTGACAGGTGCTCGCCCAGTGCAAAATGGCTCTAGGCGACAGTATCGATCCGAAAAGGGAGAAAAGGGAGGCAGGCGATTGCCTGCTGGGCGCGCCAGCTGACCGCCCTCTTGCTGCCGCCGCCCGCCGTCGCAGGCTGACATCCGCGCAGGCTGCGCTGAACGGGGAGCGCCGCTTGCTGAGCAGCCAGCTGCGTGACGAGCGCACTCAGTTTGGTGACATCGCTGGCTACCTGAAGCACGCTCTGGATGAGCAGACGGCTCGCGCCGAGGGCCTCCAGGCGAGGCTGGCCGAGGCGCAGGCGGCGCTGCAGGCCGCCGCAGCGGCGGCACAGGAGGCAGCCCGTGCCGCGGAGCAGCGGCATGCTGCCGAGGAGGCGCAGTGGCAGGCGAGGCTGGAGGATCAGGGAGATCGCCTGAAAGAGGCAGAGGAGTTCTCGGAAGAGCGAGCCGCTCTGCAGGCCCGAGCCGACCAGCTGACGGCCCAGCTGGAGGCGGCGGCCCAAGCCCACCATAAACGCCAGCTGGTGAGCTGGGGGCCTCCACCAGTAACGACTGCAGTGCAGAGGCTGGCCTGAAGGGCCGAGGCTGGTTTACATCCCTCCCCGCCGTCGCAGGACCTGGAGCGCAAGCACGCCGGCGACCGCGAGGTGTGGCGCCGCGACACGCAGGCCGCGGTGCGGGCTGCGCGGGAGGAGATGGCGGCCCTGGCCGACCAGCGCCTGGACGCCACCACGCAGCGCACCATCCTGGACAACGAGTCGATGGCAGGTGGGGCGCGAGCCTGCGGCAGCTGGCACTGTTGCCGCCCGGCAGCGGCTGGCACCGCCTGCGGCCCAGCTGGCTCAGCATGGTGGCGTGCAGAACGGTCTGCCAGGCACAGCGGCTGCGACGGCGGCGTGCCCTTAGCTGCCAACCCTGCCCCCTGCCTTGCCCCCTGCCCTGCCGGTACCGCAGCCGAGCTGCAGTACCAGGGGCGGTACGTGCAGGGCCTGCTGTCCCGCAACACAGCGCTGCAGGCGGAGGCGGAGGAGCAGCGCCTCGCCCTGGACATCAGCCGGGCGGGTGAGGAGGAGCTGGCGCGCAAGGGGCTGGCGTGCGAGAGGGTGGCAGACAGCTTGGTGAGCTGGGGGGTGGCTGAACGGTGCCTGCGACAGCTGGCAGGCTGATCGGCTTGCATGTTAATGGATTCAGCCGGGCTGGTAGCTTACCTGCCAGCCCCACACAGCCAGCAAGTGACCAGCTGCATGGTCGTCCCCGCCGTCGCAGATGGCGCGGCTGGCGGCAGTGGAGGCGCAGCGAGCGGAGGACGAGCAGGCGCTGGACGAGGAGCGGGAGCGGGTGCGGGATGCGCGGGAGGAGGCTCGGGTGCTGAAGCTCAAAATG